CCGTGACCACAACGACAATACCTTCACCAAGTTTAATGATATGTGACTACAACAACAAAATGTCACAAACTTAAATTAAAATTCTAAATGAAAGCAAAAATAAAAAGCAGTTAATTAATCCCACAGCATTCTAACAGCAATGTCAAACTAATATCACAACGCCTTAATAATTGGACATGTGTGTTGACACGCATATACAGATTCAATGTTACTGACAAAGTTTACTACCAATTTTAATACTACTGCTGGTGACAAAATGATAATATCAAAACTCAAATGTCTCTGTACTAATATCACTACAGCAGTATGAATGAATATATGACAATGCAATAGAAAGAAACTACTGGCAATTATATAACGAGCCACTAATAACTCTAATAAACAACAGCAGAGATTAACTTCACTTAGCTTCGGCCTTCAACCAAAGACTGATATCAAAATTCAACCAAATCTGTTTACTCAGCCGACCCACTACGTTTACTACTTAACCAAGAAATATAACAATCCCTGTGTAATTATGGGTGAAGTGCAGAATATTCTACCTGAACACTACAGAAAACTAACAATTACTGTAATGTTAAGCTGCACATCCTAAAAATATTTAGTCTGAATAAGAAAACCTCTCTAATTAGACTTAAATCACAGTCTCTATTTACATCTAACTGCTAAATCTAGCGAAATATTGATTATAGAAAAATACGGGTAACAAATATTTACAAGAATATATACAGTAGATCTACAATAGATTGTTTTACACAGTCTGTTACTCACAGTTCATTCCCGCGGGATTCAAATTATACAGTCCCGACAGCTAAAACAGCGTCCTTTAATGCAAGTTTCAGTAGTCGCGGGGTTTCACCACATGAGACAGCTTGCGGAACCCGGTCACGCCTTCCAAGCTCCAGTTACTAGCAGTTCGCCAGCGGGGTCAATACACGTTGCGTAATACGTGAACGTGGTGGGCGTTGTCCCTTTACAGTCTCGTAGACATCGGAACTGGACTCCACTTGCCGTAACAATTACACACTCTGCTTACACTTCTGTCGTATGCCGACTCGAATGCCTCGTCAGAGCTTTGTTGACATCGTTCACGTCCATGCAGATAGCCAGGTTCTCATTCTCTCATTGACAATGATCTGATTGGCATCATCAGTGATGTGGGCAGTCTTCCACTATCCCAATCTAGTCACACGATTGAGTTTACTCGGGTCCCTGTTCGGGCGCCAAAAATGTAACAGCTCTCAATATACTTTATTTACGAACCCGAGTGTACTCTGTGTGTAAACATGGCAGAAACAAGAAACGAATGTCATTTAATAATTTACAAATAAATAAAATGAACTTAATGCAGAACTGAACAAACTTAGAAAAAATTAAATGAATAACATAATTGAACTAAAGATACTTACTAAATTTCTAAACTAAACAAGGATGAAAATAAATGATAAGCAATGAAATGATCAAACTAAACTTAGAGAAATACAAAATCTAAACACAAAGAAAATGAATAGTAAACCAATCAAGTCTATCATACCTGTGTGTAAACATGGCAGAAACAAGAAACGAATGTGCCGCGAAACAAAGAGGGGCGTGTTTTATATAGAAACGAAGACACACGGACACAAACGATAAGTCACGAACACACTTCTCTACAACCACAATCATACATCATACATACACATGTTACATTACTTTATACATTTTGAGCTGTACATTGCATCCTATTAGTTTCTTTAAATTCTATTCTACGATTCTAGCTAGTCATAAGTTAAAGATTTAACAAATGAATAAATGATACAGTGTTTTTATTGAATGCTCTGAAGATGACATCAGAAAGTTAGTGTAGATCAGTTTTCAATGAGAAGTCAATGATAATTATTTGCATGCAATTATTAAGTCAATATTAAATATGAAACATGCTAGGTTTCTATTCACTTTCATAACAATAAGATAACAGAACTATAGCAGCAATTGAAAATGTTGTTCTGTCAAGGCTTCTTTGATTTTTTTCATCATTTACTTCCTTTAAATATAATGCACTTAAAATGGCACCTTTTTTTATTGTGCACAAATATATATCCCTAAATGCCATATATGACCTTACAACAAAGTTAGGCCTTAGTTACTAATGAGCAAAAAAATAATAAGGCTACACTTTTAATTGTTATATTCTCAAAGTATATACTACATTACAAGTCAACACCAGCTCTTGCACGCTCAAATTCTTTCACTTTATCTTCAATATTTGCAAAATACTTCATTCTGGATAATAAAATTTTAGCTTGTGCAAAATCATTTTGTCTAAAAGCAAATGACAATTCCTTCACAAGGTTATCTTTATTGTTTTTATTCTCCTGTTTAATTTGTTCTACCTCTTTAGCGTCATCTGATTCCAAGATCCTCTCATTAATTTCCATGACTTCCATTAAGAATTCTGGTTCCATGTCAATGCTGTCCTCTTCAATAGATATGCCTTCCAATTCCAGGATATATAAACCCCTAGAGAGGGGATGGAGCAGAGTGAAGTAAGCTTTGTTGATGAGTGATGCCTGCTGTTCTGATATTGTTCTTTCTTCCTGGAAATATTAAATGTACATGAGCAAAAGACTTTTATACATCAAAAGATTGACTTTTCCATATATGTATTATTTAATATGCCACATTAAAACCCACTGACATATGGAGTAATTACAATCTTTAAATTCCAATTTTGTGTTTCAAGTTTCAAAGATTTTCATTTATTGAAATGGGAGGCAAACTAATTATTATAGTAATAGTAAAAAAAATCTAGACTAAAAGACTACTTATTTGGGTAGGGCAGAGCTCGTTGGTTAATGAAAACATGCTAGTCATTTTTATTGCCCAATTAAGTTCTTGTGTTCCCTAATTACTAGCATGGCATTCATGGCATTCATGAACAATCACATGCTAAAATACTATCAGATTGTCATTTCCAATATCTTTTTTTTTAAATAAAATAAAAGAATATAAAAGGAAGTTATCAGCACAGGAAAAAAGCTGTTTTTATCAGTTTCTATGCTAAGCCTTGGAAGACAGGAAAAAAAGGTATTAAGTCAATCTTATGTATTAACAGATTTTTGTTAATTTATATGTTGTTTATCAATGAATTTGTATACAGTCTATGAAATTAATGACTTGGCTGTACTAATTTAATTTGTTGCAAAGGAAATTAATAATCAAACACATCCATTTGCATAATGGCCAACTTGCAACAGATTTCTGTGAAATCCTATCAGGTGAATAGTAACTTGAATGTACATGAACTAACTTAATGTTTGGTTGCAAAGGTAAATTATAATAAAACACCTCTATTTGCACAAGAAACGACTTACAACAGATTTTTGTGAAAACTTATCGGGGTGAATAAGTCTTTGAAGATTTCTGTAAATCTTGCTCATTCTAACTGTATCAATATCAAAGGATTTTGCTATGCCCATGATTTGGAAAAACGTCAATTGTTCAAGAGGGTGCTGTATGACCCCGCAGTCTTCGTATGTGCAGAAGAAAAGATCCTCTTTTGGGTTAACAATTTTATGACAACGCCAGCATGGTCTTTCGAGATTGTCTAATTTCTCTTTTTGCTGACGATCCTCATCTTGATTGCACGAATTATGTTGCAGCCAGCGGCTTCTTGAAAATCCTCTCACTGCACTTGCATTAGTGACAATACTACCAAACGGAAATTGCAAGTTTAAATGTGCACAGTTCACGCTTGGAGCGGCATGAGAGTACTTTTCAGATTTGGCAGAGACAAGAAAACGTGAGTATTTGCAGCTTTGTTGTGCAACCGTGCGACCGCATCGACACAAAATGGTCGTCGCCATTTTGTACTCTCGCAGTTAGTCATGTGACACATGATAAAGATAGCTAAAAGATTATTTATTCTCATGTTTAAACATTCAAAACAATTACGAAAATTATATTTTTACATTAAAAAGCTTGATAATTATAAGAAAAAAAGATTAACAAGATTAAGAAAATAGAAATGTTATTCAACTGATGGCCATCTCTCGAGATAGATCGAGATTGACCTTGACTTCCAACGTACATGTGTGTTGACAAGAGTCAGTGGTGCACAAAGATAGGTAAGTATTAACTGTTATACTTTTACTCTTGTGAATGCAAATATTTCTGATTGATATTCAGTTTATTGTAATCTGTAGTACATGGAAAATAACCTTTGACAAAGATCTATCTTAAATTTGACTGCACTCTCTCAGTCGGCGCTTATTTTTGCAATGGTACTGCAATTACCCGTTTTCACTTTTCACAGCCACGGCACAGGTACATGTAACTGTAACCTGTAAGGTCGAACATTGAGGCAATATAAGCACTAGCAGTGTTACATTTTTAGCACTCTTATTTGGGGTTCCTTATAAGCACTATATGTGTTTATGTACGAAAGGCACAGATGCACTTACTAACTGTTAAATGATGGTCACCAGTAAGTTACTGAGTAAGCGCGCTTACAGCCATATACACTGTAGCAACACATCTAAACATAGTCACTTTTCTTTCTTATTTAGGATATGTTGCAGTTTTTCTTGGTCAGAAAATTCGGAATTCACTCTCTTTTACAGCATTGTAAAGTTAGCAAACATTTTTTTCAGTATAAGGTATCCACAGAAGAGATGAGCCGAAAGCAGACACCTAGTGATTTTCTGAAGCAAATTATAGGCCGACCTGTAGTGGTGAAACTTAACTCTGGAGTTGATTACAGAGGTATGTCTGTTTATGTGTTCATATGCTAAGATGTTTTCTTCTTGTAATTTGTACAAGTTTGGTTTCATTCTAGGTTTTTCAGTTAAATGACTCAAACGGTATATTCTGTTCAGTCTCTTGGTTATTTGGACAATTTCTGTTTGGTATAAATGAGAAGAAACTTTTTTTTAAATTTTAGGTGTTTTAGCATGTCTCGATGGATATATGAACATAGCATTAGAACAAACAGAAGAATATGTAAATGGACAACTAAAGAATAAATATGGAGATGCATTTATAAGAGGAAATAATGGTGAGTAGTGTTTCCACCTGCAGCAGGTTATTCAGGTACATGAAATATCTGGACATTTAGATTAGATAAATACGAAATAGGCCAGTAGAAAAGAAATAATCTTATTTTTTAGTAGGGTTAATTTTATTTCTTTGTATTCTTTTAAGTATAAATATCGAGATATTATTTTCAAATTGAAATTACACATTTAATTGAAATCAGTCTTTATAAAAAAAAAACTTTTTATTTATAAATATATGATGACATATTTCTTGTTGCAGTTTTATATATCAGCACACAAAAGAGACGAGGCTAGGAAAGATATTTGTCCCGAGGAACACGGTGTCCCGATTTTCTTGACAGGAGAATGTAAACAAGAGAGGCATCTATTCTGATCTCAACAACAGAAATGTACATCAGAAGAGACAATTTTATTGCAGGCATATTGTTGTCATTGACTTCAGCCTAGGCCTGCTATGTAGATTGATTGATTGATATTCGTGGCTTCGAATATCAGCAAGCAGAGGACTTACTAAAATGTACAGTTAAGCTTTGGATCTGTAAAGCTCAGGATGGCTCTTTCCTTCATAATAAAGTGACTTTGTGTTGGAGAACATGTTTTGATATAGGAAACATTACTTATAGTGAAGGCTATAGAAGACTGCCTTGTTTAAAAAAATGTTATTACTGCTCTTACAACATGCTTAATATTTTTTAGAACACACACATTCACAGTATTTTTTAAATTTCACCTCTTGATGTCTTTAGTTTATTATAAAGAAATGTATTGATATATTTATATTCTTTAGTCATTAAATTTCACAGAACTGATGCCATATTACCACCTTTCAATTGATGATTGATATTCAGGTATTGCAGTGGTCACAGTAAATACTGTGAGATTCTTTACAAGATTTGAATGATAGCTGTAAATATTTGTAATATAAAAAAAAATAAATAAAATAAAACTTCAATTCTTGAAACTGCAGGGAGGCCACCCTTTTGAGCATTGCTTTATAATTTGAAATTTGTCCACATTTTCTAATTTTTGTACTTTCTTGTGATCCGAATCCGTTCTCGAGTTATAATTAAACTATGTCAACAGGACAGCAAAGGTATCAAACGGACTTATATGTAAAAACAGATAAAAGCAGTGATGACATTAAAAAGTCTGAAAATTAACAATCCACTGCCTCAACCTAAATGCTAATGCCACAGGTCATTTTTACTTTTCGAAATTGCGGTTTCAAGTCCGAGCCTGTGCTAAATGTAACCAATTCCTCTGTACAACCTAGTGTCAAAAAATTACCCAAGGTCAGCTTGGTTTAGTTTTAGTTTGCCAAATTTGAGATGAGCACAGAAAATATTTTTATTTAAAATATTTTCTCATCACTCAAAAAGCAAATCCACTTTTATATATGTACATTCTGGAAAACAAAATACTAGATTCATATAGAAATACCGAACAAATTAGATAAGGTAATAAATTTGCTCAGATTGTACTGCAGATTGGAATTACTAAGTGATGGTAAACAACTGAACAACAGCATAGTTACAGTAAATTTATATTTCCTTTTGTATAGATATACAACTATGTTACAAATGGCTTAATTGTCTTTTCATTTCACATTCAAAAGCAGGCAGCAACCTATGCCTAACCAAATGAACTGTGCAATATGTCTAAAGCCTGCATACCACAAAGATCAAGTCGGAATTTTCTACCATAAAACAGAATCTTAAAACATTTGTCCACCATATTTGTTTCTCACAGAAAAACAAATATTACAAAACGTCCCCTAAAAAGTGTAGAAGTTCTTTGTTTCTTTTTAAATAATACTACAAACTTAACTTTACAATGCCACTTAGTACATTATTCAAATGTAATTTAAATAACATGCCCGTTAAAATTCCTCTATAGGCTCAAACTGACTGCCGCTTTGGCACATACCACTTTCCTGAACCTTTTAATTAAGCATTAGAGAGCAATAAATTTCTTTGTTAGTCTAGATATCCATGGTTTTCAATATTACAACTTGTGTCTAACTGTAACATTTTCACAATATCATTAGCATGAGCCAAGTATACAGGTGCATTATTACACTGCTTTACATGTAAAACTACAAATAAAACTCACCCTACCAGAGGGCGTTTATAGTCAGGAGACTTGCAATAAATATAACCAAGCACTTCCACACAACTTGACCTCTTAGCAAAAAGTGGGAACAGACACCTAATGAACAACTATAATGAGCAGGCTCAATATTGAATGGTACACAAGTAACATTTGCACTGTTGCTTATCAACTGGCAGCTTTTAATTCTCAAGTTTAGCTATAACACACACAATTATTCAATGCATTTGAAGTCATGCTCTTTGCATTCAGTAACATCTGCTGCACTTATAAATATATTCTCCAAGATATTTGTCTAACATTATTAATCAAATGTTAATTTTTTTTTAAGTGGATGCAACATAAAACAAGTATAACTTCCATCAACTTTTTCTGAAATGCAATGTATACAGACCATGCATTAAAGGAAGGGAAAAAACAGGAAGATAAATTGCACATTCTCTCCTTACTGCAAGCTGCCTCATTTGAACATTTCATCATCGGAACTGCTTTACATCTCTTTTTTTTTCCCATTCTTTTCACAAGTCCAGAGGTATTGCAGCAAGTGGTGCTGCCACTGCTTTTTGTTGGCAAAGCACAGCATCACAGTAGCATTTTGGTTAGATCCAAATTGGTCAACACAGCCAAATATCTTGAAGGTCAGGGTGCCCCACCACATGCATTAATTACCATGAACACCTAAGAACCAAAATAAACAAAACAACAACAGGTGAGACAGCAGTCAAACTTAAAAGCTTTTGAAGTTAAATGAAAAAAAAAAATACAAAAATACATTACAAAAAAGTATATGACAGGCAGGTTATAAAATATGAAGGTTATAAAATAAGACATCTACATAAAAAGAGGCTCACAAAGGTTTGGACTTAACCAAAGTGAACAACATTCCACAGCAACTTTTTGCGTCAGTGTACCACACACAATTGCAAACAAACATACAACACTGATAAATGCACTAAGCCATCTGTAACCTACATGCTTCATTTAAACTATCAAATCTGGTACAGTTAAATTATCACAGCTTGTTATTAGACACTGCAAGTTAAAATATACAACTGAGCATCACTGGCATTGCAAAGCATGATTTTTAAAGAAAGCCCATCACCAAAGGACATGTTTCTATTGCATTTAATGCGAAGGCAGATGTTATCTCAGTTACCATATCTTTTCTATAAGGGGTGAAAAGCAGTTCATCTGAAATGTTTTAGTTTTAACAACAATAATCCAAGTTTGCAGCATTAAAAGTTCAGATCACCCATCTAGGACGCTGATGTCACCGATTACTGCCACAAAAGTTTCCTTTTCTAATTTTCTACCTAAATTGTTCCATTTTCCAATAACCTATCTACATTTCACAGCCCATGTTTCACCTTGTCTAGATAGTTGTAAAATGCAGTTAAGTTCACAAAGCATCACAACCTAAATTAATGAACATGAGCTCTCCCGTGGCAGTAACATGGGGTCATCCCATGGATCATACCTATCTGGGGTACCCTGGGCATTTCACAACATTCACACTTGTCCAGTGCTGGGTGGTTCAGGAAAGTGCACGCGGAGCAGCTCCATTGTGCTTCTTCCTCTTCCTGCTGAGCCTGCTGTGGCTGTGTTACCAAAGGTGTTGTAGGGGAGGGTATTGAGCTTGAGGAAGGGGGAACGACTGATGGAGCCTCACCTGGAATAAGAAACGGGGACAACTTCAACATTTGTGACATAAAATGACAATAACATGAAATATATTATATATCAGAGGAAAGTAATTTTGTTTTTTAAGTATCTTTTCCAATATACTTTCACACTACTTCAAAACCAGCAATGATCAAGTAGTAAATTTGTTATCCTTCGAAAGTGCATAATAGTGACTTTACTTATAGGCAGCCTCCTTATATCCGACTGCACTCTAGACAGAGCTGTGTGTTGGGTCTGATGAGCAAAAGGACCTTGGGGACCAGTGCTGCCCATATTTCCATAGAAATTCTGCTGTTCAACAGGATCAACAATACCAAGTGGAACTAGAGAAATGAAAAGAAAACCCTCATCTTAATTGCATATTTGACAATTTCTTCCATAAATTTGAGATTTTGTGTCATTAATTTTCAAAATTATCATTCTTACAAGAAATGCTATGCCAGTTCAGGGAGGATATCACACTCTGAGAGATTCCCTGGCAATGAGTAAAGAAATAAACTTGGTGAAATGCGTGATTTCCATAAAAATTACAAGCTGCAGACAGTCATCACTGACATTTTTTTCTTTTGCAGTTGGAATATAATATTAATGGTTTTAACCTTGATGTATGTCTATTTCTCTTGCATAAACTTCCACATCTATTTGCATTTTTCTGTTCTGTTCTCTGAGTTTGGATAAATCATCAAACTAAAAAATAAATACATACATTATGGAACATCAAGAGTACTGTTCACTTGCTTCATTTTATCACTTCTATCTTCTACACTATCTATATGAGAAAAATTTTAGCACATACAGAAGATCAGAGTTTGATAGTCGCTAAAAAAATCCATTAGTGCATATATATCAGTGAGGAGGAATAGTCTTCCACCACTTGAAATGCCTTGTTAATCTCAAGTTTTAATTAATACTTACAGTTGGGAAACTGTTTCTTCTAGCCCTACTTCGCTGTTTTTGTAAATTGGTTTCCATATTGTCAATCTCTTTTCTCAAACAGATCAACCGCTGCTGAAGTGGTTCTAATTCTTTTTCTAATCTCTGGTGTCTAGCCTTCTGATGCAGAACTAAGGCTAAAAACATGAAAATAAGTATTTTTCTCACAAAAATCAAACCAAATATCATTTAACAGATACTCCATCAATTCTTAATATCTGGCATCAATGTTCAGAAAACAGTGTTTTGATGTGTGCACAAAAGTTGCCAAAATCTCTTCATTCTCTTACCTTGAAGATATCCATCTTCCGGTGAACTCTGTTGTCTGTTAAAGAGGTTCTCCCCCGGCGGTCCCCCAACAGGTGAAGGTATAGGCTGCAGAGGAGTGTGTGGAATACTAGCTGCTTCACTATGAGTCAATACAAAAGGGTTTTTTGATTGTGATGGTTCTGGCATCCCATAGCCTGGTGAAGGGAATGGTGGCGTGCTGCCATGTGATCCTTGGGGTTGCCCAGTGGGCGTTGATGATCTTGAGCCTGAACCATGAGCTTGAGGCATCACTCCTGGGAAATTCTGGTAGAAGTATGGTGGTGTTGAAGGAGTGCTAGAGTGTGAACTTGGTGCACTTCTATTCGCTCCACTCGTGTTTAATGGATCCACATAAAATGGAGTCTGATAAGAATGTTGGTTTCCTGGGCTAGAAACATTAACCTGTAAGGGTTCTAAGTAAGTCTGAGAAGGATTATAGATGCTCCCTTGTGAGGAGGTTGCACTTTGATGAGATGGGGAGTTGGGACTAAAGTGTCTTTGATCTGGCAAGCCAGTAAAATTTGAAGTCTGTGGCCCTAGAAAATTTGAACTAGGTGAATAATAGGGCATACTGACTGGTCCTTGCTGCCCAGCAGTACCCTGTGCACCCTGTGAATACCATGAACCAGGGTACTGCATTCTTGGAAAAGCACCTTGGTTATAAACATTTCCATACATGCCCTGTTGTGAGGGCGGTATAGGGGGATATGGCTGAAGTCCACCTGCAAATGGATTATAGGTTTGAGGCATAACTGGAGCAGTCTTGTGCCCCAACTGTGAAGAGCTGTGGCTGTATGGCACTGCAGCCTGTCTATTTAATGCACTTGTCCCAAAAGCTCCCGGTGTGCTATTCATGTGTGTGTAATTACGCTGGGGACTTCCAGTGGCACCCACACCAGAAGATGAAACACTCACTGGTGACTGCGACCTATTGCCATCCATGTCATACTGCAAATGCACAGCACTTGCACTTGGTGAGTATCTAACAGAGGGGCCTGGGGACTGAGTTCTACTGTTATTCTCCGCATTTAAATGAGGCATACTTATACTCTGCATGATACGTTGAGGAGTTTGAGTTGTAGTTGTAGTAGTTGTTTGAGTAGGCAGTGGCTGCTTTGATACAAAAACGTAACTCCCACTTCCAGTACTGGAGGACGATCCACTTCTAGATCTGTGTTCCTCTTCTATATATAATTCTTGAATGTTATTTTCAATTCCCTCCCCATACAGAGCTCTTTGGCTTTCCTTATCCAGCTGCTCAATGCATCTTTCTCTATTGTTCCTGTTCTGTAATGGAAAACAAAAAGTCAAAATAGACATGTGGCGAAAATATGCTTGTGAATGAAATACTTGTCATCCTTCATCATGTACAGTTATTGGTTTCACTGACATACTTAAATCACATGTCCGTACCTATATCGTTCTTCCGGGATCAATCCATCCCTTTTATGAATTGGAGAGATAGATAACTATGTCAATTGATGACTAGAAGAGGGTGCAGTTTTAAAGCTCTTTTATCGTTGATTGAGTGATTTATTTGGTTTATGCCTTGGCTTGTTGAATTTACTTGAGTTATATAAGAAAATAATTGTAGAGGTGGTTTATATGCAATATAGAGAATCCAGGCTTGTTTCATAAATAACTTTTAAAGACCCACAATAAAACTATAAATGGAGGAGTGATACACATTTCTTGTTCTAAACCCATCAAGTTGATCCCTTTTTCTTACACCCAACCCTCATTCCTAAGAAAATGATCTATAGACAAAATCTGTACAGGCAACATACAATGCAATTTATAATTAAGTTTATACCTGCTTCATATATGATGTCACGACACTGTCCGAGACCTCAGGGTATCTCTGTTTCAGTTCATGGAAAAGGTGCATGTTGAGTGGCACAGCTGAGGATGCCATGTTGTTGTTATATCAGCCCTCAGCCATTCTTCACACCACAGCATACACCTGAGGACAAAAAGCAAACTCATTAGTATTTAAAGGTTCAAGAATGTAACAAGGTGGTTCCTTCTCATGCACTAAAAACCTGAAAAAAAAAAATGACATAAAACAAATGCTATACACTCCCTTCTGTCTATTTTAGTCAACAAAAGTATTTGCTTTTTTTTAAGAAAGTCCCTTCTTATTCTGTATGCATTGATCATGAATGCCTATCAAACCAACAGCTGACTTCCCTGAAACCGTACCATGTGCATTAGTACACACAGAATGAGTCACTGTGAAGGTAACTAGTGTCAATGGCAGGTAGCTGCTGTCATTGTGCTTCCTTGTTTACACATGGAAAGATTATATGCTGACCTCATACCACAGTGTGGCAATAATCACAACATTATTACTACACCAAATATAGGAAATGCCTAACAGCAAAGATCAGCATCGGGTGACCAAAATCGACCCAATACCAATAAATATATCTTTAAAAAATAAACCAACAGGCACCTCAGTGATGTAATAGCATTTTGGGTGATGGTTCAATGATGACAGATTATTACCTCCGCCAAGGAGATTATGTTTTCACCCCTGTTTGTTTGTCCGTCTGTCATCAACATAACTCAAAAAGTTATGGATCGATTTTGATGAAATTTTCAGGAACTGTCAGAAGAGGGCCAAGGAAGAAATGATTAGTTTTCGGTGGTGATCCGGATCAATAATCAATCAATAATAAAAAAACTAAGTTATGGACCCATTTTGATGAAATTTTCAGGAACTGTCAGAAGTGGGCCAAGGAACACATGATTAGTTTTTGGTGGTGATCCGTATCAATAACCAATCAATAATCAATATTCAAAAGTATCGAAAATTTAGGGGTGGATGGAGACTTTGCTGCCTTGGCAGAGGTCTGCGCTCTCCGAGTGCTTTTCTAGTTACCTATAATTCAACAAAATAATTCACAATATCATAAGGAAGATAAAGAGACAGTCACTTCTGCAAACTATTAGTAAGCTTATTAATGCAAGTCTTATGCCCCATTCCCAATGAAACTATCTTTCTATGTAGATCGATCCAACTCAGTGGGGACTCTCTCTAAATGCAATCAGATCAACAGATAAACATGCCTCCTCCTGGTGTTGAGTAAAATACAGAAAAGCTGGTAATTTTTTAAGTATGTTGCAAACAAGAGGAGACATGTTAATCTACTTACATTCAGGGAGAGCTCCAGGGGAATTCGATCGATCTAAATAAAACTAAATAAAACTGTTTTCCCAGAAATAACAAAATCACATCCAAATCAATACCAAAATGGATTAGAAGAGACATTGCATTGTTTTTCAAACAAAACCTTGCAAAGTTTTACAAATACACAAGACTGACAAAACTAATTCTAGATGTGAACAGAACAGCAAAGTTTAAAATTTATAAACCTTCACATTCTTTTTTCAAAATTAATAGTTTTAATTTAGGACTTCTTCGAAGCAGTGACAGATAATTTAAAACTGACGAACCAACCATTTAAGGGCATTTCTGATTTAGTCTACCATTTAATACAGCATATGTCTAGTTGATCATTTTAAGTGTTTGCAGCTTACATATTTAAAGTATATGAAATACATACTTACGCAGTGTTTAAAAATGCAATATGTACAGAAAGATAACAGATCTCTGACATTGAAAAGCAGTTTTATAATAACCACTTGTGAAACACTTGTTTGGGGATTTTGATAACTGATCACATGATAAAATCATCACATGACTACAAATCTCCAGACAGGGAGCACGACAGATCTAGTTACCTATATAGCACATGGTTCGTGCTAAGCACTAACATAAACATCCATATTTCAAAACAAGTCTAAGAGAAAATCTTTGTGCTGTACCCCTCCACATTCTTTGAAAATCTCAGAGTTAGAAGTGACCACTTCCAATTCAAAGAACTCAGACTCTAGAAGCATAAAGCAGTGATTTTTCTTCAATCAACAACTACTGTCTAGTATTGAAATTGTTTTATAAATCTGCAATATTTCAAAGCCTACCTAGAGCATTTTTGGGCACAACACAGCTGATGGACCTTCTTTCTGTGTAGACTAGATACAATAAATACCACATAACACTGTTATTTTAATACTGAGGACAAACAGTTCCAATGACCAAGTGGACTTTGTGTCAGAAAGTATATAATTTGAATAACTGAAAACATTACAAATCTTAAAAAATATATGAACTTTAAAATCAGATGTTTGAAATCAAATGTATAACTTCAACATAAAACTCAAAGCAGGCAGTTGACATAAAAACCCATGTAATCTCTGAGATGTTAGTAACACGATATATGCAAGCTGTATTGCAGGGCTCCACATACAATTGGCAATACTTGTCCAGTGCAAGTAATTTCTGCGGTTGGGCAAATAGAATTTAAGTGGTACTTGCCCACAATTGCAAGTGACTTGCTAATGAAATACTTCCAGAGCACCTCACTGAAGTTCTCTGGTACCTCAAGAAAAGCTGATAAAAACATTTTATTTGTATGTCACCTGATATTCCAGAGTTCTCCACACAGTGTCTCTCCACACTTTCTATCTTGCCACATTATATGAACAAACTTTCATGCTTTCATTTCAGTATATTATATAATATACTTATATCAAGTTCTGTTGCCAGTTTGCCAACAAGACAGCCATAAGTACTGATATAGTAAATATAATATCTATGGGGCCATTTAGAACAGATGATCCGAGTACTAACAGATCCACCGACTTAATATGGCCAACACCACTTCAAAAGTTATGCCGCTTATTCCATGATGGTCTCCACGTCCTTGCAGGGGCCTAGCAATTAAGCCTCAGAGCCAAGATTTAATCTGTTGAATGGCGCGTGTGGAGGCAGGGAGACCATCGGGAATCAGCGGCATTGCTTTTGAAGTGTGATCGGCCATATTTAGTCAGTGGATCATTTAGTACTTGGATCATCTATTCTGAATAGCCCCTTTTAACCCCTTGGGTGATGGCATTTGTACTTCACTTACTTTACAGGTTTGACAAAAGACAATACATATTGCATACATATTACATCTAAAGACACAGTTTCGCAGACATCTAGACAGTTTGGTCAAACTAAATATATCAGCACATTCCAGGAGTTTCCTCTGGTGGATTTGGTGTATAGGGAGTCCAAAATCTGAATCTGCAATTTGGTTATCACTTTACAACTTAAACAAGCTCAAGATATCAACCCAAAAATCTTATAAGCTGCCTTTAGGAATATAGGCAGTGTTTTGAGGCTTACAGCCGTCCATATGATGGCTGGACGGCTTTCTGGAGAAAGCCTTGGTACGCACACTATTTAATCATATTTGCCTCCCCCCCCCCCCCTCTGCCCGTTTTTTTTTTAATTTGATTTTGGATTAGGGCAAGTAAATTTTTAGACCTAGTTTGTATCAAACCCTGATACAGTACTCTGTCCATATCAAAAAGAAAAATCCAAGTCTTTATTTAACTTAGCATATTTTGATTTGATTTGAGTAACATAATTTACAGACCATGCTTAGGAATAATAATTAACATATACCCATTTCAATGCATCATGCCTAAACAACCGTCTTGGACATTTCTTACCTTGAATACTTATCGTATTTCAAATTTTCTGAAGTTGTAATTCAGCATGACACTTGAACAGATATTCAATAACTGTTTAGAACTACAAGAATGAACCAGTTGGATCAACGGATATAACTGATGTCTGTGATTTTGTAGGTATAAATATCAACAAATCTCATTTGCGACTTCACAAAATATAATTAATCAAAACTTCTGCAAAAACCTACTGTTACAATGATTTCCCTTGATAGTTGTGTGGAGTTTTGATATAAGTGACAATCAAATCAAACTTCCACACTGAATTATGTGGATTAATATCATATAAAATTTAGCAGATACCTTATGTTTGCATAGTAAATTATGAATTAAATAGCTTTTATGTATCACTATCACTTTATCTATCAAATGGCCCAACATTCTTAACACCATTATTTTTAAGTTATTTCACACTAGGTTTATAACAAATGCATTAACATGATCATAAAAACCACACACTTTTGAGAATCATAATAACATTAACAACTGGCATCATTAGTACACAATATCAATGCCTTTCACTTTCAACCACACAAGTGGATTGAAAAGATACACTCCATGGGAAATACTAATAATTGCATCAATGCCACTTGAAATATTGAAATGGTAACATCAAGCTCTTTTGATGAGAAAGCTTGGGCATAATATCAGCTTAAAGTTTAGGTGCATTCAACCGGTGGACTTAAAACATGGTCAACGAGTATGTGCAAATACCGCTGGGGACAGTGGGGTGTTCGCAAAATCATAACAAAATACTACCACCCATGCTGTTACTCAAGTGGTTGCAATTCAATAACAATTAAGCTGTTAAATGTCTGTGACTAACAATTTTCACTTACCATATGCATCGCTTATCAGTCTATCCTATGCAAATAATTAATTCGGGACACAATTCAGAATAACCTTTTAACATCCTAAAATTCTCTATTATGGCGCCTTCAGAAGCTACTGCGCATGTGCAACATTTCTCGTGATACCCTTCCCATAATGCAACTAACAACACTACAAAAATGACACATTTTGAGCGTTTCCTATTGTGAAAATTTGTATTTACTAAATAGTGTATAAAATAGCAAGACTTCAACATCGCAAATAGCCCAACAGAGTACGTGACATGACTTTCCCCCCTTAGCTAATTGACAACAACACACGCATGCGCAAAGCACTTCAGTTTAAAGCGGCCATATTCAAATTACTCTGTGGTAGAGAAGTGTTATATGAAGGTAAAATAATGCATTGTTTTAAGTGTTTTTTAATATTGTCATAATAAACTTTCACAAATGAGTTCACAAATGAGGAAATGTGTATGAAATCAATTTGTGTTTTGCTATTCTACATGCTTGTAGTCGTTCTGCTTCGATCAGAAATAACGTTAGAAGCAAGTTGATTGTAAATGTAAAGTTCGAGTTGATCCAAGTTTATGGCCCCATCGTTAGCTTATGTATAATTCAAATATATACATATAAATATATTTTTATATATATGCGTTTATTATTACTAGCATCAAATTGTCTTAAGGTATTAAATAGTTTCTGATTTTGCCAATCGTAAGAAAACAATTATACAGAGTTCAATGAGTGACTGATTGTTTTGAATTCATAATTGGAATTGGACTTAAATTTTATGATTTCTATATCATCAAAAGCATCATTGATATATAAGTACCTTACCTTATCTCATCCAGTTTGTGGCATGTGTTTTCATTGCAGTCTGTAGTATTTACTCTATTTATGTTTTTTTTTTAGTTTTATAATTCACCTGTTATATATTAGGTATATATGTCTCAGACATATGTCACTGATTATATTTTTTAAAATTATTTTCATAAAGTTATTACTTATATTTAGCATGAGGCGTTCAAGTGCTAGCAGCAGTGGGCGACTCTCCCTGGCCCCTCTGAGGGTAAAGAATGAGGGTCCTATACCAAGTGGAAGTGGGCGCCTCTCCACGGGAAGCACGCGGTCATCAGTTGGGGGCAGGACATCGGTGGGATCTGCCATTGGGGGAGGAAGAAATTCTGTTGGGAGCAGAAAATCTATGCTTCCTAGGTACAACCAATCATCAAACAGCATGGCTACAGCAGCCAAAAAAAGGTATGTTAATTTTCTCAGGGATTGGAAATGAAAATAATTTTTGTGTTATTTGCTTTGTTGTGAAGGCCAGAATATACTGTTAAGGATCCTGAGGAAATCACTGTATTTTCTTCACCTTTTTCATCATTTCTCTTCTGTCAAACTTTTTTCTTCTTTTATTGTATCATCATTTATCCCAAATAACGGTGATAATACCACACATGCTGAAATTGTTTGTCTTATCACTCATGGCCAAAAAATTTTAGTAGTAGAAAATTGTGTATAGTCTGTCCAAGTGAGTGGCAACAACAGGGGCAATCATAAATAGTGGTGGGTTCACACGGACAACTCACCATGAATGGAGATCAAAATACAGAGATGGACATTTACTGCAAAACTTTGTTTCTTTCCTTTATTCAATTAAATGTCTTGATGTTTTAAAAAGTTTGCAGCATGACTGTAATGCACATTTTTCTTCTCTTTTTAATTAGATACAAAACATTAAGAAAGTGAATTCAGATTCAATTGGAAAATATGTTGCAGGGTGAAAATAATTTGAAATTACTAATTTTCATTTATTGTTGTTGAGTTATAATGAGTTAGTTTTCTTAATTGAGCTAAATTGTCATAAATCAGCTTTTTCCTCCTCTTCATTATCTTTATGGTTTTCATAGACGGTCAAGTGGATATGGGCGCACTTACGGGGAGCATGGTATGGTGAAAGACCCGAGACCTAATTCTGACAAGGTTTACAAGGAGAGAAGCATTAAACTTTTACTTGAAGTAAGTATTTATTTATTTATTTATTTTTTTTTTTTGTCCTTTGGTATGCACAGAGACGGGCTAAGATGCAAAAGATGTAAGATTGTCATTGTTGTTAAATTAACATACATGGTTCACAAAAACTTTGCAACGACAATTACTACAAATGATTATCTTATTGTTGTTCTTTAAATGACTAAGAAAGTATTTCTTGGATGGGTCTGTACACATTTTTTTCCTTTTTCAGTTTTTGCTGGAGAAGGGTTTTCCTCATAACATAAACAAAAAGGTGTTGCTCTACCCAACGAGCAAGGATTTCTTCAGGATATTTGAGGTTAGTTCCATAATTAAATGAATGGTAGTTATTTGATAGAGGTTAAAAGTATTTAGTTTCTTCAGTCTTACAGTGATGCTAATAACCTTGTCAACTCGCTTAAACCATCCCTGATAGAACCTTCTAATCTGCACCATCTTTCTGTATACAGCAACAGTCACAAAGTCATTCTATTATCTGGTTTTTAGGGTACCATATGGCACATGATATTGATAACTGGCACTGAAGTCTTAACAGTAGGATTTTTTTTTTTTTTTGCATATAAGGATAGTAATAATTGTATAAAAATGTTTGAAGAAGTCCATAGCGCTGGTGTTTAAATTTGACTAAAACTTGATGTCCTGCAATTTTTTTGTTTCAGTTTCTGTTTTCATTTATTGAACCAAAATATCAAGTAGGTCCCAAGCCTGAAGAAGAGATTCCTAAGCTTTTCAAACTGATGGGATATCCATTCCCCATCTCGAAATCCAACATGTTTTCCATTGGCTCCCCTCACACATGGCCCACCCTTCTTGGAGCACTCCGTTTTCTAATGGAAATTGTAAAGGTATGAATTTTAATTGACAATTGTTGCACTTTTCAGATGTAAGATTCCTTTATTTATTTATTTTTCTCTTTGCTCCTTTATTGTGTGATGTACATTTAGATGTTATTTTAAAGAAAAAAGAAATAATGATTATAAAAAATAATCATTATAAGAAACAGCCTTGTCATGGGTATAGTGCTTCATTAATAATCACTGACAACGTTTGTATTCCATAGGGATGTTTGAATTTTTCAGACATTTTTTAATTGATGTTTTTCTGTTCATTCTCTTTCAGTATGCTTTTAACGTAGACACAGATGCTGTTCTCTTTCCACCAAGAGATGATGAATTTGATTCCATCCCAGAATCAAAGGTGATAAGACTAGCACTGTTATTATATTAGGGAGAAAATGAATTAAGGCCTAGCCAGTATTTAACTTTAATATAAGTTAATTATAAAGAATACTCAACTCTTAGTTCAGTTTTGTTTAGCTTATGAAATACGAAGACAGTTCCCCAAAGTTCTTATAATAGTTTGTAGCCATAGAGACAACACAGTTTTGCTGTCTATTTCAGATTCTTTTTAACTATATGGAAGAGGGATATGCTGCCTTTTTGAATGGTGCAGATACATTTGAACATTTGGATGAGGAATTGGCAAGAAATCTAAGTAAGTGTGCTAATTACTTAGAAGATCAGAAACAGTCTGCAAATAAAATGATATGGATTCTTTCAGTAAGATAATTATTGCCTAGTTATATTTGTAAAATTACAGAAATTCATCATTTTTTAAAGACAACATGTTGAGATTTTGCCAAATTCTTCTTCTTTTTTTTTTTCTCTTTCACTGATGTATACGGCATAACCTAACTGTCATGTTCTTGAACAAAATTTGATAATTCTCGAAGAACAATAAAACAACTGTTTGTTGTGACCTTGCAACTTTATAATTTTTAGGGCAGAAAACCGAGGGCATAAGTGGTGGTCTAGATCAGTTAGTTTCAGAGAACAATATTCTAACAAGAGAGCTGACAGACTTGCAGAATGAACCTGTGAGATTCAATAATTTTCTTTTAATAAAAAAATGAAATTGAAGCTACTTGTCACAGTAATGTTCCTTTGCTAATATTTATAATAATCTTATCAACTTAATGGTTATTTTAGTACTCAAGTTGTCAACAAAAATAATAAGATTATTTTTCTACTGATGCAGATCTATCTTTTATGTTATGTTTAATTTTGAATATTAGGATCGCTTGGTCGAGTTGAGGGAAAAACATCACACAATCACAGCAGACGAGCGCAAATTTCAGGCTTATTTGGAAAACCTAGAAAAACACAAGCATTCCTTTGAGAAAAGAATTCAAGAGGTGGATGAAGAGTTCAACACTATGAGTAAGTATATGTGTTATATAAGATGTTTACAAGATTTATATGCTTAGCTATGCAAATCACACCATTCTTCAGTTTGATATAAAATTAAAATCTTTTAAGGAACAAAAACTGTTTTGCATTTTCCAAAATTTTAAGGTTATACATGGAACTAATTTCCATTTTAGCTGCTGAGTATCAAGCAATCCTTGCCAACAACAAGAGGATGAAAGCCATTTTTGATTCCCAAGAATTCTCACCAGCAGACGTGGAAAGAATCAACATGGCCAGGCAAGAGCTGCAGAGGCAGATAGAAAGTATAGAGAAGGATATTGAGGCAATAGAGAGGCAGATTTGGGATGAAGAAATAAACATAGGAAAAATCCAGCAAAATGTATGTACTTTCAGTAATATCTTTAATACCTTTTATAACAAAGTCTTGTTTTAGGTATGAATGAATTACCTGAAATTGAATCAAATTTGTGGATGAAATGTATAAGATATGTAAAGAAAGTTTAATTTTGACTTTGTACTTAATATTACTTAATATTACTATTGCAGACAGAAGCCAAATGCCAGGAATACAACAAGAAAGCCACCATGCTGAAACTTATTCCCCCTTCTGCAGAGAATGCACATGGAAGGGACTATGAGATGAGAGTTAATTTCCATTCTGGAAGCATTGACTTCATTGGAGCTATAAAAGTATGTGTGCTGTTGATATGTCCATTTCTCAATGCTATTTATATTGGCATAAGTGTCATTTTCAAATTTGGGGAAAGCTACATAAGTAAGGCAAAAGAAATTTTATTTTGAAATTTCTTCCAGTTGATTTTAAAATAAAAGAGTGAGATCAGAAGTTGATTGCGGTGGTTTTTGTATGAAAGGAGGGATGTATCAAACACAATTTGTCAGTAGGCAGATATGTTTTTACAAACTATTCAATTTCAACAATCAGAATAGTTAATCCTTTTTTTCCATTTTTCAGCCAGCTTTGGTTCAGATGAAGAAACAATGCAATGAAAAGGTCCATGAAATGGAGGCCAGAAGGATTGGAGAAATGGAAGGCTTAGATCAAGTGAGATTTTTTTCTTTACTTAAGAGCTTCTACATCGAAAAGTATTATATCAAAGAACATCATCTACCCAATAAAATTTCATGTTTCACACAAGATTTATACGTACTGTCACAGTGAAATTTATCTTGCTGAGAGTTTACAAGTAGTCTGAAGCAATAGCTATATTTTTAGACAAATTTCAAAGAAACAGATGTGACCCTGTGCATATTCCTTTTTAGGTAACGGAAATGGTATCTGATAAAGGGGAAGAAATTTCCAAACTTGAAAGTAAACATAAAAGAGCAGAAGAGGAACTGGAATGCAAAAAGGAGGTGAGATTTGAAATTTGGGATTGACATTGGTAAATTAAATAAAAATGCTTTCACTCCTCTCACAGAACTCTGTGATTTCCATACATTTACAGATGACATGAGATAGCAATGTATTAAGTTTAATAATCTTATAAGCTGAGTAAATGTTTTCCAAATAAAAATGTTTGCATATAAATCATAGAAATATGTAAGTTTAACAAAACAGCCCAGATTAAAATTTTACTGGTTTCTTTTCAGGCAATGCAAAGAGAGTGTCAAAAACTACAAGCAGAGACTGATGCCATCCAGGCAGAAATTACAGAAATGCGACGCTCTTCACAAATGAGTGTGCAAGAAGCACAGAAAGAACTCCAGCAGTTACATAAACGGTGGGTTGCAGTGCCAAGTTACATAATAAACGGGTTAAATTGCTGCCCCAATTATTCAATGAAACAAATGTTATGCAGATTTCAATATTTTAACCTTTATGCTCAGTACAATCTTCACCTCGTTCATCATTATTTTTTATTATACATTTGACAAATGGAATATAATTATCACAAATGAGGAAAAACAGTGTGCAGTTATCATTTATACCTTTTATCATTAGGTACGAACAAGAAAATGCTGCCTATTTAAGAGACCAAGGAAGGTATGCTGATTCTCTGTTTGAAGCAGCAAGATTGATTGTTGATCACAAGGAGACAATTCAGGTATATCATATTTTTTTTCATTACTAAATGTAAATGGCTATTTGTTATTAATGTTTTCTGTGCTTCAGCTAGAGTGCAAATTCTGGTTGTTTTATCTTTTACATAGCTAACATTATAATTATCAATTTATAACTGAAATACGTTTTGTTAGTGACTTTTGCGCTACGGCTAACAGGGTTATATGGAGGGAGTAAATACAGATATAAATGTTTTGTTGTTTGCATAGCATGATTGCATAGATTGTGATGTGCTATGTAACAATGTGCTAACAACCTTTCTTCTCTTTTCAGGATTACATCAACTTATTCTACTCAGGGGTAGAGAAATCTTACGCAGATCTTCTACAAACTCAATATAGACCAGAATTTACAAAAGATGACTAATAATTTTCAGGTGTGCTAAATGTCTGGGTATTCTGAATTCCCACTCAGTCAGTGTGTAAAAATTAAATGAGCGCTTTTCAAAAGTCATCATAAATTTGAATCTTGAAGTCAAGGGGCAGATACAATTGTAAATAATTATTACCTTTTTTTCTCATTAGTACTTGTGACTTTTCAATTCAAATCAAGACAATTAGTTGAAAGTGAAGATGCATGATTGTGTTCCTAATAGCTGTGAACTGACCATAGGTTCTATACTTGATTAGGTTGACTGCAATCCTTTTAATTATACACTTACATACAGATTTTTTATATGATATGCACATTGTAAAAAGTTACGCCAAATTTGTAGGATGTGAAGATGCTTCTGGTTTGAGATGTATGTGAATAAATATCAGTTTATAGTTTTATGCAGTTTTTACTTTGTTCTTAAAACTGAAGGCTTGGACTAGGCCCAATTGCATTTTGCATTAAATCTGAGGATTACAAGGTAACCACTATATATCAAATTTAATGTTTGAAATTTAGATATTTTGTGAGACATCTTAAAACTTTATATCCCAGATGAATTTAAAAATTACTTTCCAGTCATAATAGATAATTATGCGAGTTGGGTATCAGATTCGGAAATTAGAAGCAAGTTCAACACATGGTAGTTGAAAGAGAAGGGGGGGGGAAGGATAAGATTTTCATGGAACAATGCTATAATAAATGGTGACATTTTTTTAACATACATCAATGAAAATCTAACATATTTAAATCCTTTGCCCCAAATGAAGAGCATGTTTATCATGCAAAACATTAAAATTAATATATATAAAGAAATTAACTCAAAAATAGTCATTTCTTAATAACATATATTTCCTAAAAATACAATATCAATGCTAATATAAACAAGACTACTTGCCTAGTAAAATCACTTTCCTGGCAGTCAAAAGAAAGGAAACATCTTATCCAGTGAGGTTGATATAAATTATTCCTAGAATTTACAAATGCACACAGAAATTATATGTTTTATATCTAATACTGTTTCTGCAACAACAATACTATTACAATAAAAGGCAAAGTGAAAAATGGTGCATACCTGGATGGAGAGATACAGTTCATCATGAGGAAATATTTAATATTATCACAAGGGCAAACTAAAATGTGTCACCATATTACCAATAAAATCTTGTGAGCCTTTGATACTTGGTGTGACAAAAAGTATTTTTTGATGTTTTGTATTTTTTTCTCTCAAAGGAAACGACCCAGGAATAAAATATACCAAGATCCATTTTCTATTCACTCTTTAGGTTGCTGAAGTAATGTTTTCTCATCTCTGTAACATTGTCTCAGTATAAATTGATCTCGGAGGAGCTTGAAGAGAATGTAATAGTTGGCAAACAATATGACGGCTAGTGTCAGAGTGTGGCTCCATTCTGTGCACTGTGTCAGGGTAAAAAACTGGTAGCCAATGAGGAGAGTTGTCAGCAGCAGCAGCCATCCACCAACACGAAGAGGGTGGTAAAAAAGAAACTACATGAAAACAAAGTCTTAATTAATTTGTGAAATACAATATTATTCTAAATTTAAAAAATTAAACTTTGAAAACTCTTGGTCACTGTAAGCTTTTTACTGCAATTGCATTGTTGTTTGCATTGGTAACTTGATGGTTAATAGTTGACATTTTACGTTAGGGAAATTCTCAAAATAAAGTTCAGTCCATTTATATATATTCTATTTGTTCTCATATTGGTACATACATATGACTTTGCCTCGAATGTTCCTTTGCCACATCAAAAGAGAAGTGTGCAAAATCGTTTGCCAACTTACATAAAATCTTGTGTGCATGCTGTTGCCTGGTTCAGCTGTGTTGTTAAATCCTTCAGCTCTAAATAAACCTTTAACATGTTTGACCAGTGCACCTTGATGCCACACCTGAAGTTCTGACCAGCTGAAAAAAACATCCCTTTATTATCACAACCTCAAATTCATGATAGAAATGCTTGGCAAAAGATTCAGCAATTATGAAATTTAAAATCCTTCAGTTTTTTATTAGAATCCTTTACCTTAAATTATTATTATTTTTTGTATAACTTTTTCACCATATTATATAAGACGCACTATAACTTACGGGTTGTATGGCACATGTGCATGTCTGCCCTCCACTTTCTGCCATCGTCCCAGATGCAGGGCACATTTGTGCAGCATGTCTGTGTATTTGGGTGACAAGAAGTGCACCATGAACATGATGAAAGCACTGATCCACACCAGCACGACATGTTGTCCTACCCACCAGGCATCATAATATAATGTGTTCTGAAAATATATATACATAAATATTAATCACCTCTTCAGTCAATTCAGTATATCTGGCACACGACTGCAGCTTCATGGAGAAATGGGTTGCATTTCTCACAGAGGTGACAGTCATACTTTAGACTAAAATTTTTCAGTTTTATTTATCATTATAGGTGTTCGTGTTTAAATTTTGTTTATAGCTGCAAGGAAGTTTGTTTGACTTGAAGCATACACTACCCATACTGATAATACTGATGCTTTCAAGTAAGCAAGCTTGGGAAAAAACGTGCAGTCAAATGACATGAAAAACACTGACAAAACTATTTACACTTCTAAATGCCATTCCAAGTTTTTTTTTTTTTTCATAGTAGACACTATACTGATAATCGATATTACTTTTGTAAAACAATATTGCTCCAGATATTTAACAATGTAAAATAAAATGATACAATGAAGCTATAGCTGTTAAAAGCACTCAAGGGAGATAAAAAATGTTTCAATAATGAAAAAAATAAAAGAGAGAAACAGATGACTAATACGAGTACAACACAGACAACTAACCTATGAAACAGAAAATGGCTTCATGCTACATTGCAATTTCTGTTATTGCATTAATTGATGATGCCCTTTTAAAAACAAGCCCTCAAAAGAAGGTTCAATTACTAGTACAGAAGTTACAAAAAGATTCTTTTGCTTTGTTATAACTCTTTAAAATTTCCCCATTAACTTATCATTTTTAATGGGCATGTAGTTAAAATTTTCACTTTGGACTTCAAACACGACAGACTGTGAACAACAAATGACATAACTCATGATTCTCTTACCCTGGTAGAATGGTAAACAGCAAGGTATACAAACATACTCATCTAAACATTCCTCTCACAACAAAAAATAAGACATTTAGAAGAAGCGAAATGAAACAAATTTACTGACAGTGGAGCTCACTGCATCACAAAAAAAGCAGTAATTCCAGTTTTCACTACAACACCACTCACCCAACAAGTGTCACAGTTGTTTTGGACATGCTAGTGACAGAGTTAGAACAATTTCAATACAGTTTTAGTATCTCCTCAGTTTAAGAATTACATGTACTGCAATATCCTTACAAATATTGTTGCATAGGTGAAATTAGGATTCCAATGATAATCTTTGTGACCTGCAACTCTAACTTGGGTATTCATTTTAGGGGGAAGGGGCATTCTGAGAGACTTCAATGAAATTTATCCAGTATCATTGTTCATAACAAGCCAAAGTCTATATTTCATAGGATAAGTGCTTAACATATACTATATGGTCAAATTCTGAAATTTAAAAGGTAAATTTCAAACATTAACCATCCTGTTAGGCAAAATGATCAACATTTCTCACAATATTAATGATCAACTGAGAACATTTACAATACCTGTGCAAATGATATCGGGACAAAGCCTACATAGTAAGCACATAGCATGGAGTTGAATAGGACTTGCTTCACACGGTTGTTAAAATCTTGCTTAAAACTCTCCACCTCTTCTCTTATAGCCTCTGGCGAAGATGAGCATGTATGTCTGAGCACAATTTCAGAGTTATCTCTATCTCTAGAGCGATGCTTTGGAGAGCTTTTATCTGATACACTTGCAGGCCATACCAGACTTCTGTCAAACAGTGGCTTTACATTTGGTCCAAACAGTATGAAATATATCACCAATCTATAAAAAAATTGGGAAAATATTTGTGTAAGTGTGTTTATCACTCATACATTCTAACATAACAACTAGCTAAGAAAAGCAAATTGTTTCAGAGAATTTATATACACGTATGACTTAACATTCTAATATTACAGTAACAGCTACTGCAGCTAAAAATGGAAAGAATAGTAACCATCTTATAAAGGCAAAGAAAATCATCTACTTACGGATAACACAAGAAAAGACTGTGTAGTAAGGTATGAGTAAGCACCACATGGTAAGCAGCCCAACCAAATAATGACAAGGCACAGCCAGTTACAAGCAGCTTCAGCAATTGCACAAACCAATAGCAGCAAGATTTGCTGGATTTCCCACCATAAACCTTAAGAATAGATTTTAAAATTATTTGCAAGGCAGATATAAAGATTCTACTGTTTGATCACTCATTTAAGTTGGAAATAATAATAAAAGTATGATTCTCTATAGTGTGCTAGATTTTTTAAACATTCTCAAATGAAATACTCATCCTGAGGCTTCGAGAACCATAAAATACTCGCCTCTTTCACCCAGCACCATATCAGTCTTCTAGAAAAAAGTAAGACTAGAAAAAGCACCAAATGGGGGTCAATTAGGTAGAAATTCTGAAAAATTAGAAAAGAAAATATCAATGCCCATGGAAGTTGCTTCTTTACAATCAGATCAAAATATATCTGAACAAATGCTTTTCATATAGAGAGAAATAATTCTTAATATATAAACACTTCAACATCTGCAGTGCAGTTTTCACAAAACTTTATAGAATGACTTCACTCAATTGTTTACTTTAATCAACCACTCTTTTCATCAATAAAAAACTCAATATTTTTACTATTTGTAGATAACCAATAATTTTATGTTCATCTACATGTACATATATGGATCAAATAATTTCAAACCAGGCTATTAGACTGTATGCTATAGTGCTAGCAATGAAATAAATATGAAAAACTTCATAAAAAAGCTAAAACATGATTCTATGTGCTAGTGGACTGTCTGTTTAACACTCACCACAGCATAAGTAGCATGCGAATGTGGCAGCCACCAAACTGTCTTGTATAGATTAATGTACTGCATACACATAGCCACCACACAGTAGACAAACAGTATCAGTTCAAACAGAAGGTTGGAGTCACTTGGAATGTCTGGGATATGAACATGTTTTAGAATGACTTGCTGCTGACTAGCCATATCATCAGTCGGGGTATTTCTGAAAAAGAAAATTCATAAAAATTATCAGTCTCCCAGATCCACCATTAAAGTGAATGCAAGTCTTATAAATGCATGCTGAGTAGTACCTGCAGGTATGAGTCAGTGAGTGCTGCTGCTGTGAATGAGTCAAGAGATTATAGACAAACTATAAGAGTCCTCACAGTGGTTCCACTTAAGTTTTTGGTAGAGAAGAGCTGCTGTTGATTTCTGCTTCATAAATATATAATTATTAAAAGATGAACAATAAAAAATATAATATTTTACTTCATTTGTATAAATAAAAAATGACTACATTAAAAACGTTTATGCTTGTATTCAATGGAAGAGAGGCTAGACAATGATATTAAAAGCACTGGATATCAATTTCATCAATAGATAAATTACAAAAATATCATATGATGCGGAGGCAGCATTGTCTTTCAAACAGGAGCAAGGTGGTTAAAGCTGACGTGTTATTAACATAAAATCATGATCCTTTTAGCATATTCTTTTGGCTGATAAATATCTAAAGATAATAAAACAATTTCTTTATCTTTATAACTATCATTTCCCTTCTTAATGATATAAATAAGTAAGACAAAATACAGACTAAAATGGTTTCTTATAAACACATGTTGAATGTGCAGCCACATTTGCACTGCTACTCTCGTTTAACTGACCCGTTGCTCGTATTGCTCTCAGATTTTGGAGACCGATGCACAAGGTTAGACGCTGCCTGTGATCTAGGGAGAAGTCGTCTTCCACCTGGCATAATTCACCGGCACAGCTGTTATCTTTGTGTCACCCATACACTCAACTTGGAAGAAAATCGATCACAGGAAGTAAATTGTTGATATTCATCAACCCACTAGGTGGTGTTATTTTCAAGAGAATCTTTTTAAATTGTACATTTTAAGTATTTGAAAGCGTTTATATACCCTTGTTGTACTTTTATATATGGTATCTCAGTAAAGAAATAGAACAATAAGCCAACAATATACAACATAAAGACATTATACCCTAATTTTGGCTTGTCTTGACTCCGCGAACCTGGAGGTGAACTTCGTTATCTCTTTAGGTCAAAACTTCGCGGTGTGACTCGACAGAAAGCGTGCCACAGCGTTCTATTTCAGTGTATGATCGGGTTATATAAGCATAAATTATGAACGAGCCGGTGTCAAAAGCTGCAAAGATGTCATCTGTGTTGGATCAGATCAAGGATCACACTGTTGTTGTGGCTGACACGGGCGATTTTGAAGGTGGGTAGTGGTAAATTGTGTTTACACAGTCGGTAGTTCTAAATAGTATTACGTTTAGTGCACTGCGTAAATTATTTAAACGATAAGCCCAACAAGGCAGTTTTTCTGTGGTATTTTGGTATAACAGAATATTCAGGTATCGATGACCAGATAGTTTTTCATAAAATCAAACAGCTTCCAGTCTGCCTGGAGTACATTTTAGACCAATGATTCACTTACTTTCCCTTTAATTTTTTTAAATCGGATTTACATATTACCTGGTTATTACACCTCCTGTTATCAAGAAGTCAGTGTTATGATACTTGCATGTACCTGTGGGTGCTGAACATATAAAATCCATTCTTCTTATTTAGTTAAATAGCTTAAATTCTTATTTGTATAAGAAAAATATTCTCTCATGCAAAAGAAAATATGAAAATAATAATCATGGTGTGATTTTTCCAATTCTTACTTTTTATTTTGAAAAATGTGTAAAAAAAGAAATTTTGCAAAGTTTCGCATCTGAATTATTGTGATGTTAAGGTGGGTTCAGTAATTACCAGTGTAGATTTATGTCCAGCCTGAAAACCTTGCAAGACGTAGTGATGAATAAATGGAATTCATTGTGGAATGAAATCAGTGTTTGCCTCTTAGGAAAATTAGTCGCTGGACCAAAGGTCCAGCCCTCTTGAAAAGTAGCTGGACCAAATATCTGCTGGGTGGGAAAACTTTTCGGCCCATTCTGAAAGTTGTCAACCCCGGGCAGACAGTCCAGCATTAATTTCAAACACTGAATTTCTGTCATTACTTCTTTAACATATCACTTAGGTTCCTGTAATTTTACAATATTTAGGAAAGAAAAGTGNATCAAGAAGTCAGTGTTATGATACTCGCATGTACCTGTGGGTGCTGAATATATAAAATCCATTCTTTTGATTTAGTTAAATAGCTTAAATTCTTATTTGTATAAGAAAAATATTCTCTCATGCAAAAGAAAATATGAAAATAATAATCATGGTGTGATTTTTCCAATTCTTACTTTTTATTTTCAAAAATGTGTAAAAAAAGAAATTTTGCAAAGTTTCGCATCTGAATTATTGTGATGTTAAGGTGGGTTCAGTAATTACCAGTGTAGATTTATGTCCAGCCTGAAAACCTTGCAAGACGTAGTGATGAATAAATGGAATTCATTGTGGAATGAAATCAGTGTTTGCCTCTTAGGAAATTTAGTCGCTGGACCAAAGGTCCAGCCCTCTTGAAAAGTAGCTGGACCAAATATCTGCTGGGTGGGAAAACTTTTCGGCCCATTCTGAAAGTTGTCAACCCCGGGCAGACAGTCCAGCATTAATTTCAAACACAGAATTTCTGTCATTACTTCTTTAACATATCACTTAGGTTCCTGTAATTTTACAATATTTAGAAAAGAAAAGTGTTTTTATTGTTTGCTTGACAAACTTAAAAGTATTTCTTTATACCAGGCAGCTTAAAATCTTGATTTACATAAATTTGCTACATGTACCATAATCATTTTAAAGCAAACTGGTTGTTGATTTATTATATCACCATAAAAGTTATCTCCTTTATTTAGTGATTATCTAAATCTGATGAAAAATTGAAGATAAGCCAAATTGGTAGAGTAAACCAAGAATATGTAGTACTAAAATTGAATTGAAATGTCTCAGTTATTCTAAAAATATCTATGTCTCTGCATATTTATGTCTCTGTTTATTTACACCTGTCAATCATTAGCACAGCATCTTAATTACCATTCAAACTAAAGGTGCATTGTTTACAGGTGTACTTACCAGACTCACCTGAATTCATGCCAGTTGCATAATTTTTTTTTTTTACCATTTAGTGACAAAAATTGACAGGTGCTGTTCAGGAACATGAAAAATAAAACAGTACTTAAGATTTTTATCCTCTCAAATCATCCGTTCTGTCTTTCATTTTATCTCCTGGTACAGACTTCCATTAACTAACCATGCAGGTAAATATTTTATGCTGTCTCCTTTCTTAATATAAGAGGTCATGGCTGGTATTGGAAAATGTAGCCAGAAGGTGTTAAAATATAGAATATGTATATGTACATCTCTTCCCTTTGAAGAACTATTGTAGCGAATATTTATCTTGATTGGTACAACACGTAGTTGTTTTGTTGGGAATCATTTCCTTCATCAGGGACGTTATCACTTGGTTTAATTTGTTTACATTCAATCTCCAATTTTGTTGCTTTCTGATGAAACTTTAGATGAGAGATTTTGTCGTGACATGCAGTTCCATACCCTTATTCAAGGTCAATAGAAAGTCAGTCGAGCATGACGATAGAAATCTCTTGCAATATAAATGGAAAATCATGACAATGTCATGGAGGCTGCATTACAGATGCTGTAAGACTGAGTGATAAAATGGGATTTTCAATTTTCCTATCATTTCCTTACAAATCTTGGTGTGTGATTTTTTTTTCTTTTTGAACAGATATGTTTATATCAAGGAAATATAATTGAATTTTATTGATTTTATAATTACTGAGCATGAACACCAAACATTGTACTTCTTCCATCAGAAAATACTGCATATTTGAGTCACTTTCCTTTTTTTTTCTTGTGCAAAAAATAAATAATAATAATAAAATAAAGATTAATGATAACAAATTTTCATAGGTATTTACTATTTTTTCTTTTGTTTTCAAGTAGCCACAAGATATTAGTTGGTAAAAGTGTATTTATGTTTTTTTAGCAATGAAGAAGTACAAACCTACAGATGCAACAACCAATCCTTCCTTGATCCTGGCTGCTGCGAAGATGGAGCAGTATCAACACCTCATAGATGATGCAGTTCAGTACGCCAAAGCAAAGGGAGGGTATGTCAGTTCTTTTCCTTTTCTTTGCCCAATCTGAATAGATAATACCAAGACAGATTTCACAAGGAAAAGACATGAAAACATCAAAAAATCACTGTAATTGGTGCTCAAGTGTGTTTAAAAAAAACAATATAATATTTTGCTTCTTTGTTGATTTGAATATGGTCTGATAACTCTTGATATACTGGTCAATGACAAAATTACATTTTATTTTAGCTCTTTTGATGATCAGTTGGACTGGGCCATGGACAGATTGTTTGTTAACTTTGGATCAGAAATCCTGAAGATTATCCCTGGAAGAGTTTCCACAGAAGTTGATGCAAGGTATGCCATAGTGATTTACCTTTTCAAATATAATACATAAAAAATATGCTTAAGTGTTTGGAATCTATTTTGATATTTGACCATTATCCACTGTCATGTTTCAACATGTTTGCCATGACCTCAGTAAAGGATTGCAATTGCATAACTTTTCCATTTACAAGTGGGTTTTAAATCATTTAACATATTGCCCATCATACTTAGAAATACATGCTCATGGAGAATCACAGTTATGCTGTAATGGCATATTAGTCACATAAGCAGTATATGTTATACAAAAAACATTTCAGATTGTCTTTTGACAAGGAGGCTTCCATCTCAAAAGCCAGAAGGATCATCGATTTATACACAGAGAAAGGGATTGACAAGGAAAGGATTCTCATCAAACTTGCAACTACCTGGGAGGGTATTGAGGCAGCCAGGTGATTTCTGTTCCTTACTTAATCATAGTGCTTTTCTTTGTGCTCCTTAAATTGAAGGAAAATAATGTACAAGTAATATACAAGCATAAATCTTACACTTATTTATCATGTTTTTAAAAAACATTCAAATTGGGTAAGTTGCATTAAAAGTATAAGAATTTAAGATCATGCACAGAAAACCTGTATATTAAATTAAGAACAAATCTAAAAAAAACTGAAATAATTGTTATACCAATTACATTTGCTTGTATTGAAAGGATGACTGATCATGGTGAATAGCTCCCATTGAAAGGGGCCTATTTTGTAATAACTTGTTAAAATGTGTTTACAGCTGTTTTTGTATAGGTAGGCTCTGTCCTGCCCTGCAGATGAAGATTTTTTAAAATTTATTTATTTATTCATTTATTTATTTATTTATTTATTTATTGTTGATGACTATTTAAATGTTTAAATAATATTTCTCTTTTAAATTTCTTGCCTCCAGAACCCTGGAACAGGAATATGGAATTCACTGCAACTTGACTTTGTTGTTTTCATTCGCACAGGTACTACATACTTTAATTTTTTATATGCACCTATGCTCTTCTGTCTGATTCATAATGGTTGGTTTTGTTTAAACCCTCCATATTATAATAACATCTTTAAATTGCACCGCATATGAATTTTAGGATATGAAGCATTTTACCAAATTTTTGCAATTTAATTTCTGTTTTACAAGGTTCTACTTTCTGAAGTTGCAAAAAATATTTTTTGCAGGCTGTTGCATGCGCAGAAGCTGGGGTGACACTCATTTCACCTTTTGTGGGCAGAATCTTTGATTGGTATGTGAAAAACACAGACAAAAAGAAGTTTGAGCCATTGGAAGATCCAGGTTGGTTTTGTTATGATGATAAGAATTAAATCATTGTAATGACAACTGTTACTAAATTAAAAAATCTTGGGCTGATAGCAGTGTATAAACTTTTAACTTCTTCTGTTTTACTAAAGAAAAAACATGTATTGGGAATTATACAAATAGTGCAAGCTTGGACTGTAGTGCATCCTCTATATCAAATACCTATTATATCTTTTACGGCTGTCATAAATTCAGAGTTCTCATTTTAAGCCAGTGCATATTCTAATCTTTCTAAAAGAAAATCATTTTAATTATCTGTAAACACAAATGCTTTATTTGTGAAATGTCTTAAGTAACATATATGTCAATTTTACAGGTGTTCAAAGTGTCACTAGGATCTACAATTACTACAAAAAGTTTGGATACCAGACTGTCGTCATGGGAGCCTCTTTCAGAAATACAGAACAGATAACAGCACTTACTGGATGTGACCTCCTCACTATCAGGTACCTAAAAAAACATGAAATTAAACTTTTCTATGTACACTCATTAGTATCTGTACATATTGCCATAAGCAGGTCCTCAATGATTATGAAACAGTGTGAATTATCAGGAGTTTTTAAATTGAAATGGGAAACTGAACATGATGACAATTGGCTTTTCCATTGCCTGTTTCCATTTCAAATATTCATTTCTTGTTTTCTAGCCCATCACTTTTGGAAAAGCTTTCCAGCAGCAATGAGAAAGTTACTGTGTACCTTTCAGAGAAACAAGGTATGCTCACTGTACCTACAGTTAAGTGTAAGCTTACATAAAGAAAATTAAAAATAAGTATGAAGCAAGCGCGGATTCCCTATATTGCATATAAACCACTAAAAAAAATTTATACTAAAAAAAAAAAAAATTGTATAAACCATAAACCACTATTTTTAGTTTCTTATAAAACTCAAACTAAGATGACATGCCAAGGGATAAACCAAATATTAATCACTTGGTCAGCCAAAAATAGCTAAAAAACTGTACCTTCTTCAAATTTCTGGTTGTAAACTCGACCTAATTATTCATCCCTCCAGTTTGTAAAAGTCTTCAAAATGATGTAGTATTGTATGACCCATTAATTTTGTGCCTGCAATAGCATAATTATTCAAATTAGGTGTGGCAAAAATGACCATAGGTTATACATAGCACAGAAGGCAGCAGAATATACTGGTTCAGATATCATTTTTTTAGGAGATGTGAAACGATACCTTTGGGTGTTTCTTAATTTATGCTGTTCGAAACTATATGGTGGCATTTGGTCAGGTTTTAACTAAATTTGTTGGCTATTCTTAATTTGGAGCAGCTGAATTTGTTTAACATTGTATCCAAACTCTGTGATATAATTATGGAATGAAAACCGAGTCATATTATGTTCCTTTAACGAACAATTGTTTGGTAAAATGCTTTCAAGATTGTTGACTAAATATTCATCTGTAGCGTTTTTTTTTTTTTTTTTTTTTTTTGCAAAATTAGTAAATGGCATAAATATGGTTTTGTTGAAAATGAATGCCCAATATTAATGTTTGCAACAAATTTACAAGTTCCTAAATAATTACCCAATAATTTTCTTGTCTTTCAATTCTTAGCAAAACAGTGTGAACTGACAAAGATTAACATGGATGAGAAGACCTTCAGGTGGATGCTAAATGAAGATGAAATGGCAACGGACAAGTTGGCTGAGGGGATAAGGAAATTTGCTGCGGATGCTATTAAACTGGAGAACGTGATGAAGGAGAGGCTTTCAAAGGCTTAGGAATACGACGGTCAATAAAAAAAACTAAGTGGTCATTCTTTTTAAATGGAAATTGGTGACATTTATCTTGTTAAAATTATTTGCTTCCACATTATAGCAATCTTTGTTGAACAAAGATTTATATCAAAACTTTGAAAACTTTGCATTATATCCGTGATGCACATTTTCTAAAACACAATGCTTTGCCAGCATGTTGAAGAAGGCTTTCACATTCAAGTTTCCTATACTACTACAGTTCAGATGAATTGTTCATGGATCTTTTTCCACAACTGTACAATTCAACTTAAATCAGTTCTTAACAGCACTGCCAGTATAAACAAGTTATTTTTGAAAGTGACACTTTTGCAACATAAATTAGAACAAAATTTGTACTGATTTTAGAATATTGTTATGAAGATTGTTTTTGTTTGCAAAAAATTATAACTATACTATAATAGTATAATATAACTTTATTGAAGTAGAAAAATAACAATCCATGTACTGTTTGTTTACAGTAAGATGAAAGATATTACTCTAGAACTTTTCAAGAAAATAAAAAGCAATTAAAATTTTTTTGACTTATTCTTCTTAACTTGTGTGAATACCCCAGAGCTGTAGGCAGTGAAAAATGGATGAGATGGGGGAGGAGGGCTGTTGAAGTTGAAGGCCCACAATGTAAACACAGTTAGTATTCCTATCACTGCAGTACTCCTCTAGATGCTGGCTAACGATAATCCGAAAGTAGACTCTTGATAGTCTGGGAGAAAGGAAAAGGCTAAACCATTAACGATAAAAATGACATTTTGAAAAAATCACTGTAGGAGGGATTTATCCTAGCCCAAATTCCTTAGCCAATGGCCCTATGCACAGAAATAACTTTGTATGTTTGGTCATTTAGCATTTTGAGAAATAGGTGTTTTTTACATAACTACATGAAAATCTGGAAAATTTCTATTACCACTATCAACTGAAAGATCTGCCACAAAAAAAAATTGCTAAGTATCTCATTCCATATAATAAGCATCGACTTTGGAATAAAAACATGCAAAACTGCTGCCAAAGCTTTGAAATACAAAGTACAAAACAACACAAATCTCAGCACCCACAAATTTGTTGCTTATCTGTTTTTTTGTAATATGTAGTTACAGTAAATCTGTTACAAAGTTATTGGACTTAAGCAAAGAGAACATATTATTGCACGCTGGCACCACATTATGACATTTACACTGTACAGTTTGATAAAAATTTACACAACCATTAAATGCATGATGTCATGCAGTTTGTAAACAAGTGTCTGTCATACAGATCAACTTCTCTCATATCCACATGGGCTGTTGTTTTGGATCCACAAAAACTTGGATCTGTATGTCACTTCATCCCACATGCCACTGTAAAAAAAATTACTAATTGAAATTTTAAATATGAAAATATTGCAGTGAATTGAATTACAGTAATATTTATATAAATTTTACAGCTTGTATTTGTTTACAGATATAAAAATAAGTTGAAACAGGTTAGTTGTTTACTTAAGACAAATTTTCCATTTTGAAATATCTAAGAAAATCTTCCTTTCTGATAACGTACCAGTAAGAAAATATTCTACATTACCTTCAGACCTTGGGCATTATCTGGCATTTTGTTTAACTTTTCTTCAGTTTCTTGCTGCCTCTGTCTTTTTCTTTTCACAGCCTCTGGGTCTCTTATTCCCCTACTTTCATCCATTTTAATCCTCTTCTCAGCTGCTTCTGCCTGACGTTTCCTTTTTGTTTCCTGGTTAGCAAATCAATAGAAAATACATAAATTATCCCTTCTTTGGCTTTTAAACTCAAAGTTATTTACTTACTTAACTCGACCCTGTTACAATTAGAAAAAATATTCATGTAAGAGTACTCTACTCAGTATGGCACTGGTTTAAGTTAATTTCAGTTAACACTTAAAAAATATTTACAGTATAAGGTATTTATATCTGGTATTTTTGTATCAAAGCCAGTTTTCTTTGAGAAAAAAACTCCTACTCAAGAACTTTCACATGAGGGATTTAATATTTGTTAAATTGGGGAAAGGGAGCTTTCCAGGATATTTAGACAAAAATATTCCAACGCGTACACACTGCAGCAAAATTCTGGAATATTTTGCAATGCAGAAAGCAGTGTTCTGAAAATTTTGAATAACTCACTGGAGAGGGTTCATTTAGATCATCACTGTAACCTTGTAAACACGAGGTGCACATCCCCATAGTCAGGGTTAAGACAGATGGAAGCTAGCACTGTGATCTTTCCCTTCTGTTTTCCTCCGGATGTTGATACTCGTTAAAGGCCCCAAAGGTGACTCTGGTAAACAAGATAGTCTTTCACATCGCATAGAATTCCTGTCCTGAGTTGAATGCAGTAGAATATCCCCAAAATTATGATTACGACAAAACTGTTTTTGCAATAAAAAATTCACACCTTTTGCACGCTTTAAACATAGTGAAAATGTGTACAGTGTTGTCTTGTCTCACAGCGAAATGTAGCATCGGTGCATAGCAGATGATCAAAGCCAAGGGATTGTGTCTTGACTGTTGTAACCTAGAACAGGCTAAAGTATTTGGCAATAAAATGGGTAGAAAAGTGATAGTTGCAACATGTTCCTTAAATCAGTGGGCTATGGATTTTGAGGGAAACATGCAGAGAATCCTTCAAAGTAAGTTACTGGTGACAAGACGGCGTAGCATGAAATAGAAAGTAGAATGTTTCAAAGACTCCATCCAAATTCAGCACTTTGTATCCCCCGACCCTCCCATCGTTGTTATAATAATAGTATTAAGATATCCAAAAGAAATTACACAAGCAATCAAAAAGCAAAACCAAGGATGTACAGGATCTGATCTTCTAATCTTTTTCTTATTTTAATCCACGTCATTTTGTTTTCATTTAAGGATATAAGATGCTGCCTAGCTACTACTGTATATTAGATGTCATGCAAAGTACATATTCAACTGTGTAATCATTAACTTCAGGTATTCATGAAGCAAAAGCAAAAGGAGCTACTTACAGACTTGGACCAGAGCTTGATATTCCGTAAATTACATTTCTTTCTATGAATTTAAGTACTATTAAACATAACTTGACAAATTCCTAAATACTGTAACCATATAAGAATAATTCAAGATTATGCGATTATTGTTATAAAATAGTTATTGGTGCCCCATGGTTTTATAAAGGCATGAGAAAATTTAAAAACAATTCTGCTAATTCTAGGTTTTTCATTAACAAATACTTTATCATTTTTTCAGAGGTTATGGATGCCAAGATCATTTCCTTGAAAGTGATACATTTCTTCATTCATTCCAAGTGCTTGCTCAATTGCTGAAGTCTCCCATATGTCAGGATATTATTTGTGACGTGGGCATGTGAGTGTTCCTAATTTTTTATAAATAAACATAAATCATGGATGTATTACAACGATATCTAACAGTCTGAAATGGTCTTAGTATCAGTTACAGGCTTGTATGATTTTTGCAAATTATTATTTTTTGGCCGACTTACCTTTGCACTGTCAGAAATTGATGGTTGTGTTAATTTAGTCATTTGGCTATAGCAAGACTAATATCAATGGCAGGGTTAGAAAAATAGTATTTGCATACATTGTAGAATATAGGTGAAAATTTGCTTTGAAAATATCTTTTAAAAAGCACCTCTGTATTTTTGTATGTTCTGGATATTACTGGGTCGAATTTGCTTTTTGTTGCCTAAGTGTTTGCTTATTGTCTCCTTTTTACTGTGGCTACTTCAATGCTTCATTTTTAACTAATTAGTTATTTAGCATACAGTCCTAATTATTTGTTGCTATATTTGTTATTTCAGGCCAGTCAAACATAAAAATGTGGCTTACAACTGCAGAGTACTGTTTCTTAACAGGTAAATTTTATAGGAATGTTTTATAGGTCCAATTACCACAACATTTGTAGTTTAAGTGATCTAAAGGACGCTGTCTGTACCTCAACTGACAACCATGTATGTCTGCTTTCTAACTAGTCATTATTTGAGTTTCAACAATCTATGTAATTTTACATCATGAAATGTAAGCTTACCATCTTTTTTTAAAATTAGTTTTCTATATTTTGTGTCCAACACTTAGAAAGTTCTTGTTGATCAAACCTACTTGGTAGGTAATAGCAACGAATACAAGAATCTTTTCATGTACTTCACCTGTTAGACTTATGACCATGTAACATACTCCTGGCTAGTGTATTCCATAAAATTAAATAAAAATAATAATAAATTAAATATTATCACAGCTCATTTTACTGATTGCATTATGTTACACAATACCTAATGCTTTTTTTATATTTGACAGGAAAATTCTATTGATCAGACCTAAAATTCAGTTAGCATGTGATGGCAACTATAGGGAGTATCGTTACTTCACTGGCTGGGCTAAACTTCAGCAGACAGAGGAATATTTTCTCCCTCGCATGATCCAAGAAATAACAGGGCAGGTAAGATGGTGAATAATTGGCTTGAAGTACATTTGAGGGAAGAGTCTCAGAATCACGTCCAAGTTTATTATACTGTGCATCATTGAATTTGTAAAATATTTCATCCAGGTTTCAGCTTAATTTAAGGTACAGTTTTTTGTTTCTTTAAATTTTACCTTGTATTTGTATCAAAGCAAACAGTACCAATTGGGGATGCAGTCTTATCAACCTTAGATACTTGTATAGGCAGTGAGATTTGTGAGGAGTTGTGGACAGCAGAAAGGTAGGTACCAGATTATATCACCTTTCTATATCAGTGTATATCTCAGCTTTTATCATGAAGTTACCAGCAGATTAAAAAAAAACTACCCTTAAATAGTTTTCCTTTTATGAATATCTTTAATTTAAAAAAAATTGAACTTTGGTAAATATCAAGATATTACCCAAATGTGACTGACTGTGTGAAGGATTATGTACACGAAATTACTTTTTTTGCACAGCCGACATGTGGCTATGGGTCTGGATGGAGTGGAAATATTTACTAATGCAAGTGGAAGTCACCATCAACTCAGGAAGGCCTATGAAAGTGTAGACTTGGTAAAAAGTGCAACATATAAGGTATGTGCCTCCTAAACACTTTTACTTTAACTGAGTATAGTCTTGTGTCAATAAGCATGTTTTTGTTATTAACCAGAGACAAGGGAAGTCAAAAGACAGTTTTTTTTACAATGAACTGAGTGCTATTTGCACCAGTGATAATTTGATACTAAAGGATACACTTGAATATGTTTGGATTGTTTCAAATTAAAATATTCAATCTCTGATTACGAGGAATACACTTAATTATTTCTTTTACTTATCTGTTGCAGAGTGGTGGCATATATTTGTTTGCCAACCAGATAGGCTGTGATGGAGACAGACTGTATTTTGATGGCAGATCAAAGATAGCAATAAATGGAGACATAATTGCTCAGGGAAAACAGTTCTCTTTGAATGAAGTGGTATGCTTTCTTCATGTTTAACATCCAAATAAAAAGCTTATTAAAAGAGGCAAAAAAGTAACATATATAATCCTGCATAACTAACCTTGAATACTTGGTATTATATATGATCTTTAAAATGGATTTAAGAGGACTGCATTGATTCTTTAATACCATTGACTAATTTATTTCTATGAACATTACTTGTATTTTTATATTTCATGACAGCCTTAGTTCTGAATATTACATGTCCACTTAAAGCATTGTTCTGTTTTGTACTTGAACAGTTTAGACTCACTTTGAAGATGCCTTTTACTGCACCACATTTGTAAATGCAGATTAGATTCACTTTGAAGAAGCCTTTTTCTGCAGCACCACATTTGTAAATGAATGAGTAAGATGCATATGTGGCTATTTTCAGGAAGTATTGACAGCAACTTTAGACTTGGAAGATGTCCGTGGCTATAAAAATCAGATCAAGTCCAGGTGTCAATCAGTAAGAATTGATTCTTATTGTTAATTATTTGGAAGAGTAAGCTAGATTATACTTTCTTAATATATTGATCTACTGTGCTTAAAACAGTTATCTGGGATTACGAATATATTATTGGTCTAATTTTGATACTGCTATTATCTAATTTTGAAGGTTTNCGCATTACCTGGAACCAGAGGTTACCATTACTTTGAACCTCTGTCAAATACACTCATTGCTTACAAGCGTCCAGCTGAGGATGAGGGATGCACTGGAACCTTTGACTTAACTGGTTGTAGAGCAAGGCAACATATATCAGTGAACATACATGACTATGTGGCATGTGCATGTGATAGAAAATGGTGGGTGGGTTTGGTTGAAGAAGTGAACCATTTAGAACAAGACTGCAAAGTAAGTTTTCTCCATCCCTCAGGACCCACTCGGAACTTTCTTTGGCCAGCTCGGTCTGACATTTGCTGGGTGCCTGTAACTGATGTTATTTGCAAAATTAATGTCCCTGTCACTGTCACTGGCAGATCATATTCTATTACACGGGGTGACTACAGAAAAATTTGTGAGAAGTTCCTCTCAACTCATGTATCATAGTTTGAATTTCTTCTACCAGAAACAGTAACGGTAAAAATTTTGTATTTTATGTAAGATCAAATGTTTTTTGTTTTAGTGATGTTCTTAACTAGGTCACCATGACCTAGATTCATGTGAGGCACAGCAAGCTCTCAGCTGTTTCCAACTTTGGAGAGTCATAACTCTGATACCAGTTGAGATCTCAATCTAAAATTTCAGGATTTTTCTAGTCCCTATAATATCTATAACATATGTGAAAATCAGCAAGTTTCGTGACGGAGGGTACCCCTCGCTGGATGAGTTGATATGGAATGACCCCTAATCTTTTTCTTATTTTAATCCACATTATTTTGTTTTCATTTAAGGATATAAGATGCTGCCAAGTACATACTCCAGTATATATTCAACTGTATAATTACTAACTTCAGGTATTCATGAAGCAAAAGCAAAAGGAGCTACTTACAGACTTGGACCAGAGCTTGATATTCCGTAAATTACATTTCTTTCCATGAATTCAAGTACTATTAAACAAAACATAACAAATTCCTAAATACTCTAACCTTAAAAGAATAGTGCAAGATGGGGTCAACTCTTGTGATTATTGTTATAAAATAGTGATTGGTGCCCTGTGGTATTATAAAAGCATGAGATAATGTAAAAACAATTCTGCTAATTGCAGGTTTTTCATTAACAAATACTTTATCATTTTTTCAGAGGTTATGGATGCCAAGATCATTTCCTTGAAAGTGATACATTTCTTCATTCATTCCAAGTGCTTGCTCAATTGCTGAAGTCTCCCATATGTCAGGATATTATTTGTGACGTGGGCATGTGAGTGTTCATAATTTTTTATAAATAAACATAAATCATGGATGTATTACAACGATATCTAACAGTCTGAAAGGGTCTTAGTATCAGTCACAGGCTTGTATGATTTTTGCAAATAATTATTTTTTGGCCAACTTACCATTGCATTATCAGAAATTGGTGGTTGTGTTAATTTAGTCATTGGCTATAGCAAGACTAATATCAATGGCAGGGTTAGAAAAATGGCATTTGCATACATTGTAGAATATATGTGAAAATTTGCTTTGAAAATTTTTTTAAAAAAGCACCTAGAGCTGTATTTTTGTATGTTCTGGATATTACTGGGTCGAATTTGGTTTTTATTGCCTAAGTGTGTGCTTATTGTCTTCTTTTTACTGTGGCTACTTCAATGCTTCATTTTTAACTTATTAGTTATTTAGCATACAGTCCTAATTTTTTTTGCTATATTTGTTATTTCAGGCCAGTCAAACATAAAAATGTGGCTTACAACTGCAGAGTACTGTTTCTTAACAGGTAAATTTTATAGGAATGTTTTATAGGTCCAATTACCACAACATTTGTAGTTTAATTGATCTAAAGGACGCTGTCTGTATCTCAACTGACAACCATGTATATCTACTTTGTAACTAGTCATTATTTGAGTTTCAATAATCAATGTAATTTTACATCATGAAATGTAAGCTTACCTTCTTTTTTGTACTTAGTTTTATATATTTTGTGTCCAACACTTAAACTTATGACCATATACCACACACCAGATACTCCTGGCTAGTATATTCCATTAAATTGAATTAAAAAAATTAATATTATCACAGCTCATTTTACTGATAAGCATTATGTTTCATAATTCCTAATGCTTTTGTTATATCTGACAGGAAAATTCTGTTGATCAGACCTAAAATTCAGTTGGCATGTGATGGCAACTATAGGGAGTATCGTTACTTCACTGGCTGGGCTAAGCTTCAGCAGACAGAAGAATATTTTCTCCCTCGCATGATCCAAGAAATAACAGGACAGGTAAGATGGTGAATAATTGGCTTGAAGTACATTTGAGGGAAGTGTGTCAGAATCACGTCCAAGTTTATTATACTGTGCATCATTGAATTGGTAAAATATTTCATCCAGCTTTCAGCTCAGTTTAGGTTACAGTTTTTTTGGTTCTTTAAGTTTTACCTTGTATTTGTATCAAAGCAAACAGTACCAATTGGGGATGCAGTCTTATCAACCTTAGATACTTGTATAGGCAGTGAGATTTGTGAGGAGTTGTGGACAGCAGAAAGGTAGGTACCAGGTTATATCACCTTTCTATATCAGTGAATATCTCAGCTTTTATCATGAAGTTGCCAGCAGATTAAAAAAAAACCAAACTACCCTTAAATAGTTTTCCTTTTACGAATATCTTTAATTTAAAAAAATTGAACAGAAATAAACTTTGGTAAATATCAAGATATTACCCAAATGTGACTGACTGTGTGAGGGATTGTATAACACAAAATTAATAGTACTTTTTATTTTGCGCAGCCGCCATGTGGCTATGGGTCTGGATGGAGTGGAAATATTTACTAATGCAAGTGGAAGTCACCATCAACTCAGGAAGGCCTATGAAAGTGTAGACTTGGTAAAAAGTGCAACATATAAGGTATGTACCTCCTAAACAGTTTTTCTTTAACCGAATATAGTCTTGTGTCAATAAGCACGTATTTGTTATTCACCAATTACAAGGGAAGTCAAACTATAGGATACACTTGAATATGTTTGGATTGTTTCAAATTATAATATTCCATCTCCGATTACAAGGAATACACTTACATTAAGTATTTCCTTTTCTTTTCTGTTGCAGAGTGGTGGCATATATTTGTTTGCCAACCAGATAGGCTGTGATGGAGACAGACTGTATTTTGATGGCAGATCAAAGATAGCAATAAATGGAGACATAATTGCTCAGGGAAAACAGTTCTCTTTGAATGAAGTGGTATGCTTTCTTCTTGTTTAACATCCAAATTAAAACCTTATAAAAGAGGCAAAAAAAGTGACATCATGCTTAATGATTGTACAGCATAATGGAAGTATAACTAACCTTGAATACTTGGTATTATATATGGTCTTTAAAATGGATTTAAGACAACTGCATTGATTCTTTAATACCATTGTCTAATTTATTTCTGTGAACATTATTTGTAATTTTGTTTCATGACAGCCTTAGTTCTGAATATTATATGTCCACTTCCACTTAAAGCATTGCTCTGTTTTGTATTTGAACAGTTTAGATTCACTTTGAAGATGCCTTTTACTGCACCACATTTGTAAATGAATGAGTAAGATGCATGTGTGGCTATTTTCAGGAAGTATTGACAGCAACTTTAGACTTGGAAGATGTCCGTGGCTATAAAAATCAGATCAAGTCCAGGTGTCAATCTGTAAGAATTGATTCTTATTGTTAATTATTTGGAAGAGTAAGCTAGATTATACTTTCTTAATATATTGATCTACTGTGCTAAAAATAGTTATCTGGAATTGCGACTACATTATAAGTCTAATTTTGATACTGCTATTATCTATTTTTGAAGGTTAATGTTGTATTGTTAAAGGACTGTTTGATACTTGTGTTTTGTAGGCAGCTACATGTAAAGCCTTTCCGAGAGTGAAGGTGGATTTTTCATTGTCTCATGAAGATGACTTTTTCTTTCCTGTCTATGAGCCAATAGAATGGAAATACCACACACCAGAGGAGGAGATTGCGTGAGCTTTTTTAAGATATTTCTGTTCCCAGAATTGTTAAAAATTGACCAGATTTGTTCAGTAATAAAGTAAGAACATGGTTTTGTAAAAGTATTTTCCAGTTATAGTGCAAGATCTGAGTATAACTTCTTTTTCATTTATTTAAGCCTTGGTCCAGCATGTTGGCTTTGGGATTACTTACGCCGCAGTGGCAGCGGAGGATATTTCTTGCCTCTCAGTGGTGGCATTGACAGCTCCAGTACTGCTTGTATAGTGGCCTCCATGTGTCATCTGGTCTGTGAAGCTGTGCTTGAGGGAGGTAGGACTCCATTTTATTTTATAATTACATTGAAGGTCCATTTGAAACAAATATTACCCCAACTACTTTTTTCACTCCTAATATATTTATACAGTGTTTTAATATTCATATAATTTTGCAGATTCCAAAGTATTAGAGGATGCCAGGAAAATTACAGGAGACCCAAACTACATTCCTACAGACCCCAAAGAACTGGCCAATAGAGTATTCACCACTTGCTATATGGCAACAGATCATAGTTCAAAAGAAACTATGGAAAGGTCAAGGAAGCTTGCTGAGCAGATAGGAAGGTGAATGTAAATTATCATTCAAGTACTGTTTGATTGTTTGTTAAAATGCATACTTAACAGAATGAATGACTTATGGTATTTCCAGAAGCATGATAAACATATGTAATCTGCGAGATAATTTTAAAAATTTAATTGATAGTTTCCCTTTATTGTTTGTTGGCAGAGAGCATTACATGTGCGAAAATAGATTATTGTTTTTTTTTCCTTGGTAATTGAAAGTATGCATGGTTATAAGACAATCTCTTCTTGCATCTTGTGTTGTACTAATATTAATACAGAACATTAAACATTGTGTGATGATTATGTCTTTCTTTTTTTCAGTCACCATCTTCAAATCAAAATAGACACAGCAGTGGCAGCAGTTCTGGGTATATTTACTGCAGTGATGGGGCTTGTACCCAGGTTCAAGGCTCATGGGGGCAGTCTGAGAGAGAATGTGGCAATGCAGAATATCCAGGTACATGTTTTTTTGTTGTTTTTATTAACTAGCCTTGCTGTAAAAATGACATCCTACAGGGTAATTTTTAATCAATATTTATCAAGCATATTTACAAAAAAAAAAAAAACTAATTTGAGATTTCATTACTCAGTCAAAATTATCAAAAGGATAACATAATCAATGGGATTAATGTAACAATGTTGAAATTTATGTAGATATACTTAAAAATCATATCCATGTAAAATGATTAGCCTGAACACCTAATTTTATTATTAATTAAGCCAGTTTACTTTAAATGTTTTTCAATTCCAGGCCAGGCTGCGTATGGTTCTAGCTTACCTATTTGCACAGTTATCTCTATGGGCCAGAGGGAGACCAGGAGGACTGCTGGTGTTGGGCTCTTCAAATGTAGATGAAAGGTGATATTTAGTAGCTGGACATGTCCAGATAAAAGATTCGAGATGTCCCTGGTCAGGTTAATTAAGATATGTATATGGAGATAAATGGAAAGGAAGTCAGGCATTAGATATATAATATATAAGGTTCAGGTGATCCTCCAGTTTTCTTTTTGTTTTGTCCTCAAGTGTTAAAATTATTATTTAATTATTCTTTCAGTTTGCGTGGCTACCTTACCAAATATGACTGCTCCAGTGCTGATCTGAACCCAATAGGGGCCATCAGTAAAACAGACCTCAGGAAGTTTATCACTTACTCGATTAATAAATTTGGCTTTACAGCTTTGAAAGAGTAAGTTTGGATCCAAACTGTCATTTACATAAATCATGTTAGATACATTTTATTTGTAATTTGTGCAGCAAAAGAAAAAATCAGATAATAGTTTGCATTTTATTTTGACAGTTTATTATCATTACCTTGTCATTTGGAAAATAAAATTACCATTTTGTAAAAATTTTGTTGCAGCATATTTTCTGCACCTCCAACTGCAGAGCTGGAACCACTCATGGATGGCAAACTAGTACAGACAGATGAGGTAGGATGTCAGAAATCATTACACTGATTCTAGAATATTAAAAAATCTATTAATCAGTTAAAAGTAGTGCTTATCTACAGGGTGTCCCAAATAATGTACTATTCTAATGTTACTTTCTTTAATTTAATTCATTTTTGGGATGCTGTAAATACTATACCACTCACAAATTGACATCAGAATTTGGACTTGAGGACTACATGAGATCTACTTTCCCGTCATCGATGCATGTTTTATAAAAAAACTCAATTTTGGTTTTCAGCAAGATATGGGTATGACTTATGATGAACTTTCAGTCTATGGTCGCCTTCGAAAGCAGGCATTTTGTGGTCCATATAGCATGTTTGGCAAATTAGTGCACACTTGGAAAGAAAACTGTACTCCAAGACAAGTAAGATTTTAGCAAACTATGAACTATATGTAGGCAATGGCATGTTGATCATAAATATTCCTGTAATGAAGTAAGCATGTCTATTTTATGATATAATATTTATTAAGCAACTGGATACTGGTCAGTATATGAACTACCATAAAGGGATCATAAAGCAGTTTTAACGTTTCTTTTCTTTCTCTGAAAAGGTTGCCTCCAAGGTAAAGCACTTCTTCAGGTACTATTCCATTAATCGGCATAAGATGACTGTCATTACTCCTTCCTACCATGCCGAAAGCTATAGTGTGGATGATAACAGATTTGACCATAGACAGTTTTTATACAACATACAGTGGCCATGGCAGTTCAGAATGATTGAAGAGCAGGTGAGAAAAAGCCTTTTTTTTTTCTTTTTTCACAGTAAATTATGTTGTCTCAATTGATTGGCACATTGGTTAAGTTTTGGTGATAATAACAAGACATATATGTGGAAACGTGTTTTCATTTTACATGTACTTTGATTTGAGCTCAGAGCCATGTAACAGGTGATATTTTGAAAACACCTTGTAAACTTTCGAACTTCACATATATTTTAATATTATAAACTTAAAAGTTTTTAGATATATTTTAGAGAGAGCATATAAAAATTAAATGGCTGGCAGTTCATATGTTTAAGTTGTACTTACATATATGAATAAGGTTTATATATATATATCCAACCAGTATTTATTTGCATTACTGTTTTAATTATCTAAAGATATCCTGTAGATTATGTATCAACAAAAGACTTCATAGCTGTCAGTAGAAGGTTTGACATACTTAAAAAATATTTGCAGGTTCAAATAATGGAAAGCCGTCAGATTGCTGCAGAAAGGAGAGGAGGAGGAGGTGGAGGAGGGGGCAAAATAAAGAACACCAATATTGAGTATGAAAGGGAACAGCTGAGAAGACAGAGTAGCAGTGATTCTGATCAGCAGAGAGGTACTGGAGGAGGAAAGAAAACAGGAGATAATGATAAAGGGGTCATGGTCACAATGATGCTGTCATCTGGAGTGTCTTCCTCACGCCCAGTGCTGCTACCTGGTGCATCATCACTGCAGCCAGTGCTGCCACCTGGTGGGTATTCCTCACAGCCAGACACTGAAGCTCTTATATTGAATGGTTCAGAACCTCCAAAAAGAGGTTTCCAGCAAAAGAGGTCATATGATTTGGATAGTGGTCAGAGATGTTGCACACCGACAGTGATTGATCCTCCAGTATCTGCACCCAAGAGGTTTAAGCTAGGAATCAGGGTAAGTTTTGTTTTTTCATATCATAGGACCTTTTAGATTTTTTAAATTTAAACTTTTATTCAAATGACAGGTCATCCATTTCTCAACTTTATATATTCTAATCAAGAAAGGTTCATTTTCAATAATAATTTATTACTATTTGTAAATCTATTGTTTGTGTTTCCAGGTATTTTGAAGGCCAGATGTTACTGTTAAGATGTGGACAAGGTAAGAAATATGAACACAATGAAATACATCTACGTCATTTATATACATGTAGTAAACAGTAAACAGTATATGAGTACTGTATGCTGCCAACTTGAAATTAAAGAAAGGTTTTAGATTTTCTCTTCTATTATTAGGTAAGGTCAAACTTAGGTAAGGTCAAACATATAAAGTATAATCAAAGAATAATCATGCTTTACTTAACATCGAATCCATTTGAATAACTCATTTTCACTGTTTCAGCTATAAAGGTTCTTATTAGCGTGGAAAAAGAATGCAGCGTCCACATGTCACAAGGTTTAGGAACATAATATCTTGATAATCTCCAGTGGAATAGGATTCTATCTAAGCACAGTATCATGTAGACTATTGCTGAGAGACACTCAGCTGATTTTATTTGTTTGATCTTATAATGTAACTTAAGAACAGTAACAACTAAAAATTGCTGCTGATCATAGGCTGTGAATTTATATATAATATAAGTGTTTTTTTATACATGTATTTTTCTTGCTTACTCGTGTTCACTTGCTATTGATTTTATAATTATTTTGATTTAATGTAATTCACTTTTGGAATAGATTTTTTTAACATTTTACAAAGTACATTTTCAAAACATTAATCGCTTCTGATCATAGTATGTTATGATTAAAAAGAGCTACAATATCAGTGTTTTTGTTTGTATAATTTATAATGGGAAATTTAATGATTTCTTTTGGCATAGCTAATTTTTTTTATCTTCCTATCGCAAAAACTGTACAGATGAATTGAGTAATATACAATGATATATGGAATGTTGTAGCAAAGCATATAATTGCTTTTATAGAAAATATAATGGGTTCATTTTATAGAAAAAATCATTTTCTTAATGCTTCAGCCAATATGCCCCTCAACTGCTGGAGTAGGCATGGGGAGTCCTTTCATTCAAAGGGGATACACGTAAGGCAAGTCCATTCAACTGTAGGGGTATCAGGTTGGGCAAATTCATTCCACTTCAGGGGTGTCAGGTCGGTAAAGACCTATTTAAAGGGGGGGACAGGTGGGAATAGTCCATTTTATTCAAAGAGGTAAAGGTAGGATAAGTTTATTCAATTCTAGGGGTGTCAGGTTGGACAAGTTCATCCCATTTGAGGGGTCAGGTTGGGAAAGACCATTCTTTTTAATGGGGCAGATGGGAAGAGTCCATTTAAATAAGGGGCTGTTAAGTGGGAAGAGTCCATTGTATTTGAAGGGGTGGTAGGAAGAATTTAAACCATTTAGGGATGACAGATGTGGCTGGTCCATTTCATTTGTAGGGTGTACAGGTAGGACAAGTTCATTCCATTTCAAAGGTGACAGGTAGGAAGAGCCCATTTAATTTTGGGGCTGAGAGGTGGGAAATTTGATATTTGAATGAGGGGTGTCATTTTGGACAAGCCCATTTCATTTTATTGGCAGAAGGTTGGGCCAGTCCATTCCATCAGATGGGGGACAGATTTACAAGAGTCAATCAAGTTCTAGGGATGTTAGATGGCAGGAGTTCACGCTTATTGAGGTGTGACCTGGTGAACAAGTACATTTGATTTAAAAGTTGACAGTTGGAGTGAATCAATGGGAATTGATGGGTGCCAGGTTGTTACAATCCATTCAGTTTAGGGGCAAGTGCAAATTAATCATCAAAAATGTGCAATAAAATAGTAGTTAAATTTGAATATAATAAATGAGGAAAAGGGGTGTCAAAGAGCAAGCAAGCAAACAAACTAACAAGGCCTTCTTCATAACATAATTTATTGCAGATTTGAGACTATTTGAAATATTAAATTTGTCCCATGAATGCAAGGAAACAAAACATTTCAAATATCACTTTGAACTGGGAAACCTTTTTTGCGTGGAACAGGAATTGAAAATTTTCAATTTAATACCATCAGAACACATATTATATGCCTAATTGGGTAAATTTGAACTGTTGTTATTTAGATCTAAACTTCAGGGCCCAGTTTTATAAAGGGCGTTTAGCACTAACCAGTGGATAAGCCTAACCAGTGGATAAATTCTCCTAACACCCATTAACTAAAAGATGGTTAAATTTTGTTTTACATACAGTCTTCTGACGGAAAACAGCCAATTAGTTAACTGGCCAGTGTTTAACTGGATTAAATAATTATTTAAAGGTCAGTTTACTAACAGACTATTTAGGTCTGGTTAGAGTTAAACACTGGTTAGTGCTAAACGTCCTTTATAAAACTGGGTCCAGAATTTTTGTTCAATTTTTAAAATAGCATGAAGGTTTTCAAATGCAAATCAGTTTGTGGCAGCAAAAACCAGGACCTGTCAAAAGTGGTCCTGTACTATATTAAGAAAATATATGATATCTAGCAGGACAAATGAATATGCTACAAGGGATAAGAGTGAAACTTAGACCAAAATACAGAACAAACTTACAAAAAACATGATCATTAATGTAAACATTGGAAAACATTTTATATATTTCCTTTTAGCGGGTTAAGGCAGGTCAAGTGCTCTAATTCTATTATTTTTTAAATACATGGTATATTTACAAAGTTTTTAAACATTTCAATTTGAATCATCCAAAGAAACAAGGACAAGAAAATGAGGCAATATTTACAGGTCAGATATATGATCTTACTACTTATCTCCTGTTACTATTTCTACCACCTTTATCATAATTTCACATGAAAATGAAAAAGCCTACAATTATAAAAGTATATATTCAGATTTGATATAAAAGATGAATGTGTGTAGGGTTCCTGAATACGAACCCAAGGCTACCTGACTGCCGCTTTCAGCGCATGTTGTTCTGTATCTCAGTGGGCTTCTGGAATAAGAGAATATTAGTTACAATTTGGACAAAACGGACAGGCTCTCAAAATACGACTACTGCATTTGATATATCACAGAGGAAAGGGCATTAATGTTTGGAATTATGTGTGCTTTTATTGGCGTCTTAATTTACGACCCAGCTACCCCACACCCCTCCCCCCTCCGTACAACACACAGTACGCTGGAGACGCCACACAGTTAATCTACGTAAAATATTTCTTTGTTAATCATTGTGTCACGAGTTATCGCGACGTTTGAATTTTGTTGATGACAGTTGTATAAAGGATTTGTCCATAAAAATGACGTACACGATATCCTTTCATAAGAAGCTCAAATATTTGACGGGCATATGATATTAAGTAGAAAGTGTTCTTTACGGCAATTCTTACATCTAAACGAAAGCTATTTTTAAAAACCCAGTGTCTTCCAAATATGTCCAAGAGGATAGCTGAAGATTTCAAGCAGACTTAGGTTTTTGTCAAGGTCAGCTGAGAGCGCCGTTTACTACATACGTTTGCAGACTAACAGCATTGTAATACTTTATCAAAACCAATATATTCTAAGTATTGGTGAGTATAAATATGACAAAGAATCGCCTTATTATCGTGTTATAAATATTTGTCGTAAATTTTCTTTCATTTGTCTGTGCCTTTAAATAGTACATGTTGGGGGTAACTGAAGAAGTAGTGATACTTACGAATCAAGTATTTGCTTGTAAGCCTTATATAATACTTCGATCTTGCGACTTCACCACACATACTGTTGCGTCTACACCCAACTGTGTCCAACTGCCAAGTGAGTATTCTCGGATACCGCCCTCACTGCGATGAGCAACTTATTGTTATGCAAATTACAACACATGAGGGGTTGTAGCTAAAACTGTTCACGAATGTTCACGATCAAATACATGTAGACGTGACTGAAGTCCACTTGATGTTGAAATACACTTTATTCCAGAAAAAAATGACACGGGCACCCTCCACCATGAAGTACAACATCCCCGTTATACACCATAAAGTTTAACAGTAGGGGTGAATGATGATAATAATATTTACTGATAAAACGACGTTACGATAATAGAGACATAATGGAATCAATAATTCAGAGAACCGTTGGATCCAATTGCCGTCTTTTTATTTCTTAATATATTTTGTTAATTATTTCTTCATTTTATAAATTGTTTAATAATGCGAAAATATAAGGTACTCATACAATAAAACTGATTATTATTCCCCCCGTATCTATTTTTATAACTGAGAATTAACAGTGGCGGTAAAATTTATGCACAAATAGTTGACAAGCTTCCGTCATCATTCTGTGTAACTGTCCTCTCTCTCTGTGGTCCTAAATAGTTTACAGCACCATTTTATTGTATACTATATTAAATTCGTTAATCTTTCTTAGTATTAAACAATATATATTTTTATAAACAGTGATTATTGTAAGTTACATAATTGCACTACTGGTTTAGTTTGTGCTCACGGTCATCCCGTTTTCTCTTTTTTTTTTTTTAATGTTATATAAGATATCAAACATATTTTAATATCACAGACGTTCTATAAGACCTCTGGCCTTACGGCAGACAAGTCACAGCTGGGTGAGAACAGCTTGTTTTATTATGGATGACATTCAGCTCGAACAGAGTCCATCGGCGTTCTGATGTCTTCATGTTTATGACGGTGACGGTGAGTTTTATCTGACGTTACACAGCCATACTGTCTGAAGAAGCTTTTGCTCTATACATGAACCTCTTGTACTGTTCGAAGCAGACGAACATTGCAATATTCCAAGACCCCAGACGCAAGAAAGAAGGAGTGAATCTGAAATAGAATAATGAAGCTCGTTTATGCCATAACAAAAATTGACAGAAAATAAGTAAAAAAACACGTGATAGTCTAGTATCGCGATACCTTGAGTGGTAGTTTAAAAAGTTCCTTTTTCAGTGTCCGATAAATGTGTCTGAATCTTTTTTATTTATTTAAAAAGGAGAAGTACACCGTTAGCTGCAACTGTAGTCTTCAACCTTTTCTAATATGGTGTAATATTAGGCCCTAGCTTTTAAACTTGAACTTTGTGAGTAGAGACAATTCACTCTAGCGCTTCAAAAGCGCACCATTTTCTTATACTTACGTACAAACTAACACTGCGTATGACGGATTTGCAAATTTTATATAATATTGTAATTATTATTGTATTTATGAAAATCCCACTTCAGTTAAAGCGTGTGTTACCCTTTGTAAAAAGCCATAGGTCCTTCCTCCATTAGCATTTTGGTGGCGCAATGGAAGGCGCCCCTGTACGTCCCCTTGCCGGAGTTCATAAACCGCGTCTTCACTACATCTACAGGGGAGGCTATCACAGTTGTGACGAAACCAGCGCCGAAGCCGGATACGAAGTGACAAGGCATATTATCGGACATTAAGTCGTAGTCTAGGATCTTCTCTTTTATGATGTCGTAGGACACTAATTCACAACAGTTCACTACCGCATTTCTGGTCATGTTGGGGATTGTGCCTGATACAGAAAAAAAGAAATGATAAGAGGAATTAGGGTAATGCATAGAGTCTATAGGCTTTTTGGTGATAAAAAGATTATAAAAGACGAAGTAAGCCTGTAGTGGGGAAATTCTCAATTAAAACGTTCCAGTTTCTTATTCTTACCAGCTTATCAATTTCCCATCCATTCTAAATATACCATATAAAGTCTATAAATTAATTAATTAATACTTTATCTTGATGAATTTATAATGACATTGAGTATATAAGCTGTTTAGACGTGAATAATGTTGGTCTTTAATAAGTCAAACGTACAAGATGATGAAATATCCTGCACGTGATTCGACACGGATCATTAATAATTGAACCGTGACAAAAGGGAAACGTGACAGTGGGACTGAACAGAGCCAAGAGCTATTTTGCACTGGGTATTAGCTTTTTGGCTGGTATATAACCAGCTCGTGGTCTCTACTGATTAAAAAGTTTTAATGCCGTTAAAAAGTTAACTTTTTCCGGTTATTCCGGTGACTAAAACATGTTTCGTTGTGATGTATTGTGTTTCGAAAGAAGAAGTTTTGTAAATCGTATGTTTAAACCAGAAAGTACTATACTTCAAAAACCTTTTTTTTTCTTCTTTGTGATTTTCTCAGGTTGGTGTGGGAGGGGATAACCCAATAGATAATCCAATCTACTTCAAAACGAACCTTTCCATAAACCTCGTATCCCTTCTTGTTTGGCTATAGTTTTGTACGCAGAAAACGCGCTGTCGTAGCGCTTCGGGAGCACACCATTTCCTTGCGCTTGCATGCGCACTTTCACCACGTCTGTAGGCTGTGCAATCTGAACGGCCAGCGCGCCTGTGGTAACACCAGCCAGAATACGGATCCCAATGTGTGGCTCGCTGACTGGACCTACAAGGACAATTTCATGAATGCCTCATACAGCGTTGACGCGTACCCTGTAATTTTGCGTCTCCGTCTGTACCCACTTGCAAGATAAATTTATTATAACACCCCCCCCCCCCCTCATTTTGATGAGAGTAGGATAAGCACCACAATTATAAAGATATCCCCGAATCCTTCTAATAAAGAAACGATTAATCTTCACCATAATTATATAATTTTACCTTTCTGGCTCAAAATTTTACTGCATTTACATTTTGTAATAAGCAGTCTGTGACTGCTAAAAGTACTAACGATTGAAGAAACTGTGGTAATATCCTTTCACGTGATCATAAAGTCCTATTCTCACAGAGGCGAAGCACATCTGTCGTTGAAGTCCTGCGACCAGTCCGCCGTACAGTCCCCGGGCACCTTCGTGTATCACTATAGTTCTAATAGTTCCGAAGACGCCATGGTACTTTGGAGGGGCGCCGGCCAAATGCGCACCACAGGCAGAAATTAAGGCCGATTCCCCTTGAATCTAGAAATGTTTCAGGAATACAAAAATTATTTTAATGAATGATGAAAACACAGTATGCGGCATTATGCGCTTCCAATGACGTATTTTTATGATGATATATTGCTGTTTACATTATTATCAAACTACTTAAAAACACACAAACAAAACTCGTGAGAAACGGGCCATAAAACATTCATAGCATTGTCAATAGTTCGATATTTCTTAGCCAAAACCTACCTGTAATCGAACTTTGGCCATATCCAGAGGGAAGGTGATCACGTCTGCTGTGCAGGCGGCCAGGCCCGCACTCAGGATCTTGGTGCCAAGCGTGAATTCAGGCACCTTGGGCGCGGAAGTCATGATTACCAGTTATCTAAAATACTGTAATATATAATACACAACATTTAAGACTGCTTTACGCGTCCTTTAAACCTACAAAATAACGCGTATAGAGGCGATATAATGAACAGCGTAGGAATTGTGCTCGCTTAAATCAAACGTCAGTTTCCCCGTGATGAAAACAAAAACGTGCACAAACATAAGTGATTCTGCAGATCGAAGTGACATTAGCTTGGGTCACGCCTCGCCACAACTGGCGGGAAACACCTGTATAAGTAAACACAGATGGGAATGTTAATAGTCTTTTTAACAGACATGACTTAGTGATATATACATATATTTGAGAAGGTTATTCTTGACAACTGCGCATTGAATATTTTCACACTGCAAGTCTGCTCCCAAATTTTTTGTGAGCTCAGTCTTTCACATGATAAGAGTTACATAGTTAAATGTGACATTCCAGGTTAATTATGGTAATAACCATGCATCAAGGGCAGATGACTTGGCCTTATTTCCCCACGTATACACGCATTACACATAGAGATCCACATACGGTCCAAAGTCCATTTCTTTAATTGATCGTATCAACCCAGCAACATCCCTTTCATGGTACCTTTCCCACTCATTTAACTGTATTGAGATTTTACTGTCGTGCAGTGTATAAATGCTAAGTTCAAAGTTCATTTTAATCATTCGGAAATAGAAAATGTGTAAACAGTATGAAATGAGACAATAGGTTCAGTCGCTGCTATAGCCAAACTATCCTCTTCACCTGACAAAGGGGTAAAACAAACAAGGTAAACAATAGCCGTCATTGAATAGGTTCCATAAAATTTTGGTGCAAGGCTGCATTAGGACACTTTCTGAGAAGCGTGAATTGTTCAGATAAAGTTATCGTACCTTTCCCGTTTTCTTTCACTTAAATCTGTAACACTTACCTGGATTTATTTAAAAAACCAGACGGAGTCCCAAAGCACGTAGGTTGGCCAAACACTAAAGAAATCCAGCATCAAATCAACGTTTTTTTAACTGTGTGAACAAACTTGTAAAAAAAGATTACCTTAAAAGCAATGGCGACTGTTTTTCGATTCTTCAGTATATCAAATATTATATTTACTCCATCCAGCGATTTATACTGGAAGCAACACAGCCCCTTTTACATTGACCAATCAGCGACCCATGACTGGAGGTGTGTCTCAGTACGCCGCTTTCATTGGACAGCTATTATGACAACATTAACACAATACACACAGTTGAGCCACTACTTGCGGGGTCAGAGGCAACCATTCTCAATAACATGCACTGAACTGAACCGTAGCGCATTCCTCACAATGAGAAATACCTGGTCCGCTTGGCGACTCTTTCCCAAAAAACAGGACGACATTCAATCAAGTTAAACATAATACTCCAAAACTGGTTCTCCATCTTTATTTTACATGGTAGGAAAATTCATACATTCGCAGAAGGTTCTTTCACTTAATTAAGTGAAGCGTAGTTATCAATAACACTTCCCCATCTTTATTTTTCATGGTAGAAAAATCCATACAATCGCAGATCATTCACTCTATTCACTAAAGCTTTACTATGTACAGATCCAATCCATTTTACCATATCTTATAAGTTGTGCAGTATCAGCTTCAAGGACGATCAAATAGTACTATTACATCTAGTCCTAATGTATTTTGTAAGCTTGCATACTCAAGATAAAAAGTCCACGTTTTCCAGGAAAAAAATTCATCCAACACTGTTCAAAAATTGACCAATCTTCCTGTTTTTACATATCAAATCAATTTTAAATGTCTGACATCAGCAGCAGTAAAATTTTCACTTCATTATGATGCTGTAGACTCAAGTTCTGTTGCAGGGGTGTCTGGTTCCTCATCATTGTAGATATTTTCAGCCTGAAATGAAAATAAACAGGTTCATTTATTATCTCAACGTCATACATATGGCACCATTGAAAATGAATCCTTATAAGCAAGTGGGATTAAGTGTAAAATCTGATGTGATTTAACCCATTAATGCCATATAATTTTATGGGTAAACTTTTGATATCATCTAGAATGTATTACCATTGTTAATTCATTCTCGATATTATCCACAGGGATAATCCTCTGGGAATACAGTTGGGAATTTGGTGATAATATCTCTGATGATGATCATCAAAAAGATTATGAATGTTATTCAACTTGCTATTACATACACTACTGAAAACCCAGCAGATCAAAGTCACACATCCTCCATATATCTGAGCACAGTCTGCGTCTTAAGTCAACAGCTCTTAGTGACTATTACAAAAGGTGTTGGGATAGCAAAAATAAATAAATAATCTTCATAGATACTCGTTCAATAAACTATTGAAAATTCAATCATCATTTCAATTCAATTTCCTACTATCTGATGTCCTCATTCCTGGACTAGTTAACTTGAATTTGGACTAGTGGCTAACTGAGGCCTAACAGTGAGGGACCAGTGGGCAATAAAGGTTATATTCACAGACAGGAAGTATTTGAACATTGATGTACTCACCATCTGCCACACTTGCATGATGTTGTCCTCAGACACAGAGCAGATCACCCATGGCTCATTGGGATTCCATGAGAAGTCTGATATTTTGGCAGTATGACCACCATGGATGAACTGAAGAAAAAAAATTAACTAATGACACAATTTATAAATAAATTAATAAATAAATATTTAGTTACAAGCTATGAGTAAAGAGGTAAATTTTTATCAAAGCAAATTGTACAGTTAAAAAAATAATAATAAAAACCTACCAGAAGTTCAGGTGGGCCATCTTCAGCATCCTCTGCAGACTGGTCTTCACCAATTTTACTATTTAATAATAATAATAATAATAATAATAATAATAATAATGTAACAATATATGCCTTTATATACACCCAATGATGAAACTATAAACACAGTGATCAGCATCAAGGTTTTGACATAACTGCTCACCTGAAAGTTATATACTTCTAGCATCATATACATTTTATTATTTTTTCACCTTCAATATATTACAAAAATTCCAATTGACTCATATTGGGTGCAATCCCAAATTTATCAAGGCTATATAGAAAATAAATAAATCTGCCAGTACTACATATCACTCCTACCTGAGATCCCATACATGCAGTCTTCTGTCTGTGCCACTGGAGGCAAGTATAGTTTCATTGTGTGGAGACCACTGGACCTGATCACAAAAAGATTATAAATGTACTAAGTTATCCTTTCTAAACCACTTTTGTTTCTTATCCATCAAAAGGTACATCAAATAGATGCCACAAAAATGAAGGCTATCAAGGATATTTATTAAATAAATGATCTTAAAAGAAACAAAACATAACAAGAGCAATAAAACCTACCTGGAAAATTTCATCTTTATGCGATTCAAAGGAATGTAGTTTCAGTTTTAAATTCCTCAGATCCCATAATGCAACAGTCTGAAATATTGATATCAAAACAATAGATTGCATCATTCAATAAAAAAAACTTCCCCCAAAATTATCATAATTTATGTAAACAAATGTAAAACTATAAACTCCAGTTTGAGTTTCTATTAAATATTACAAAATGTTACCAAAAAAATTAAACTTATTTATTTTGATACTTTCCATGTAAATATTTAAATGTTCCCCAAAATTAATCATTATTTACCTGAACAACTGTAAAACTATAAACACATTCATTTTGATACTTTATTTAATCAACAGCACAAATGAAGAGTTACTGTGTATATAAGTATTTCAATGTCTGCTTAGTCACCTTCAATATATTAGACTTGCCTATAGCTCAGTTATAACCACATTTTCTTGAATAAAATACCACGGCAAGCAGTTTACACAGTTGGGGCTTTGTGTCACAAAAGAACTTAAACCCAAATACTGGTTTAAATCTTAAGGCATATTTGAACCTAGCGTCGGTGGAACATGGATTCCCAGTAATGCATATAAACAATTTCTACTGGTTTTTTATACAACTCAAACTAAGTCAATATGAGAAATACATCCTTTAAATCAAAATTTCAGTCCACTCTTGACCAAAGCACATTCACCAGCAAGTCAATTAAACATTTCAAAAGAATGTTGCAGACCAATATTTACTTCTTATCTAAAATAACTACTATGCACGATATGGTATTTAACTGAAGGAGATCAAATCTTGAGTCTAAAAGCAAAGACAAATCTATGCAGCAAAGTTCTTTTGTAAAGCTGGACCCTGAAGAAATTCTTAACTGGATAAACTTACTTTATCTGCAGATCCAGTGGCCAGGATGAATTCACTGTATGGATTAAAAGACAAACAGTTCACTTCCGCTGTGTGGGCATCCACCGTGTGACTCGGCTTACTTGTGTTATTTGACCTTGTGTCCCAACTGAAACATGACAAGAATTACATGTACTGAAAGATGAATATATGCAATTACTCTGCTACCATACAGACTACTGAAAATGTGTGTATCTTAAATTAAGATTCTTAATTGAAAGCAAGCTCAATGTTTACCCCTTCACTATTACCCTAACAGATGGCCCATACAACTAAAGAATGAACCTCTTTGATATCACTTACATCATTAACTTCTGATCGTCAGCCACTGAACCAAACAAGCTTTCATGAAGAAGATGCCAGGACACATCCTGTAGAATAAAATCAAAACAATAAAGAAAATGCTGTAGAAAAATCAAACCCATTTTCTGCAGATAACAAAGCTAGAACTTGCAAGAAAAGAAACATTAAAACAATCAAAAAATAATAATGAGAAAATCATCAAATTCTATTGACTATCAAAAACAGAAATAACTGAATATTTTTGTTTTCTGTTTTGCAGCTTAATGTGCCATTTTTTCTTTTTACTAAGCAAAATCCTTTGAAATCAATTTTCAAAACACAGAAGTCACATGTACCTCTACGACTGATGTGTGTCCTGTAAAAATAGTCTGTGCATCTATCACACGTCCTTCTTTGGGGTTGGCATTGATATCCCACAGGCAAATTGTCTAGTGAAAAAGAGGACATGGCAACATAATTGTTTTCAGAATTCCACGTTAAAATTTAAGTGTAATATTCACAAAAACAAAACATCAAAACATTCAAATTGCTTTCACTATGCCTTTTAAATCACAAAATGCTTAAATAGTACTCTATCAACAGCTAAAATTCAGTATGAAGTTGTCATGAATTGAGGCAGTTTTATTTATCTACTATACATTAAACTGTTTAATTATATACAGGGGTTTCCACAGGATCTGGGGTACAGGGAGTCTAAAATATGAATTTAACTATGTCACAGATTTACAGAGAATCCAAACCAAACAAGTCATTTTCCAAAAATTCTGTAAGCTGTCCAGCCATCGTTTGATTACAGTGGCTTTCCAAATGATGGCTAGACAGCTCTCCAGATGGGGGAAAACCTTGACAGTATAGCAACCAATAAACATACTTACATGGTCATCAGATGCACTGAGTAAATTCCCATTTAGGTTTGGGTTCCAAGAGAGACCATAACTGAAAGATAAATAACTTTCTGATAAAACTTGATAATAAGACAGTTCAAAGATGTACAATGCATCTATCATATAACAAGACAATGAATATGTTGTACATGAAAATATTGTAAGTCACTTACCCCTCTTTCTGATGGCCCTTCAGTCTCAATTCTGGCTGGCATTCTCCACTAGGATCTTCAAAGATAAAAATATAGATGTTGGGACCAAACAAACACAACAGATGGCAGCAAAATGTGGTTGCTCTTGCGTATTTCAGTATCACATTGCATGAAGTATATTATTAGTATCTACGACTTCATCCAGAATAAATATAAATGCAACTAGCACAGTGCCTTATAATGTTCAGACCCCACTGAAAATAAGCAATGATACTCTACATGAGAGGAACACATGATATTAAACAAAAAACACAATACCTGGTTTTGAAGGATGTTTTGTGTAGTCAAACACCAGCACATCACTTGATGGTGTCTTGGTGGCAATAACACATGGGTTCTGGGGCATGTAACGAGCCCGATTCACTTCACCTTCATGATTGATTTTGATTTCTATTTCTATTTTTCCACTCACTGATCCAAAGCCACCAAATTCTGAAATTAATAAATATGATTTTTTTAAAGAAAGTGGTCTGTATTCAGCTACATGCCGATAAATTGTTGTAACATATTCTCCCACATCATACACATTTATCTTTAATAAATCTTCGACATTTGTCTTTTGACTCTTAAAGATATCAGATAATGCTTTACCTACCTCCTTTCTCACTGTCATAGTGTGAGGCGTCAAACTGGGCATTGTCATTAGGAAGTTGGACACTTGCTATCAGTAAATGATTCTGTTCATCTGACCTGAATATATAAAAAAACAGTACATAAATACATGTCTGACATTAAAGAAACATCAAATTAATAAAATTGCAAACAAAACAATGTACAACATGCAATGTCACTTTCCATCTGGTCAACTAGATGATTTGTAGTATAAAACTACAAGGATGAATCTCATATCAATTTTCCTTTTTGTATTTAATCTGGTATATCAATTATTTAGAGAATACTCACGTGTGGGTCCCAAGGATGAGTCTGTGTATAGAGTAATCTTTGCCTTCTGGTCTGAAATCAGGACAAAAAGTGTCAAATCATTCCTGCAATATTTTGGTATGGTCGTTACAATTCACTACATTTTCTGACAAAGTCAATTTTGAGCTCTCTTCTCATATACAAATAAAATCATCATGATTATTCAATCTTTCCTTGATAAGACAGCATTTATTCAACACATACTCTTCTCAAGGTCACTGAAGACTAAGAATTCAGAACAAGTTGATCTGAGGACTAACGGATCAAATATGGCCGATTTGAAAGCTTGCCACATAATACCCTAATAGACACTGAATAGATTCCCTGCAAGCTTTCAAGTAAGTCGGCCATATCTGGTAGTCCACGGATCAACTTTGATTGTGAATATAGCCACAGTAATGATGCAACTCTTTTATTTACCTGGTGACATCAGGCAGCCACTGTGCTGTGAGACTAGGCCATTCCAATGCATGTGTCATAACCAAGTCATACAAGAAAGGAGTGTTCTTTTTCCAGATCTTGTACTCTTCATTTATAACCCTTTCTTCCACAGCATCATCAAAGCCTGAAAATCCAACGCACAAAGCATAATATGAATGTACTACTTAACTGTATGCCAGTAAGGAAAATTGTCTTTTTTGTTATGTATCAAACAATTGTTAAAAAAACATGAAAATATTTCAAATAAATGTTCAATTAGGTATGAACATACCAAATGTCAGAAACGAATAAAATTGAAGGTTATGAATAAAATAATATACAAAAGGAATAAAACCAAACTGAGGTTAATTTCTTACATACTCCAAGTTAGCTGCATTTTGCAGCATTTCATCTCTTGCAGAATTATAAGGAATGAAAAAGATGGTGAAAAAATTAAATAAAACCAACACTGGCTGCTAAGAATAAGCATCCATTCTTTTTTGATTTTGATATCTGATCAAGGACACAAAGCCTCAAGCGGGTCAACGTTCATTATTTTTTTCCTTGTTTTGTAGCAAAAGCTTAGAGCAAAATGCAGCTGGACTTGATAGGGTTGCAAAATGCGAAATCACAAACTTTGATCAACGTATCCAGATGTGGGATTTGCCTGCTTCCTTCCGCCATCTGTTGGGCATGAAATGCAAGGAGAGGGAAATCAACAAGGAATCAAAAAACAATAGATGTATTCTGGTAACAAGTTCCAAGCTTAAAACAAGTGATTAGCATGTACATATGAGCAAAATTCCTATTCCCTTTGCCCAGTTATCAATTATTTATAAGTATATTATCCATTATTAATCAATTAACAATAAAAATTATGTTAGCAAATAAAATATGCAAATAAACAATTAAAAAGGATATGAAGTTTTTTGATAGTACCACTTCCAATGTGCAAGTTGTTCATTATTGTTTTGTTTATAGGTGTTATACAATATCAACTAAAGAGGGCTTTAAAATATATGAAAGACTTGAAATTTGCAATCTTCAAACAATTAAACAAACAGTTTGTAAGTCATTCAAAATTACTGAGCTAATAAAAAAATCAAGAGCTAATACCTTGCATAGCATATATTTTTCAAGATATTTTATCATCTTTCACTACTACAAAGACCACCGACACTTTGATTAAATGATAAAGAATCAGACAAAATGTTCAGTTACTTTTTAAGTTGAAAATGTTAGTTGAATTCATGGTGTTAGATTTGTTATTCTAATAGTTACTTGAAGTGTATTATGGTTAGGCTACACAAAAAAAAAAAAAAAAAAAGATGACAATGAAAGGGATGTGTTAATAGCTGGCAAGATACGATCTTCAAAGAAGTTCTACTTTTCCCTCCACTTAACTCAAAAAAGACCTTGTTACACAAATACATAATAACTAAAATTTTAGCAAAATCTTATCAGATATGACACTTTAAAAATAAGCATATTTATGCAGTTAACTACATTAGCTTCAGTTTACAATTATACAAAAGTAACATGTTTAGTAAGATTCTGTATTCTACTTTACTGTCAACTGGACCCTAAAACGGCCAGCCTAAAGTGAAAGGCACAGAACAATAGAGTCATACTAAAATTTGCAATATAATAGAGAGAACGAGTCCAGTTGCAAGTAAACACAAGATAATAGGGTAATATTAAAACGAAAATATATTACTAAGTAGTTAACAAAGTTGATCCAACTTAAAAATTCGACATGTTAATTACCATGTTGGCTACTCAACCATAACGGCTCTTATTGGAAAAATAGTGGACACCCCCAAAATAAAATCTTACCTGCTTGTTAAGTTGGATCAAACATATTAAGATCTTATAATATATTTTGCTTTTACACTACCCTTTCGTCTTGCAAATGATCGTTTTCCCTGTTTACCCGTGTCAAGTAGGTTTTTCTAGTGTACTGCGCTGTGTTGGGCATTAAAGTATGACCAGTATCATGTATATCTATTACTAAAATGTGGAAGATTGTAAAGAGATACTGTTCAAGGATTGAGGGCATCAAACCAAATTTTGTTCTCAACACAGTTTCTGATGGTGTAAGTTTTATCTAGTTTCAAAGTGCGCAGTAAAGCCTTACCTAACGATAAGGTAACAGAGGTCGCATTACTTTAAGGAAATGTTACACTTAGTACTACGGTGCCCGTACATGACAGTATAGACGTGTATTTTACAAAACTATTTCAACAGAGATAGCCTCGTGTTTCTTGCTTTGTTTGCTGGCTATCTTTGTGCCCATAATATCACAATGGCATGAATGGTGGCAGCATACAGAACATGAAACAGATGCGTCTCCTATTCTCATTGTTTTCTTTTAAAATGGCCGCCTCCGTTTTTGAAAATGCCGGTCAAAAAATGGCATGAATTCATAAATCAAGAGTTAACAATCAAACTATGGATTCACTTCAGCACATGCAATCCTTACCCCCGTCCTTGTCGGTCATTTTTGCTACGGTTTCAGTTGTTAATTATGCAAAAAATCGTAAAATTGTTGACAATCGAGGTGCGAGAAACAAAGACATGCGCACGAAACCGCGCCAAATACTAAGAATTGTGGGTATAAAATAAATCAATATTTTTTCACAGAGTATGAAGTAGATCAGTATCATGTGCCATGAGGATGTAATTTTTCTCTTTCTGTGCCTAAAGGAAGGGCGGTTGCATTTCATTTGAACTCAACAGAAAATGGGAGGAGAATCATCAACATCCGGGCACTTATACAAGATGGAGGCCATGTGAGGGTCCCATCCCCATTGATCAGGGCATTGTTATGTTCCACATAATATCAGGAATGTGAATATTTATATTACTTTTCAGATGACGAAAACGTAACAGTTGGAAGCAAGCAGTATTTGCCATGGAGCTAAGTGATCAGGAGCTTCGGTATTACAATGAGCTGTTTCAGATGTGCGACGTTGACAGCAACCAGAAAGTGACAAGGGCTAAAGCTACAGAACTATTTATTGCATCCGGATTACAACCTGATATTTTACACCAGGTAGTTGAGTATACTTTTCTTGCATTACTTTATATTTGACATGTTGAAATTTAAGCTGGGTTAACTGTGTCATTGAGTGCCCATAGATGTAAGAAATGGTAATCGAGTGTTGTACTTAAAATGGGTTTAATGACAGAAATAATATTATAATATTTGTAATAAATTATTAAATTGCAAAATATAAACATATTTATAGAATCAGACTAGAAATAGTGATTTTTTTTCGTAATTTAATCCAGTGTCCTTACATTACAATGCTGAGAAGGCTTGGCCTTTCCGCATTGCTGGGAATGTTAAAATTTTCACCAGTTCAGCTTGCAGCAGGAATGAATTACTATTAGCAACAAGATATTACTATTTATTTAAATTTTAAAGGCAGCTGTTTATCACATGACATAAATAGAAATGAACATTCAGATAGTAAGCCATAAACATCATGGTGTTCTAGTGCCATTTGCTAGTCAAAATGTATGTATAGTGTATGAGTCCCTTTTAGCAACCTCTCTTTGATGCCCCAATCTAAAGGTTCTGTCACACTCTAGCACATAGAACTGATGTAATTGGAATAATTGCCCATATGCAGACAAACACAAGAGTTTTGGTACATTTGTGTCTCGGCCACCCAGACAAGCGTTCAGCCGTTGGTATACATTTGCATGGGAAATGTTTTGAGCACTTTCTAAACAATTTCATAAGCTGCTTACGTGTTCATTTTCATATGCTGCAAAGAAAGGGTGATTTTAATTTCACATACAGTTCTTCCTCTATAGGTTGTGATAGTCTTAAGTTTAGGTAGCAAAACCTAATAAAGTTTCCATGTCTGCAGCGTAATACTAACTAACACACACTGAAAGATGGATGTAGAACATATCTTTCAATGTCAACTTTCTCGGAAGCTAATCTACCTTAGTTATTTATTGTAAACCAGCAAGACTCTTGAATATTGCTTTTACATACAGAGCGATATTTAAAGCATTGACATTTACTGTTGGCTTTTGATAAATGTCATTTTTATTAATCAGTGGTTGTGAGACTCTAGTGGTTAGGTGTTTTTCCTGGGCTATTCATGATATTGATTTCGATTTTTATTTTTGTATCAGCTGTTAATAAGTTATTGAAGATTTTATAAGTAACCTGGGGTTTCATAAATAGGATTGTTTGAGTGTGCTTATTTTGATAATTATTTGTGTATACTAGTAACTGTTTATCCTTTTCATCCTTTTAAGGTCTTTGACCCTTTTTTAGACATACAGAATTGTTAAACTGATTGTTGTATCATACATCGATATAGAAAGAAGGAATAATAGCAGCTTAAATATTCTAGTTTAGAATACATTATATATATTTGAAATTTACATGTTTATCATCTGTACATGTATACCATAGATAAAAGTTGTCAGATATTTATGGCTTACACATGCAGACAGTATGCGTATACACACACACATACACACACACACACACACACACACACACACACACAGAAAAGAACCTAACCTGAGGAATAGATGAAAAGGAGGCAACCGTGCCAGTGGTTAGTCACCACATAATGAAGTAATTTATCATGGGATATATTTGTAAATGTCACAGCAGTTCATGCATGAGTAGGAATGCCACCAGGTAGAGATGGTCTTTTTGACTTCCTTTTCCATATTTTCTTTGTAGATAGCTGTGTTTATACATTTCCAAAAGGCAAATAACATTCTCAACCAATAGTGCCATTAATAATTATGCCTAGAATCTGTGATATTAGAAAAGTCTAGCTGATGAAAAGATGAAATATAACAATTATTTCTTCTTGGGAACTCTATTGACCTTGTTCTATTGCACTATGCTGGTAGTCATGATGTTGTGCTTGCTAGTAACTGAATATTCCCAGAGGCCATTGGATTAAAAATCAAGCTTTTTTATCCCCTGAAACAGTAGTTGGTAGTAAATTATACAGAAGCAAAGGGAATAATCTGTGGCACAGTAATATGTATAAAAGGAAAAGGAGGTTATTTATTTTTTGAAATTTTTAAATTGAACAAGTGTTTGGTAGTTACTAGTAATTCTATATAAGAAACCTACACCATAATAAGGGTCTAGATATCTCATTTGAATTTGGAAATGTACCAATGCACATAGCTTTTGGCATGATAACATATATGGATTCACTATCTGTATCATGGCAAATTGGTATGCTGCCGTGGGTTGCCCTTGATATGGCACACCCAAGGGAGTTGCATGATAGCATGCATGGCCAGGATAAGGCTTGTTCTGCCAAGGGTTAGATGGGTTACAAGTTGTCAAGACCTGGTCTTGGCTGGTAGAGATGCAGCAGTTTCCATATACAGACTAAGACCCCATTGCCATAGACTTAGACATGTATCAACCAAACTCTGTGGGGACTCTTGCTGACTGCAATCAGAGTAAGGGAATTATATGCCTTTTATTATTTCCAATGTAGTTCTTCAATCATCACCTTTTCTGCATTCTACTTAATGCCAGGATGCATGTCATTCAGTTAAGCTGATTGCAGTCAGCAAGAGTACCTACAGAGTTGGGTTCATCCACATAGACCAATGATGGGATCTAAGGAAGAGTCTATATCGAAAAGCACTGATCTACAAAAAAGACCAGATTGAAAGTCTGCCATTAAGCATTTGCTTTTGTAAAGAAGAAGAATTTTGCAAACAAACTGTAATTAAAATGGGATTGTGTAATTGATCAATTTTGTCACAATGTTCCAAGTGTGAGCCTGTGAAGTGTGATATTTTTCCCACCTAGATTGCTTTCCCATTGATGGCCAGTGGCATAGAAGTTGATGCCTTGGTTAATGCAGAGTTATGGATTTCTTTAATGAAGGGTGGGGAGTATAATGTGAATGTATGCATCACAGCTTAGGGACCTCAATAGAAATCAATTTGTTGCAATGTTTCAAAGGCAATGAATTGGAAATATTGGTGCTTTGAGAGATCTTTTTGCTAGGCTCTGAACATCCTGGACATATGATGTAGACGAGGAAAATCTTTTTTTCTCTCTTTCTCTGTTAAGGATGATTTGTTTGTAGACAGTATTTTTTTGTAAATCTTTGATGGATAGTGCTCATGAACATGATTTTATGATCTTGTTATAGCAAATTATATAATTCTAAGGATTCACTATCCTGACAATCATAACATATTGTTATTTGAAAGGTTATGCATAGTACTGTCTTACAAGAGTGAATGTTGAAAGATAACAGTATATTGGTCTTGAAAAGTTAATACTGAGACTTTCATCCAATATACACCATATATCACAAACAGTTGTCAAAAATAAGAGCTTTACTGTAGGCAATATCCTGTGGATCATGTTATTTAGCAGGTTATTATAATAATTTATATGCAAAATTATCATAAAGTCACGATAGAAACCAATTAATTGACCCCAAGGTAATGCAAGTTTAAGCTTATAGCATCCTGATGTGTATGTAGTAAATGCAGCTCTGCGACTCTCATATATACATGTATATCATACTTTGATGATTCATATAATTTCATCCAGTATAATCCCAATCCAAGCAATTTTATAGGGGTTTCTATTGCAATGCCACAAGTGCCATAGTACCTTTAGCATGAACTAATGTGTGTTTTTTCTTTGATTGTATTTTAAACTTTGATTTTCACATTGTGTGAGTTCATTTTACTGGTACGTTAAGCTTAGTCCAAAAACTAAAAGCATTGTTTAAGTGTTGTCTTAAATACCTTTTGTTTTGATGCTTTCTAATGTACTTGTGCCAATTATTTATAAGAGGCATAACATTAGTAATAATAATAATAATAATAATAATAATAATGGTTTTGTTTTCAGATAACAGAGCTATGTGGAGCTCAGAGATTAGGTCATTTTGGCAGAAGTCAGTTTTATATTGCTCTCAAACTGATAGCTGCTGCTCAGAGTGGATTGCCCACCAAACTGGAGAGCTTCAATGCAGGTGAGGGACCCATAAATTTATTTGTATTTATAGAATTGAATACAAAACAATCATATACTTTTACCCTATTATGCTGTAGGCATTCCGTGGAAGGAGGGGATTGGGACGAAGGTGTGCACATGGTGTAGATTGTCGTTATTGTCTTTAATCTTATCTAAAGGGAAATTTTTCAAACATCACATTTACCCAAGTTCTGTCTTGTAATATTACAAGATTTTGTGCTGATTTTTACGGATACCTACCTCTAACTTAAGAAAGTATAGTTTGAAGGTTTTGTCTACAATGATACAACATTTTTTTTTACAGGAAAAGAAATCCCCCTGCCAGTGTTTAACAAGCAAACTGACCAAGGTGAGAGCTCATATTGAGCTATACTAAAACATTCTTGATGGCTGTAACAGTAAACCAAGACATTGTATTAAAACTGACAAAATTAATCTTTTGTCTCTCCAACTAATCAAAGGTTGATTTCCTTTCTTCATTCAACAGGATATGTGGTTAAGAGATATTCCTGATCAGTATTAACTATATATGCTTCTTTCCTTGTTTTATCAAGAAGTCTTCAATATATATATATATATGCCTTTGTATTTTAATATGTTCTTTTATTCATGTAAGACATCACAAAATAATCAATGATTTTATTTTATGCAGAGCCGAGAACTACGCCAGTTCAACAAGGATTCAATCAGCCAAAGTCTGAGATTGACAAGTAAGTGACAGTCTTTAATTAATCTGCAATAAAAAAATACTATTCAAGAAACTGATTGACTGGAATCTGATCCTATATGACTACATAAGTGTTTCCCACTCTTAGGCCATTAACTTCTTTTTGAAATATATATCCCTTTACTTTTTACTTGCTTTGAATGTATCCAGCATTATTTAATAAAAATGCTTTTATGTCCAAGGCTATGTTATTTCTGCATAAACCTGTACTCTCATTTATTGTGTTTACCATTTGTCTCAGGGAATATAGTGTGTATGGAAGCAAATGGTGGACTTTCTAGATTAAGCCCTTAAACTGTTTTAGTCAAGATGGTGCTAGATGCAGCCCGTGTTGTAAATAACTAAAAAGGCACTGGATTTCTATCCTCACCATACAAGCCACAGTATCTCCATATAAGGTGACTCCTACTGTGCCCAAGTAAATTACCATGATTCAGTTTCATATATATTATAGACAGTCAAAGATGCTAATTGAATATTATTAATATTTTTTTGGTCTATAGATCTTCTGGCCAGCAGCCAGCAGGCCAGTTACCACCACCACCAAAGCACAGCAGGGGCTCAACAAGGGAGAGACCTGTGGGGCCTGGAGGGGTTATACCTTCAACAGCAGCAGTACCACCACCAGCAGCAACAGGGGTAGAGGTGCACTCAAATCCCGTACAATCTCCTCAGCCATTACAGCCACAGGTAATGAATCAGATATAATGTTTATATGAAATATTTGTGATAGAAAATTATTTCAATGGACAAAGAGTAGAATCAAAAGAAGTGTAATATGTAAAAAAAGCAACAAATCAGATATAATATAAAATATTTATGAACGAAAATTATTTCACTTAACATGGAGTTGAGTAAACAGCTATGTTAAATGTAGAAAAAACAAGTTAAAAGGTTTGGAATTACCTTGTTTAGAGTTTAAAAGATGATATGATATTATGAATGAGAAATGATAGCATAGACTTTTAGTAGAATTTAAGAAAGGGGAAGTTGTTTTTACTCGTCTCAAGTAGTTTTTTATCTAGACTAGAGATGAGTAAGATTTGATTTGGTTAATCTATTCTGCATTTTGGTGTGTGGAGAGCTGTGCTGTAACAACTCAGAAAAATCTAACCATGTCCTATATATCTTACAGTGTTAAAACTTAATTCTGCATCCTCTTTATGTAGACTTTGTCCATGGAGCATGGCTATCTTTTTTCATAATCTAACCTTGATCTCTTTTGTCATTTTCTAGCCAGCTAAGCCCGAGTCCCCAAATACCACCAAGACCCCAGTGCAGAGCCCTCCCCTATCTCCCAACAGCCAACACAAGGCTCCACAAACCAATGACAGCTATAATAATGCTACGCAGGATGGTGGAACACAGTTAGAGAAAGGATGGGCTTCTTTTGAGGATAGGAATGAGCAGGATCAGGATATACAAGGTATGCCTTTCTTCCTCTCCAAAATCTAATTAAAGATTTTATTAGAGTATTGGAATTATGTACATCTTCAAAACACCAGGATATTGGTGACATCCTACTTCTGATGTATATTGATAGCAGTGGAGAAAGATACCTGGATTAACATTGTTTGAAGCCTGGAGGATGAATGACATTTCAAGCCACATTTCATGATACAGTGAAAAGAATCCATTACCATGATTAAAAGATATAGTGCATGCAGTTGTAAGTTTTAATTAATTTTTTTTTTGTGATGTTTGTCTAACTCTCAGTGAAAGGATTTGTCCTTTTACAGTTGTAAAATCTCTTAATGATTTAGAACAGAGTTGTTCATTTTTTCCCTTTTGCTTACTTAACTGAACTCTAAACTAGTCATTCTTTTCCAGGTTTGATATCGCATGATGATGTAGACCACGGTGGCAAGCAGTGGGCTCGTTTTTCTTCTGATGCTAGTAGTAACAAGCTGGATTCCTCTGATGTGAACAGCTCAGACACAGACAGTGTAGAAGATATATGGATGATTTCTGATGAGCAGAAGGAATATTATGTCAAACAGTTCAGGACACTACAACCTGATTTGAATGGAGTTATATTAGGTGAGGCATTGTATTTTGATAGTGAATCTGGTTAGTATCAATATTGACTTGTAATACGTGAAATGTAGAAATGAACAGGCTCAGGAGAAAATACAACAAAACACAATGACTTTAATGATTGATACCAAACTCATTTTTGTATCTCTGTAGGTGCTGTTGCAAAAGATTTCTTCGAAAAGTCCAAGTTGCCAAATGATGTCCTTTCTAAGATTTGGTAAGTGATGCTGCTTTTTGTGAGGTATTTTACAGAATATTATATGTATATAAATTTAAATGTAGGACATTTTTTCCCAGGACGTTATGCTGTTCACATAAATTTCTGTGATCCTCAGTATTTCATCTAGTATTACTTAAAATGGCGTGATATTGTGTTGGATAAAGGTAGAGTTTTATTATTTATTTTTTCATCTGCTATCAATGGTACGTTATTTTTTTTTAGAAAAATTTCAGTCTTGGGATTAATTATATTTTACAGGAGGTTATCTGATGTCAATAAAGATGGTGCTTTATCTTTAGAGGAGTTTTGTACAGCAATGCATTTAGTTGTGCTGAGGAGAAATGAAATAGAACTGCCAGACAGTTTGCCACCTTCCCTGATGCCATATACAACACTTACAGGTGAGGAGACTCTTACCCATTAGTATTTAAGTTATGTTTTATATCGTTGGGTCTTGTACATACACACTCAGCCCTTTAGGCTTATGGGAATCTTTTGTAAATTTATAAAACAGAAACTGTTATCTGGTATTGCAAATTGTGTTCATGTAATTCCACATATCTTGAATTGGTCATAAAAGCAAGATATAGTCTTAGCTATAGTTTTAGCTATGGAAAATAATTTTTTTTACAGTGCTTATATTTCAATAATATTTGATAGAATTTAAAAAAATTATGCGTAAAAATCTTAACGTTTGAACTTTGGCGTAGTAGTAGTAGTCCTGTGTTATTCATGAATTATGAATTTAGTTAGTGAGCAAGAGGAAAATAAGAGATAATTATGCCTCTTCATCATACAGAACAAGAATAAACAAAAGAAACCAAAAAATTTAATTAACTCAAATTTAAAACACACTTAGCTCAGGTTGAGGTTATTCTGTTTGTCTTTCTTGGCAGATGAACCTTTCAACCTTGACCTTCCTCCTGGCAGTACTATCAAGAGACCCACTCCCACATCACCGTCACCACAGCAACCAAACCAGCAGGTGAGTGGGCTGTGATACATCTGTGTGATGTGTGCTTCAATAGCATGGCTTCTGCATGTAGATGCCATATTGAAATGCTGTGCTGTTGTAGAGTTTAGCATGCAATGCACTTCAGTTTTTACATTCCTTTATTATTATTTTTTTTTATGAAGGAAAGAGAATTAAAATTTGTTTGATTTTTATGTATATATTTGTTTATTAATTTATTCACCTGTACAGTTGTTATTTATTTATTTATTTATTTATTTATTTATTTATTTATTTATTTATTTTTTTTTTTTTTGAAGACTGAATATTTTTCTTGTCAAGTGATATTATGTATGTGTCCTTTTATTTGCTGTCAAGGTGCATGTTCTCCATTATCAATAATAATCAGTAAAATAATACAGGGTTTTTGATAAGCTCTAGCATCTGTGAGCTTTTTTTTTTTTTGGGGGGGGGGGGAGGCAGGGGGTTCACAGTAAACTTATTTATTAATTTTTTTAAAATAATGCATCCTTATCTAACTTTGAGTGCTGTTTGTATAGTATGCAGTGCTAACTAACTTGCTTAAACCTCCTATATCACAGTGGAATTTGCTTGAATATAAAACTGCACGCTTTTGGAATAAATGTGTTGACAAGGTCATTTAGATCTGATATTTTCATATTAAATTCCTGTCCCCAAAAATAAATAGATTTGTTAACAAGGTCATTTAAATCTGATATTTTCATATTAAATTCCTGTCCCCAAAAATGTAGTCAGTCATTAGAAAAAGGTAATGAATGAGTAATGAGTGTTGTTCATTTTGCAAAAGAAGTCCACATTCAATGAAGTGTATAAATCACCTTTTCTTTATCTGTTCTTATCTCACTAGTGGTCAACTAACTTTCCACCTGATTCCCCTTCCTCAAGCGTAGTGTCTTCGCCAGGAGCAAAGCTTCCTACTTTTGAATTTCGACCAATCACAGCTGATTCTGTAAGTTGGTTGCGGGTCTTAACTTCGGTTGTGAGCTGTGCATGAGATGAAAAAAAGCATGTGTAGATTTGGCTAAATGGGCTTTAATTATGAAAAATTTGTAACTTTGTAAACGAATAAAATTTGACCACATTCAACATTGTTTGTTTGATAAATTTTGAAGGAAAATGTGTGCCAGAGTAAGTGCAATATGATCATAACACTTTTTATGAGGCTGTATCTGTTGTTTGTTGCAAACTGCCCTTTGTATTGATAGGATTCCAAGATAATACATCCTGTTGCACTGCGGATGTCTCCTGATGGACACCTGGTAGATGATAGGGGGCGTACACAGTCAGGTAGGTGAGACATTACCACAGGGTGCGGCATCGGTCGATTTGGATTCATACTAGTAAAAACATTGATTTTCAAATGTTACTGGTCTAATTGGACTACTGGAAATTGGAAGTTTGTTTTGAAATATTTCCCATTATCTTTGGTTTTCACCTTAAGACTAATTTTGATTCAGACTAGTATTTTTTCTAAGGCATATTTGTCCAGTAGCCTGTAGGCTAAAGTTTTAAGATGCTGACTGCTACTTGAAATGGAAGAAACATACTCTGATATGTAGCCATGTTTCTGCAGATGTTTCTTTGGATGAATACAGGCAACAGAAAACATATCACATTTGATGTTAAGATGCTTATAACTTTGATTGTTACACTGAATAGATTTGTCTTATTGTCTTTATTTATAGAATATTTGTAACAAGTTGTGAAGACACCATTAATTAAATGATAAACTTTGAAATAAAAAAGGGGACTTGATCCACATCCTTATGGTCTGCATAATCCTAAATTTATATTCCGTTTCCAGAACCTTCACCCTATGACCCCTCTGCTGCTGCTTCTACCGCTTCCAATGCTGCTGCTCCCCACGAAGCGAACCAAGAAAGCTTAGTCAGCCCGACCAGGGGTCGGTCACAGACAGAATCTTTTCTCCATTCTCCACCACTTGATACCAACCCCCCTTCAAAGCTTACAGGGCCCTTGCAAGGCAGACCCAGACCCACACCAAAGAAAGCTCAACCTGGTGAGTTCATGTCATAACTCTCCTTTTTTAAAATTTATTTATTTGTTTGTTTGTTGAAAAGGCCGACCAAGACCAGTGCCAAGACCTTTCAGTAAGTAAACGTTTTCTTAACATTGCTTCTGTTCTGTTGTATGCAGGTGAGACTGGTTCAGAGAGTGAGCTGTTACCTGTGCTTCTGTCATTTGATTTAGAATGTGAGAAATTTATAAATAGTGACATTTCATTTCTTTGATTAGGAAAGATTAAGACCATAGCCATAACCTTTTGCCACCTTCACCTGCAAAACTTTTCCCAACCACCACCCCCAAAATTGCCCTGGACTAATATAGATAAAAATGGATATTGTTTGCATCTGTTGTTGACAGTGCATGTGAATTTTTTTTTTTTTCAAACTGTCCTGTTGTTCGTAAGATCTATGCACGTGTGTGTGCATGTGTGTGTGTGTGTGTGTTTGTGTGCTTTGAAGTTAGTTTTGAATCACACTGCCATCTGGTCTGTATGAAAGAAAGAATGCATTTATAAAACATTTAAAAATAAGAAGAGGTAAGAAAGAAGTTCTATAAGATACTGACTGAATGGAGAGCCTTTAAGTTCAATGTGGCCTGCATGTTAGTATTGTTGAATCAGATTTAAGTTGTCTTCAGTTTTGTTTCATGGCTAGCTACAGCAAAACATCTGTTGTCAGATAAACTCTTAATGCATGGTTTTAATGTGAAATAAACAAAATATACAATCATGGAAACACATCGTAGACTACGATATATTTCTATGATCCAATGCATATGTAAACGAATGACTTGGTCATAGTAGTTGTTCATGCATGGAGTGTGTTGTTATGATTATGCATGTTCTTCCCTAGTTCAAGGTCATGCCCCAGGTCCTGGAGCCCAGCCCTTACTACAGCCACCTCCCCATCAACAACACTCAGTGGACACCTCCACAGACAGTAAACCAAGTAAGTAGCAGGGGTGACATAGATAAACACCAGGGTTTAGTAGGAATCCATATGCAAGGCACAACATCAGATCAACCAGAAGTGTTTTGAACACAAAATATACGGCATGAAGTTTAACATATATTATGCCCCCCACCCACCCCCACCCCCAAGAAAAAAAAACCTTATTGTGTTTATCAAAGGTCACCACTGTGCCTGAATTCAGATGTCAAATATGCTCAATGACAACACAAAAATAAACACCATATCAATCCTTTCATCTACTAACAACAAAATTGGACACACTGACTAAATATTAACTGGATCATAATGATGTTATCTTATTTTCACAATGGTTTAAAGTAATTAAAAGTGCCTTGTATATTTGTCAAAAATTGATACTTTCCATATATATATATATATATATATATATATATATATATATATATATATATATATATATATGAGACCTAACTAGTGTGTTTTGAACTTTTCAACTCTGTTATGGTAATTGACAGAAGTTTTACAATACTGCCATAAACTGCCATAGAAAATGCATAAACACATAATGTTGATATATATTGCTTGTAGTGTCAGTTTCTTAGTGTATTGATTTTTAACTCTGTTTTTTGTTCAGACTGATGTATTAATCTTTTACCTTCTTAATTATTTTTGTTGTGACTGTCCAAACCATGCTTGGCCTGTTCTGTTGTAGAAGTTGTACGTACACTCAGTACTAGTATACCTAAGCGTGGCCCAGTCTATGGACATTTCAGAAGTCAGTCCCTGGATTATAGATCTTTACAAAGGGCCAAAACAGCAGGTTTGGTGATTTTTGAATCACATTTTTCCCCGAGGTGGTTGGCCATGTTGGAATGACCTTTTAGTTCCTGTTAGATTTTATTATAGTTTTTTTTCCTTGGGAGTTTTGAACTGCATTCTTTTTAAGGTTTAGTTATCCTACTAACGGGCCTTAGAAATGAAATAATTGTCTGTGACCTTGAGTTTGTGATCACAAATGCTGAATTAACGCCTCAAACTGAAATTTCATGGTGCGAATGTAGAAATGGTGGACGTGGGCACCATGATGCAGATTGTGAATCGTCAATCCAGTTACCTACCAAATTGGTTTTCATAAGGTTTTTGAGAGCACATCACTTTGTTATTGAAAAAAAGGTTTGGTTGAGAAAAAGAGGCCATATGTAAACAGCAGAGAACTGGATGAAAAAGGCCAAATTGTTTGTGCTCTTTTATGTGATGCTCATGACCAGTTTTTACATCAAGTTGTTAATTCAGCATTCAAGATTGTACATCCACGCCTTGAGATCCCAAATGGCAATTATCATTTATTAGGCCTGACTAACCAACCAGTGAAGCAAGGGTAGTACAGATTATTGCTTTGTCTCCTTATAGTTATTTTGCCCTACCTCAACATTTTGCATGGTAAATGAACTAATAGCAACAGCCATTTTTATGCACAGATTTGAAATGTTTATTTCATTTATTAATTTTTTTTCAGTGGGGAATTGAAAACTTTTGGCATTCACAATGGTATCTGTCCCTGTCTACCAGCATTTCTTCTATAGTTTTTTAAGCATGTACTGGGAAGTTTTGTAGTGATTACATGTGATGGTACTTAGTGGTGTTTTTCTTTAGAGTAGGATTAAAGGATAGACAATTATTTCACCCTAGATTGGCACTGTTCTAACAGTATTTTTTCACAAGGAGAAAATCTTAGACAGTTTGCTCCAACCCAAACCTAAAGCTCTAGGTCTAATGGTGCTTTTTCTCCCCAACCCAAGAATAAATGTGAATCTCTCCTTTCTGTTTGCACAAATTCAGTGCTCTGTCTTATTTCTCATAATTCTTGTTAGGGAAGCTTTATCTGAATGAACTGTTTTTATATGGAAGTTCCCCATTTTGAATCTTTAACATACTCTTTTTACAAATGTATTTTACTCATTCTCATGTCATTTTCTAAAACAATTTATGCCTTAATTTTGATTTTATAGTTTGTGGAATTGTGTGATTTTTCTATTAGTAGCTTCACTTTTGCATGTTTAAGCTGTTTGATTTTTGCAGTTTTAGCCATTTAATAATTTGTTTATTTAGGCAGTCATTCATTAGTGTCAAAGGCATTTTAAGCATTTATAAACATTTACTGGAAGGGAAATAATTACTCAAGAATTATTTTGATTGCAGATTCTCTTGGTCCCTTGGCCCCTCCTCCAGCAGTGCCCCCTAGAGGACCAAACAAAGAAGTAAGAAATCCCACAGTAGCCTTCATTTTAATTAGCCATTTGGTATTAAGAATGTGCATATATGAAAGACTGATCGCTTGGGAATATTTTAAAATGGAGAGAAATTCATTTGTCATTCATATGTAGAACATGAGATATAAAACTATAGATATTTTATAATAGGGAATGTAATACCCTGTCTTTGAAGTAACATGTCATTTCTAAAGTGTAACGCATGGCCAATAGAATGTTAATACAATGTTTATATGAAAATTAATAAAAATCTATTTCTGTGTTCCTTGAAACTGTCATTCCAATCCTTTATGATAATGAAACATGTATGTAGAACAGCATGCAGATCACAGCAGCAAAAGCATAATTTTATCCTAAATTCCCTGCTATGCTATCCCTGTGTTATTAAGCCAATATTTCAAAGAGTGAAGGACATTGCCATTATCGGGGCCATACGACCAAAAGTGAGCCTTTTATAGGCAGGACGACAACAGTCCTTGTAGAACCATGTATGAACAAGATCTCAACACTTAGAAAAGCTGGATAATAATTATGTACTCGGCTAATGGTGGCTTTAAATGGTGTTGTATGAATTTGGAATTAAATTAATATAAGCTGTTGTGATACATATGACTACCATTTCACGATTCAGAGCCTTCCCAAAAAGCTAGTCAATCAAATGAGTGAGCCTGCAGTATTGAGTGCAATAGAAACAGATACTCATGTTAACCATGTAGAAACACAAAGAAGAACAGTGTCTTTAGATCATCCACAAATGGTGAGTGTGATTTACAAAACATGTTAAAGACAGCCTGCTATCTCCATCTAGCAAAGGAATTGTAAACTTCAGTATGAGTTGCAGCTTTATTGGTCTTTGTGGGAAGCAAAGTTCCAAAACAGAAAGCTCAACAGTGGCCTGGGCTATATTTAAAAAAGATGAAACGCTGAAAGTCACTTATTCCATATTTTCGTTTTGGTAGTTTTTAAAAAGTTTACAGTTCTGCTGCAAGATGGTGATGCCAGGCAAATTTAACACTGTTCTTGAAGACAATTATTAAATGAGAATCAATGAAGGTACTCATGCCTTGGTTTTACTCTGCTCTACAGGGTACAGATGATATTACAGAAGAAGAGCAGGAACATAGTGGTGGAGGTGGGTTTCTTTGCAATCTATCCATAATAGAAGTAGAAAAAATTGATTTTTTCTCCATTGCTAGAGATAGACTCTCTGATAGTCATTTGTGATGTTTTTACCTGTTTGAGTAGAACGTAATTGTTTATCTGCCTTTAAAATGTTTAACATGGTTTTTGATCAGTAAACAAAGCTTGTGTGATTTTGTTTTTCTGGGGAGGTTATGTTGCCTCTAATATGTGTCTTTGGTACACATTTCATTTTAGGTTTGAATGCCACTGTTAAAGCAGATATTGGGACAAAAGTGGTAAGTAAAATGCCTGCAGAAAGTTCAGTACTCTGCATAGTTCTACCCTGTGTATACAGTTCCTTGAAGGTACACTCCATGGGTTTGAAAATATCCAAAATGCTTTTTTTTGCCAGAATTTCTTATAACACCTTACATACACTAGAAATGATTTTACCCCTGAAATATATTTTTTAGCATACCTGGTGTTGATATTTCCAGTGGAGCTCAGAGAAAAATGGTCCCAGTTATAATGAATGGCCAGTCACTTTAAGTTAAAATGAACTTTTATAAATTTTGTCCAAGTTCAAATGCAGAGAGTAATAGATAAATGATCTGTGAGTTTGAGCAAATTGCATATTTTCCTAGGGAAGATCCATTTTGGTGGGTAAGTGTCCCTTTGATTGGACACAAAATTCCTGTTGAGTAAAGTAAAAAAAATGAAGCTGAAAGGGGAATGCAAATACAGTCTTTTTGCATATGTTAAAACTTAGGTTTTCAGTCCTATAATGCACCATTTTAAGCTGTTTGAAATTGAGCAAATGTGTGCCAAATAGTAAAACATCAGACTTGAATATATAATATCTGAGACTGGTAATTCATCTGGTGATGGCCATCTTTTTCTTTTACTTCAGAGATCCTTGTCACCTCCTACAGCCAGTGCAATCAGGGAAGAAATGAATCATAAAGCCAAAAAGTAAGTACTAGACACCTACATGGCAGGTGTGTGTGTGTGTGTGTGTGTCATTTGTTTGGACTCTTCGTTACAGAGTTGCCTTAGAGTAATATCCACAATGTTACAGTAATAAGGCGGTTATAGTACATTTACATAATTAAATGCCAGTCTCAAAGCAGAATAAAAAAGTAAAATTACTACCAACTTGATAATAAAAATTCTTAATTTATTTTCCTACATATGTCTGTAACCCATTATTTCAGAGCAAGAGACAAAAGAGAAATTCAAGCTGCCATTCGTCAACAACGGATGAATAACATGCAATTTCAGCGGCTGAATGGAGAACTAAACCAGGAGCTGCAAGAAGTGATGGAACAGAGGATAGCATTGGAAATACAGCTAGAACACTTGCGCCCTTTCTCTAATACCTGACAGTGCACAAATCGACACCCGTCACACAATTTATTCCAAGCGTTAAGTCTACAGCAGTATTTGTGTTTTATGTAAAATGTCTTTGCTCACTGCTATACAAATTGGGAGGCTCTGCTCCCTTGTTGCCAGTTTAATTAAGTGATATCTCAGATCTGTCTGTGGACATTGCAGGTAGTTGAGCTGTGGTGGTTGAATACCAAATTATCGTGGCATTGTCAGCTGTTGATTACTGCAAATACAAATGCTTCATAGAGCTGCTGATCCACACCATGTCCCCTATGATATTTGTCTCCATGCCTCAGTGTTTTGATTACAGGTGATGTGTTTAGCTTGTTAGCTTTGTTTTTACAGTATTTTATCTGCTCAAAAGAAGACATGTTGTGGTTTCTGGGAGAAATGAGATCTGATGGTAGAAACTGTCACGAACTAGTCACTGACTCGAGTGCCATCGTCATGTCAGCCTAACAAAGAAATATAATTTCTAGCTTAAAACAATTGCTGTTTGACAGCCCTAAGTGCAAATAACCTTGAACGGGTATGTTGAACTCTGCATGCCATTCTGTGTATCTTCTTTCAACAACTTGTATTAGTTCAGTGTACAATTTGTATTATCTCAGCATAATTGTCTGCACTTCATTATGTATCTCAGCCTGGGAGAGCAGTGCTCTGGCTATGACAGGCTGCTGGCTGCAGACTCGAGCCAAATGCATCCTTGAACATAGACCAAAAAATGGCCATGCATTTTGTTGCAAAGTTGTCTTCACAGGTTCAGTAAAAAAAGTGTTGTCAGTGTTTCCTAAAGTAGTTGTCATGTCAATGTGTATTTGTTAACTTGTTTTGTTGGAAAAAGAGCATTCTGAGCACAGATGTGGAATTAAGTTTATTGGGCAGCATGAAGAAAAGTGACCAGTAAAAGCACCTTTCTGACACATGTAAATGTTGTTTGTGGAATCTGTTTCACATAACACTGCTTCACTGTAAATTTATTCTTCAGACTTGATTGTAAATAATCTTGTTCAACATGATATTTGGCAAAAAGATAATAGGATAGTGAATTTAAAAATGTCAAAGTGATATATATATATATATATATATATATTACACACACATGATTAACATAACTGTTCTATTTTGTAATTTTTTTTCCTAAAGGGGAAAAAAGTGAAACTTCACTTGTAATTGAATATTAAGTATTTATTTAAAGTGTACACTTTATACCCATAGTCCAGTTTTGGTAGTTGATTTGTCATTACTCGTACTGCTGTAACATACTGAGACTCGTGAAATATTAAGAAGCTGAAGAAAATTGAGTTACATTATCACAATACATGATGAGACAGAAAAAAATGTAAAAATATCTACTCGCTTCACTCTTCATTCTGTTTCTTTTATTACATTATATAACATTATTCATTACAAATGAAATTAATAAATTATGTAAGATCTGTACATATTAAGATGTTCAAACAAAAATGTGAGGTATAAATAAAAATAGTCAATCCAGTTTGTTTGGCAATTTCTTCATTTTGCTTGCCATTAGGTTTAAAGTTTCTTTTGTAGCTGAAAGAATTATCACATGGGCAGAACATTGCTGTAGCTTCACTGCCTGTCAAATGTATTCTATAAATATAGGCCCTGGTTTATTTGTCAGCTTTTCAAACATACTGAAAAAAATAGAGAAAAGTAATAAAATGAAGGGTAAAGTATCCTTTAAGTATGTCACATACTGGACCATAGTTGCTACACAATAAGTCAACTTCATGTTAAAATCATTCCAAAACATTTGGTTATCCACAACTGGTAATTCATTCATTACCTAAAAGATATTTCACACAGATTCCTCTATGTTCAACTAGATGGCTTACTCTTGATTAACAATTTATTTATTTATTTATTATTATTTTTTTTAATAAATTCTTGGTTCGCTATTTCTCCACCTTAAATGTAAATGTGATCTACCTACTTGTGTCATAGTCTCATGGTCTGCACAGGGATACTCCAGGTGGGTGGGGTTCAAAACATTTTTGTGCATACCTAGTTCATAAACTTCAAAAGCCCTACACATCTGAAATAAATATTTTGCACAATACGCAACAAGTGTTTAAAAGGCTCCTCTTGAAAGACTATATGTATCTGAAAGGATTTCAAATTTTAAAAAGCTATTTACTGACAGTCTTCCAAATTATCTTTGTTGATTCATCCTCCAATTTTGACCTTCTTCCAACAGAAAAAATTAGACACCCGTCAATGTAAACTTGAAAATCTGACTGTCTTCTGGAAGATCCAGAAGATGGCCTAAATCCGCCCCTGCATTGCTATTATCTCTCTTAAAATGGACTGTTATAGTTAAAAGAACAAAATCATAAGAACCAACTCTAATTTAAAATCAATTCAAAGGAGTGCCTCTAAAAATCAATGTATTTTTGAGAATTTTTTTTTCCTCACTTGAAATGCACAGCGTTCAGGAGGCATCCTTCCAACAGCAGTCCCCAGACCAGGACACAAGACGCTTCTTATTGGCTCATTGGCTGGCACTGCATTGTGCTTTTTGACTAAAAGTGTATTTTACGGAACAAAGGTCAATGTAAGGCCTCAGAATTGACCCACTGCCACAAAGAATCTAAAATACCTAATGAATTATGCCAGCAGTGCAATGATCAATGCTGATTGTGTTAGTTGTATGTTCTGCAGTCAACTGTGGGTGTGTCATACTGCAACGTTGCTAAAACATGAAAAACTCAATTTTGGTTCTTCCCTTACATGGCAGTACTATAATTTAGGAAAGTGGTTATGAAAATCAAAACCAGTTTTCTTCATCTGTTCTTCTTAATTATCCATAAGCAATACTAGCTGACTTACCAGCAAGAATAACAGCCCGAAACGCCAGATAAGCATTGACAGTGTCTGCCACTTCTAATGGGACTCTCATGGTGGGTGCTGAGATGAGAAACTTGATTGGCTGGCCACCATTGTACTTGGACCAATCCAGTGAGCCCTCTTTGACTCCACCTTCAAAAGTTTCGATTATGGCTGCTTGTCCCTGAAGAGGGAAAAATCCTTTTAAAAATACTCCCATCTTTTATAAATCACTTTATGCAAAATGTAGTGCATTTGTATCTGCAATATAAAGTCTTTGAAAGCTTGCCACTTCTGCAGAAGTACTTAAGCAATATCTAGGAAACATAATTTTCGAAACCATTTTACTTTATTAACCACAACCTACCACAAGCACTTCACCATTGTACTCTTTCCTTATCACTTCCTGGAGGCGCTCTTGCCTAGAAGAAATTGAAAATATTGAAATATCCTTTTTGGAGATCCATGAACAGCAGGTATGCAGCACCAGTCAAATCTGAAGCCAATAGTTTAAAAAAAACATTTACAGAAGACCCACCTTCACTACCAGTAAGCCTCTGCAAATTCCAGTGAGTTGCAAAGGAATACTGATAACAGAAGTGAATTTGCAATGAGCTCTGACACTGAAGTGAAAATGAATTTAAAAAAAACTCATTACCATATTTTTAGACCAATGGATTTTTAGACTGCTGTGACACACCCACTTTTTCAGTCACATGCAGGTAACCATTATTTGTTTGATAAAACGTAATTATCCTTGACTTAAAGACTAAATAACATCAGTCAAATCATGATTTCTTCCTGGAAACACCAAGGTCCATAGGCAGAAGACCAAAATGTGGTGTGTTTAACTAATGTTATTTAATCTCTAAGTTAAGAATAAATTTACCTCTATTTATAATTATCATTCATCTAGAGACCATAAAAAACTTCCTTCATAGCATTATTTGTTTATAAGATTTCAGTGTTTATGTGTACAATTGTTATATATTGCTTCCATTATAGTCAAAATAAACTTTGGCTTACAGGATGCCCATTTCAAAGTTGACATCAGAACTTGAAAAATGATAATAAAAAAGTGATATAAGAAATATGAAACCAGGAAGAGATAAAAAAAATAATAATGTAAACAGTGAAAGGAGAATCAAAAGAAAAGTTAATATGAAAAGAAATAGCAGCAGATATACTTAGTGTAATGTAATATAATTTGACTCACATTTGCCAACCAAAGTGTCTTGTATAGACCATATCAATCCCTCCATCCATAAAACCAAAACTGTTCGCTGGAGAGACCTAGAAAAAATTGCAAATATTGTCCACTCTGACTTTTAATTGTGTAAAAATTTTAAAAATCCAATTACCTGCACATGAATAGAATTATATAATTTCTCCAGATCAAAATGGACTACAAAAGCAACAGTAACTTACAATAGCATCAGCAGATGGAGCATCTTTCCCAAATATATGCCCGTTGTGTATCTGAAAATAATAAAATAAATATAAAATTTCTTATATACCCAAGATATTGAATGTGGTGGTATGACAACATTTACCTCTCATACTGATAGATGGATAAATTAATTAAGATTTAAGACGTGTCTACATACAAAGTTTGGTCAACCATATCTCGATCTTTAAGTTCTTTCTCTGCTAGTTCTCTGATAAACCTTCACACAAACAAAACTCAATCATTTCTCCTGCTTGCTAACATTCACACCAATAAGGATGGAATTATATAACTTGATTTTTATAAAAGTATCTACTTCCTTGACAAAACAAAAGGTATATATACACTAACAGATAATTGTATGCTTTCATTAATTAGACAGACTGCATTTGGGTGGAAAATGTGAAAAATATTCTACCTGTATCCTGTCTGCGTGATCTTTGAAGAGCTCCTGCCAGGCTTGTACCATTTTTGGATTGTAATCACAAAGTTTGTACTGGACTTGAAAGTCATTTGTACTTACTTCATTCGTCGCCATAACTTGATTTTTAAGCGGGACGTCTTTGATCTTAGACCCCTACTTCTCCTAACGTAAAATAATGGTCTAAATAGGCACTAATACGTGAGCTGCTTTTGCAAACAATCAAATGACTGGAAACTGTCATACTACCACATATACTTTCGTGTCAGTGCAAACGTCATTCTCAACTACATGTCCATGCTGATGTCATTACACTGCGTTTGACTTACCGGCATGAGTCATTTATCAATCGAAAATCGAAACTTATACATATCGACTAACGATAGTGATGTTCGCTAGCTTTTGATTATGATTTGGAGAATAAGGGGGTTGAACTTATGAAGTACCATAAGACATAAAATAATTGTTTCACTCTTCTACATTCGAGCTGTTGTTCAGATTGTAAAGCAAGCGAGCGACGACGCACGTGGCCATGTTTACAAGTACTTTCGTGTACGTGTTGAAGCAAACAGAAAGATGGCGCTAAATTCATCATCGGAAGAGCCCATCCCGTAGGAATGATGGTAACTTGACACCCGTGAGTCATTACAAACATCTGCAGCCCAGGTATTGTCATTTTTTAATGCTTTACCTGTGATTTTTCAGTGATTGTTTTTCTGACAGGTGATATGCCTTTTTTCCGGCACTTAAAATCGACTAATTTACGAGTGAATGCAAACAGGAGATGAGAAATGCGTCCCCCGCAAGGTAGACTCGTCCATATAATGCGTACAATCCCGGGATTTCCCTTCACATTTGAAGTGCTCCTGTTGTGTCTGAGTTAAGCGGTGTGACATAGCGGCAACACAATAATGCTACCTGCAATTATCTTATTCCACTGTTTGTGTGTTTTTCACATCGTCACAGGTAAGATCGTGCTATTTTACACTTACGTTATTGTATAGGATGCAAAGAGAGCGTGTGCTTTGAACTCAACTTGTCTTTTTCGTGATGATCTTGTATCTATAATATATTTTAATGATACTTGTGTGAATGAGCTGCCAGTGCCTATTACTTGCCAAGCGCTGTTGTTGATATTCCACTTTAATTTAAAAAGCCATGCTGCAGGCGATATCAGTGCTAACTTATATAACCTTACTGATAATAGCTACACGCTTCTCCTGTGCACACAATGCCTGTCATTGATTGATTATAGATCAGTACTTACCAGTATACTGGTTTCTTAAACTGCATGTACACGAGCTCTTCCAAAGGCCTAGAATGCAATCTAATACTAATCTTACAGTTTCAAATCTATACTTGTATAGCTAGAGTAAACTGTCTTATTTCTCATTCTCAGTATAAGTTTATCAGATGATCCTTGAATACCCCCCTCCCCTGTTTAGCATACAGTATTACTGCCATGCGCTTCAAATGGTCTCTCATTGTAAACTGGATTTTAGAAATGTACTCACATTTTTGGATACTCCAGTTGAAAGTATTCTCTGCTGATAGCCACTATGTCTGTGTTCTGTGTGCGTAGGTTTATGCAGTATAATCTACCTATTTTATTCAAAATCCATAAACGTGTCTGTACCATAAAATTGACTCCTATTAATTTTTTTTCTTGAGAGTAATTACACTGAAGCGTCTGAAGACTGTGTCCTTGAGGGCTTTTTTAATAGATTAAATTTTTGCTGTCAACATCAGTTTGTTGCATAATTTTCAATCATCAAATTTGAAACAAGATGAAAATAGTTTTTAAGACTTATACGTTGAGAGTGACCACTCTATGTGTAAGTCTTAAAAACTGTTTTCCTGTTTGTTTATGATATAAGGAAGTTAAAAATAAAATTTGACTTGTTTGAAAATAGTTTTATTAACTCCATGTAATGGCGATAAAAGAAAAAGAAATGGACAAATAAAAAGTAAGAAGTAACTAATTAAAAGATTCAAATTATTCTTGGCAAATACTAGACAAGCCATCTTGAGGATAGCTGTAAACCTAGTCTATGCTATTTTGAATTGACATTGATGCTATAGTAAATTAAAGTGAGGCCAAAATATGAAACATTATTTTGCTTTTGGAAATTTTTATATATATCATATATTTTTTTTGTAATTTTCCTTATTTTCTTTATGAATCAGAAGTGGAACTCTTTTTGCTAAAAGAAACTTTTTAACAAATCATTTATTGATATAATGAATATGCCTGTTTGTTAAAAATCTTTTTCCCAAAGATATGAAAATATGTTAAGGTATTTTATGAAATAAAAACCATAAGATCTTGTAAAGAAAAGACATCACAGTGTTTAAGTACATAGTTATTGGTTTGAACAAATTACCCAAACATTTTACAGTGCCTATGGACTAAGATTGCCTTTTAAATACTTTCCAGTCTATCGTCAACTTTTCTCTTTTAAGTCTTAATTGACATAGAAAACACATAAACATACAAGATTAATTGTGTGTGAACTGGGTGGGGAGCATCCTTAGCATTCTTACGTCCTAGAATAGAAAAGGTGAGCACTTAAGATTATATATTCACTGCACAGATACAGGTTAGTCATTATTATCACTGTGACCACTTTTTTCTCATTATGTCTCATAATGCCATAACATGATCTGTGTGGTAATTAAAAGATATGTGCACTGCAGAGGTATTTTGAACAGACAGTCTAATCGTATCCAGATAATTCAGAATTATTTAAATCCGATTTGGTTGTTAATTAACACACGTCCTAGCAGAAAGTATTATCTATATGCTTTATAAAAGTAGGCCTTGGTGGCCTATATGTTGAATGTCATTCGGGGGTGCTGACTACACAGGTGGAACCAGACAGCCTAAGGCACATTATAAGCCATGTCTACGGCACAGCAATGACTTTAAACAGTCGTAGAGTTCAGGTTCTGTGTATTCTTCTTGAAGTCTTTTATTTTCAAAACATGTAGTGCATGACGCTAAAAAGGACCGTCACCTACTGTATAGAAACTGGGGTTCATTTGAAGATCACCAGCCCGTCCTGATGTGTAGCTAGGATTGTTACTGGCTAATTTCTAGGTAGAGGTAATTTTATTGTTTTATGAGTGTATTGAGGTGTCAGAATGAGTAAAATTAATATTGGCAGATTTGTATCTTTAATAAAACATTCATGTTTCTTCTTTTTTTTTTTTTCAAATGAACTGCTTTAAAGAAAAAAAGGCAGAAAAACATGTTTGTGAAGAAATGTTTAAGTTTAACTAGTGTATGTACCCCAAGCTATATCTACATACAGACAAAACAGGCCAATTACTTAGCACTTGAGGGAAAGAACACTTTTGAAAAAAAAAAAACAGGACCTTCCACACTTCCCTCCTATGTCATGTATTAAATTAATAGTGCATCCCCAAAGGTTTGCTGTCTAATTATAGTCACTTCATTCAGATACAATTTTTACTTTCCAGTGCCTTTTATCAGCTAGTTAATGTTTTTGTGCCTTATTTTAATTCCGAACAACAATAGACGAAAAACCCATTTTATGGAATTGAATATATACTTCATCATTACAGGTGTTAAAGAAATATTTTAAGGTTGCCCACAGATTACTAAATAAGCACACAGTTCTTATCATGTAGAATCTACATAGCATTCTTGTCATGACGCTGAATAGATCTGACAATTTTCCTTGTGCTTAACATTTTGCCCTTCTTCGTATTAGCTACATGACAGTATTTCTTTCTTCCATCTTCTAGTGGAATGCCTCCCACCTTATCCTGTTATGCTGTAAGTTCTTACACCTGTAAAATCCCACCTGTATGCGATATTGTCTTACTCATACCCTGATCAGGAAATTCTTCAGTCTCTTATTATTGGCATTATTATCATTGGTTTATGTACTTTTGATAAAAGCAAGTGATCTATGAGGTATGGATGAAATGACATTTCAAAGGACCTCTACAGTAAACATGTAAATTCTTTAGTGAGGAATTCTGTGGTATGTGAGACACCGGGGTTGTGGTTATAGCCTATTATTTAAAGGGACGCACAGTGGTGCGATTGCATGGTCTTTTAAGCACTTCTGGACACCATCTAACTGGTTTTGTCGGTATCATATGAAAATTACACATTTGTAAAAGCCCTTTTCACCTGGGTTATCCAGATTTTTAATGATGCTGGTGCTGATAAACACCGTTATTGCTGACGTAAATGATTTCTGTGTAACTGTCTACCTTTTGTCTGAGATGAACTTCTTTTCAGCGTTCATCAGACACACATAAATTCATTCTCATCTGTTGATTTGTGCAAATGGCTAATTATATATTGATAAGAATGAACATTTAGGTATTAAATATCAAATTTATACGATAGCACTTGATTTATCTGAGGCTGTATTTAATTGCATTTATTAATGAACAGCCTGTGTAATTGCCCCTGTATTGTTTCTGCATTTTATTGTATGAAGTGCATATCTCCCAATGAATATAATTCAGTTTTTTTTTGTCCACGTGCATATTTGGTGTTTCTATCAGTTTTTAAGGGAAAAGCCAAATAAAAAAGACAATTATATATGATGTTTTTAATTTTGCTTCTTAATCCGAGGTTAATTTTTTTTTTCAGTATTTGGATCCAGCAGCCTGACATTTCTTGATCATCAAGTAGTAGACCTACTCAGCAACATAGACTGGATGAACAACACTGATGGTCCTGGCCTGATTCCTGCACAGGGATTTCTCTCTTCTCCTGCTTATCTCTTTCAAGGTGAGAACACGTTTTAATGAAAAAAAAAAAAAAACTCATGAGAGATAGAAAGATAAAAGCCTAACTTACTTGTCAGATATGAATATTGTGAAATCAAATGGAAGCTGACAATGCACCTGGTGTAGTACACCTGCACAACTATGGCATCATTTCACAAGGCACTTGGTGACTGATGGCTCGCTAATTCACCGCTTTGCTTTGGGTTATTTTGCTTTTTTTTATGTTCCGGCAAATTTAAGAAGAAAAGCTGGGAGATTGATGTTGTCTGTATGAGCTCTTTAATTACCCAGTCCTGATTTTTTTTTCAGTATGTTCATGTACTCATGTCAGAGTCTAGCTGTTATTTGCTTGTACTTTTATATTATTTATTTTTGTATAGATACTCTTATTTTGATTTGAAAGTGATGTTTTCCCCACCATTATATAAAATTAATCTGTATTTGATAATTTTAATAAAACTCAACATTTTTTATCATCTTCTTTGAAATAATAACTTTTGTGCATGGAGAAATATTTAATATATGGAAGTTAGGATTTTGCTTTGCTCAAAGATGGCTTGAACAGTGTGAACTGACAGACACCAACACTGAACCATGAAAATTGCCTTTGATCAATGATTCACTGGGGTTCAGCTTGAATCTCAGTCAGTATATATAAATTAATTAATGAGGATGACTGATACTGCATTATAGCCAAAATAATCCAATGTTCTCCTTTTTTTCAAGGGTATTTGATTTATTTTATATAGATTTCTACAACTTCGATATATGAGTAAGTCATTTTGTATCAAGGATGCAGCTCTCTTATGTATATTACAAACTGCCTTTTAAAGATTTTTTTTCATATGTGTGTGGCGACCCGAAGTATATATTTGCAGAGGGTGACACATTTACTCCTCCAGGAGGTTGGTTTTTTAAAAAAAATCTATATGATATGACCACGATTAGTCATTTCCTTGTAAAAAGTGATAATGGAGATATGGGGTAGAATCAATTTTAATTAGATAACAGTCTATCATGGGGGATATCTTTGTGAGTATATTTATTGATCGGACTTTGTCATCCTTGTACATTTTCTGCTGCGGATGCTGCATCATGTTCCTTGGGGATGCTTACGTACTTGCTTCTTATATCCCTGAATATCTAATATTAGGATCTTAATTTCATTTGTAAATGTTAATTTAACATTTTTTTAAGAGCAAGAACTAAGGTATTACTCATCTCTGCAAATGATATATGATGGGGTTATAAAGCACAATTTTATAAGGCTTTTAAATATGACCTTCCCAAGAAAGTAAACAGTAGGTGATTAGTGCAGTTGGGTTAAGACTTCATTGCCTGGGCCTGTTGTGATTTCATTTTGATATTCAGACAAGAAATTTTTCTTTAACACACAACAGTAACATGCGCGCGTGCGTGCACACACACACACACTATAACAAACATGAATATAATAATTATTAATTTGGTATAGCATGGTCATTAAGATTTCTCTGAGGAATTTATTGTAGACCTTTTAAAAGTCCTTCAGAAATGTGGTGTTGACAAAGACATAATGTGTACATAATTTTTTTTACAATGCTTTCTTGTGTTCATCTTTAATAGGTCAATGTATTTAAAGTAAAATACCTTTTTATTTTCAGATTCTCACAGAAGTGTTCAACTAGATTCAATCCCATTAGAGAAATCATTAAAACCATTAGTGTTGCAAGGGAATATGGAGATTACTATACTTGCTGTAGTGAAACAAAAGATAGGAAATGTTGGCAGTATAGTCACATTGTGCTCTGGACAAAAAAGGTAGGTTTAAAACCTTCTAAGGCATATACAGATATGAAAATCAAATTGCCTCATTGTGTATAATACTGAGAAGTTTTGCCATTAAATTGAGTGTAGTCCATTATAAGGGGAGACGAGGTTTATTACGTGACTAGAGATTGGCACTGACTGCTTCACTTGTGAAGTCGAAATGAGACTTAGACAAAACCGCAAGCAGAAACCCCAAAAAATTGTGGATCAAATTTTCTTGAATGTTTTTCAATATATCTGTTCACAGATCTGAGGAAACTATTTTCTCAGTTTTGTAGGTTGTTTACAAATGTCGATTATCTGTTATCACAGGGTTTTGGAGGAATGGTCATTTCATAAACTGAATGGATTAATCTTAAAAAGTCAAAAATGATAATAATTATAAAAAATGCACAAAACAGATTGTCTTCTTCTGTTTTCAGAATATTTGAATTACAGTCCAGTGGCAGGAAGGGTGAAATTCGTCTGCGGTATTTACATAATAATAATACAGTCCACATTGAAACATTCCCATATCAGCTTGCAGATAACAAATGGCATAAAGTGGCCATAGCAGTCAGTAGCAATGAAGTGACAGTGCGTATTGATTGCATTAATACCTTCCAAAGATTAATCCCAACTATAGACTGGACTTTGAATAAAGATAAGCTCAAAGTATGGATAGGCCAAAGACGCCGTAAGCATGCTGAATTTAAGGTTTGTGAAATTATCACAGATCCTGCATGGGTATATATTGTATGCATACTTTTCGATGACTACTATGTAGAATACTGTGGCTGTAACAAGACCCAGTATAGAAAATTGTTCCTCCAGATGTGATTAAGAAAGTTCACATTTTTTAATTTTTTATTTTTTATTTTTAATTTTTATAGTTTTATATATATATATATATATTTTTTTTTAATCTGATCTGGATGCGTAATAAATGTTAATTTAACTTAATTATTATTATGGATACGCTTCTCAACTAACACACTTTTACCACTAAAAGTAATATAAGCACAGTGTCACATCTAAACCACTTGCTCATACTTGAAACCTAAGATTTTTGTTTTTTATTCCATTTTGCCTCTGATACTTCAAGCTTCTTTTTTACTATGAATTTCTTTATATTAGAATTTTGCACGATAATGGTAACCATGTTCTTTTATGGATACTTTTAAATTATTCTAGTAACGTTCTTTTCAGGGTATATTGCAAGATGTGAAGATAGTTTCAGGACCTTATGGTTATTTAGTACAGTGTCCGGAGGCAGACACAGGTAATAATTAATTGCATCAAAGGTATATTCTATAAATAATAGTATAAGCATGGACACTTCACAACAAAAATTATAACAGTACGTAGTAGTTTGTATTCCAACAATAATGGTTTGAATTCCAAGATTTGGTTTGCAGAAGTTTGAATGTACTGATCATGGTGTTGATTTTAACTGAAAAAACGTAGGTCTTTTCTTCAACTATCAGAAGGTTTATTAAAGTTTCAGTTTGATATATTTGAAATTTTAAAAAATCAGTTATAAACGCTCATATTCCATTTTAGCCTGCCCGACTTGTGGCCAGTTTGCAAAACTAGAAGAAATGGTACAAAACCTTTATAACCATATAGAGCTCCTCAATGCAAAGGTTTGTTTTGGTAATTAGATGTTTCACTCTTATTTTTCTGTGATGCAATTATTTAATTATCATTCATTTTCATCACATGATTAAATGGTTTTTACAGAACATTAAAATTATGTTGTAATATTTACATATGATTTATGATTTTTGCCACATGTAGGGTTAAAACAATAAACTTTCCCATTATAATTTAATAGTTGATCTCAACAGAGAAGAGACTGTCTGCCCTGGAAGCTTGTGATTGCTCCAAGAGCTGCACATTTGAAGGGAAGAAATATGAAGCTAGTGCAGAATGGGATGTGAATTGTACAACTTGCCAATGTCAGGTAAACTATTGGAGAAAATTTTGTTTAGTCTTACTGTTGAAATACTCCTTTATTGGAATTAGGACATGGTTGTTAGATATTCAGAATTTAAAGGCCTTGTACTGGTATTTTTTCTTATGAAAACAATTGGCGGCAAGTGATGAAACTTGTCTCAAATCAAAGTCATGGTCAAGATTCAAATATTCACTCTTGTAGCAAAACTAGATGTAAGTTTTCTGTTTTCGTAAGCAGCTGTCTACATACTAAATAGGCTCTGATCATTGCCATGAAAAGTCTGAAACAGCAGATTCACACAGATAGGCTAAGACTTCAGTCAAGCTGGCAAAAATACAGTGCCTCACCCTTCTTTCTATATCATACTTACAAGGCAGAGAAAGAGATCTTCATGCTTGGTCAACCCAGGATCTTCAAATTTCTTGGCCTACATCACAAAGTAAATCCAATACTGTTATTGGAAATGACAAAACCAAAAAGTCCATGTGATTTTGAGTAATGCTATTGGATGTATATGTACAGAAGTGTATGGAATGGACTGATTTAATGTTTTTGAGCATGACCATCTCCAAGATTGCAACTCTCATATTATCTACAGAGGTTGTCATCTCTGACCTGAGCTAACATTGACCATAGAATAAATAATATAGTTTAGTTTGATATTGTTACATATTTTTTCTAGCATGTTGTACAGTGGTCCATAATGACCTATTATGAATTGAGATGGAAAGTAAAATATAGGTCAGTTTTATGGACCAACCTGTACTTGTCATGCGTCCCATATAACTGACATTAAAGTATTTTTACAGAATGGTAAAGTGGAGTGCAGACCTTTGCCGTGTCCAGCCACCAATTGTAAACATACAGTGCTACAGGGATGTTGTCCAGTCTGCTTAAGTAAGAAAATATTTCTTTGGATAATGTTATTCATTAGAAAAAATATGTCAGAGGGGTGCATTTTTAGATTATCTTTTATGTCCCTCGTTAGCCAAATTTTCCTCAGAAATGCTTAAACAAAGGGTAAAATGGATGATTTGATATCCCAAAAGGGATTTGAAGAAGTTCACATTAAGTCAGTAGTCCCTCAGACATCTTCTTCTTCCTCTTCATGTACCATCATCCATGCAGTGTTTGACGAACATTGATATTAATTTTGCCAAAGGTTTCTGTTTCTCACCATTGACCACCTCATCCATATTGTTGGGAAATTTTCTTCTCAAGTCTGAAGTGAAATTATCATTATTTTGTGTGTGTGAAAAATGGTGGATTTTTATTGTAATGAGAAATAAAAAGATCTTTTTTGGGAAAAATATATAACAATGGTTTGTAGTCTATTTGTAAATGATTTTGCATTGTACAATGAAAATCACCTGGGAGAGGCTCTCATTATTATGTGATGTCATACAAGACTAGAAAACATGAGAATCGCCATGAACTGGAGTCAACCTTTTAGCAATAAGAGTGAAAAAAACAGTCCAGTTGTGCAAAATATGAAATTCTATAAAACTCTAGAGGAAACAACTAGGGAAATGTCCATGTATAACTTCTGTCAGTTTTTATTTGTTGCTACGCAGCATTTGCTAATCTGCCATTATTTCTGACCCCAATCTCCTTTAAAATTGCTTGATTTTAAGCTAGTAAGTCACAAAATTTAATTAGGGCTACTTTAGATTATTCCTTTTGTAGCAATCTTTTTGTGGTAAAAACTATTACATATAAGTTTTAAAAATCTCATTTTTTCAGAGAGATCAGTTGTATGAAATATTAATTTGTACTTTTTTTTTACAGAAGGTTGTAAGTTCCTAAATGTGTCTTATGACCACAACGAAACTACTTGTCCTGGAAAAAATAAACATTACGTGTGCAAAGTAAGTAAATAATTTTTACAAGTTTTGAACCAAAATGTGCTGCATTGTGATATATTTTTTAATAAATTTAGACCAGATGTTAATTTTGTGCTTATTTAATTATAGGTTTTCATGGTTGTTTTTGGAAATTGTAATTTTGGAATGAAATACTTAGACAAACTTTTTTTCAATTTGAACATCATGATCATACTCATTACAGGAAATTCATTACATAATCTTATCCCTAACTTAGACACGGCAGCCTTACTAGCTGCTCCAGTTCTGCTTAAAGTTTTATCGTTGTTATAACTTGTTTTAAAATCTTTTTGTTTTATCCTTATTGTAGAATGGCATAATGAAGCGGAATCGTCATGGGAAGTGCCCAGAGTTAGATTGTCCTGAGGAAAACCAAGTGTACGTTGCAAAATCTTGCTGCAAGATATGCAAAGGTATAATATGACACAGTTTGCACTACATGTTCCAGTCAATATAACTCTTATTCTGAGCTCAATTTGGGACGTCAACCACTGACCAGTAGATTTAGTTTTGTAACAAAAAATTATATTTTGATTTTTCACTAGTACAGTGGTTTTTAATAAAATTTTCCATAATCTATACACATTCCATCTTAGGATTTGTAAAGTTTGATGTGGAATATGTGTTATGGTAGAGATCTACTAGTCTGTGTTACCAGTGGATTGATAAGTTTAAGGTGCATACTAGCACTTGCATGTATCTATCAGCAAGTTTATAATTATTATAAATATGTGATTTATGGTACTTCAATTGCTTTAATTGCTTTTTTGTTATAGATAGCAATTACTGTAAAAAAGGAAACAATTGCCATGGCAACGCCACTTGCATTAACCTAAAGACTCGCTATGATTGCAAGTGCAATGCAGGATTTGTTGGCGATGGACGTCATTGTGAAGGTGAGTTCCGACATACGTTATACAGTATACTTACCATATCCAAAGTGTGTATATATACTTTACTTTTTACACAATTAAACAATAGCAATGACCATTAGTATGGAATAATCAGTTTTTATTTGATTTGTGTCTTATTCACCAAGAAATGACATTTTGATCAAAATTTTGATGTAGACGTTAATGAATGTTTGAAGAAGGGTGGCCAGGATGGAAACCATTGTGACTCAGACTCCACCATTTGTGCCAATGTCCCAGGCTCCTATGTGTGCCAATGTAAAGCTGGATTCACTAGAGTGAATGAATACAACTGCATAGGTAATTTTACTCAGCAAGGTTGCTATTACTGTTGTGTTGCATTAAGATGATCATGTTACAAATGTGATTATTAACTTGATTGGTGAGTAGAAAATAAATTTAACAAATGGATTTTTTGCCAGTAGATTTTTTTTTTTGTAAGTTCTCATACTTACTACTTACAAAACAATTTTATATTAAAAGATCCACATTATTTTACATTATTTTTTAAAAGATATAAATGAGTGTGACAGTGGACTTCATGGCTGCCATGACAATGCCATCTGCAAGAATTCCATTGGCTCTCACACATGTGAATGTTTGCCAGGATACAGTGGAGATGGATACCTTTGTACTCGTAAGTATTCAGAGAAAGGAACCAAAGCTATGAATACAAAAATATATGAATAGATTCAAGGGTTAAATAGCATTCAGTTATCGTAATGAACTTTTGAATTTGGGATTCATTTGCATAAAATATTTATTATATTGTTCAAGCATGTCCTAATTAATATAATATTTATCTATAAATTGTCAGTCGATATTCAAGTAAAAAAAATCTTTTTTCCATTGAAAAATATTAAATGAATAATAATGTAATATTTATGCAGCAATCTGCAGCATTCCTTGTGGAAATAATGGTACTTGTGTCAAGCCTGACCAGTGTCAGTGTAGGCCAGGTTACGGGGGACATGACTGTCAGCAAGGTAAGAGATGTTACGTAGTAAAACCAAGTTACTGTGTTTATTCTCTGTATTTTATATATTCCTGTGACTATTTTATAAGGTATGATGCAACTGAGGATAATTTTTTATTGCTGTGACTTTTTGAAATAAGATATGAGCAGTTCAGAAAAAAATGTTTTTATCTATTTGGAGACCTTTAAGATTTTATTTTATGATCCATGTTTTACCTGCAGATTTGGATGAGTGTGTCCTAGGCATTGCCAACTGCCCAAGCTCTTCTGAGTGTGTCAATCTCCCAGGCAGGTACTACTGTAAGTGTAAGGAGGGCTACAAGACCATACATGGACACAGCAAAGATGGAGATTTCTGTCAAGGTGTTTCAAATGTTTCAGTTTGATAGACTGATAAATAAAAAGTTACAGTCATTTAATATGTTAAAAGTGATGAGTTTTTTATAGGTATTGAATGCACTACACTAATACATGGATGAAGAAGTTAAATGAAGGATGGCAATTAAGTTTTGAAATAATTTTTTTGTCGAGTTTTACCTTGGCTTACATTTTATTGTTTTCTTTTATAGATTTGAATGAGTGTGAAGGGGAAGGGAGTGGTCACACATGTCACCCCAATGCACTGTGCATTAATACACTGGGTGGTTACTACTGCAACTGCAGTGAAAACAGTGTGTCCAAGTGTAACAACAGTAAGTCTATACTGGAAAGTAGTATTACATTTGCAAGACTAGTACAAATCAGTTTAAGGATATAAACTGATTATTCCTTATTAATTAAGCAACTGATTTCTGCAGTTCAAGTTATCTGTTCGTTAGAATATTACCAGCAATAATTTTTCATTGGAGTATATATATATGGAATTATGTACTCCAACAGTGAATATTTGTATTTAGCTTATTAATAAGTTAATTGTTATCGTATGGAAAGATATATATATGTATAGAAAAGGGAATTGGGTGGCATTTGTCAATTTTGAATTTCGTTTAGTGTAAAAAAATGCCCATTTAAAATAGTGTGTATGTGTCAGCATGAAATTATCCATTTAGATTTATGTGTAGAGAAAAGTTCTTTTATCGTATATCTTGAATATCTTATTATATATTTAATGAAATTATAGGCTGTTTGTACAAAGATGTGGAGTATGCCAGTGGAACGATGTGGAAGGCAGATGATGAGAGATGTTCCATGTGCTCCTGCAAGGTATAGAAAAAAATGACAGCAGAAATTGGTTAAATTCTATCATGGGTGAAAGTTTTCAGGATTATCTCCGACTTCAGGATTTTCAGTCTTCATTTTGATTGCTTTTTTCATATGGTATAAATGTGATGATAAATTGCAAGCAACATTTTCAGGATTTTCAGTTTTGACAACTTAGTTCAAATCAAAATTAGATTCAGTGAAATCTTCAGATAGTGGGAAAATAATAAAATACATTTTCCAAGTTGCCCATTAAATTGATCAGAATAGTAACTAAAGGTCCTATTAGTTTGACACTGATTGGTAAATAAATTTGACTCAGCAAAAAGTGTATGATGTTCAAGCTTTCATTAAAAATGTGTTTGTTGAGATTTTAGTAATGTCCCACTCCCTGTATCTTTTCCAGGAGGGTGTTGTGAGGTGCAACATTGTAGACTGTGACTGTAATAGCAATTATGTTGATCGTGACTGTTGTCCACAGTGTGATGTCAACTACCAGTGTATTGACCTGGACATGGGGCGTAACTACACTAATGGCCAAAGATGGTTTGAGGGCTGTGAAGAATGCGAGTGCTTGGTGAGTACTGCTTCCAATGTCATAAGAAGAATCTGAGAACAACTTCATTCTTGATTAATATTGTTTGAATGTAAAATTGTAAGTTTGGTACAATTGTAGTTCAAAGCTGTTAATTTATAGATTTATTATTCCCATAGACATCATCGGTCTTCGTAGCTCCATACAGTTCTGGGCTCTATCCAATTCTGCTGGTACTTTTGCTGAGGGCAGCCATCTCAACTGAATGACATATGCCTCTTGTTTCCTGCAAACTCATATAACAACAGCTTTTCTGTATTCTACTTAACACCAGGAGGCATGTGAATCTCTTAATCTGACTGCACTCAGTGAGAGTCCATGCAGATCTACATACACCAATGGCATCTATGGGAAAGGGGCTTAATGTTGTCAGTTGTACTTAACTTTTTAAATTGCTTTCTGTGAGCATTGGAGATATTGAAGATTGTCCTGCCATTCTGTGTTAATTCTTAGATAATCATGGAACATCATAAAAAAAACCTTTTATTATTTTTTCCCCTAGCATGGAGAAATTGATTGTTGGCCTGTCAAATGTCCTCCTCTACCTTGCCAACAAGCACGACAGAGCAAAGAGGACTGCTGTCCAAAATGCCTAGATGATAAAAACAGTGATAACAGAGTAATCCAAGATCCTTGTGCTGATGTTGGAGAAGTCCCACTATGGAACAGTGTTTGCACATATAATGGTTTGACTTATCAACACGGTGACATATTTTGGTTGGCAGACGACCCATGTGTCAGTTGTGAATGCAAGGTAATAATAATTTTTTTTTTTTAATTAAGAGCATTTTTAGGTTTTGTATAATAAAGAAAGATACTCCCCTAGGTACAGGTGAAATGTATGTATGTATGTATGTAATAATAAAAATGATCAGTGTGTTAAATTTCTGTAAATATTAGTCTTCGTATTAATCTCTATGTACGTGCAGCTCTTCATTTTGGCGGGTAAAGTGCCATAAAGTGGATTTTCCTGGGTTAAACGACAATATTCCCATACTTCCCTAATGGTTAATGAGTCTGTTCTGACATTCAAAGTTAGCTTAATGATCTTTTAAAAAATGTGTTTTTTGTAGTAACCTAAATATAGATATTATTATGGAGGGTATACCCATCTATGAAGGTTGACATGGTACAATATGGTAGTAAAATGTAATTTATTATGTTTCTTTGTGTTGTTTACAGAGTATTTATTGTGAACTTTGAATCTCATATGATGAGTGTTATCCCTTTGATTAATTTTTATGTACAGACACAGATGTGTCTGTACATATTGCCATCACCTGCGTCTGTCGTCGCCGTCGCCGTCGCCGATCATGTCGCCGTCGCTGTCGCCGTGCACTTTCAGCGTTAACACCATAAGTGGAAGACAGTTTTACTTTTTGGCTTTATATTTACAGAGCTGACTAATATTCATAAAATGCAGG